TTTGAGGGATTTTGTGGGATTTTTACTATTCCCACCAAATTTTTCCTCAAAAAATATCAAATCAAATATTTATTTGTTATTTTTTATATTATAATAAAAATCAATTTTACATTGAAAACATCGCATCAATTCTTATTTATATCACATCATACAACTATTCAAATTCAAAATTTTTACTATTCAAATCTCGACCGAAAATCCAAACCCTCAAATAAACACATCCTAAATATATTATATGTTTTATTAGTAAGGTCAAATCACCATCCTTTACAAATAAATTAAACATATATATATATATATATATTATTTCTTCCTAACCCAAAATACACTATTTTCACTTAATAATTCAAAATTCTAAATTTTTAAAACTCTTAATTAAATAATTTTTTTGGATTATACAGGACTACTTATATTCTACACACTTTGTTGAATACATGGTGACGTGAAATTAACTTTTCAATTTATTGATTTAAGTTTGATTTTTTTATTTATATTTTAATTTAAATAATATTTTGATATAATATTATTTTAAAAAATAAAATAATTTATTGAAAATCACACTAATTAAATAATCAAAATTTATTTTGACATGTAAACCAAATATACTTCCAATTTTTCAAATTTATTCGCTATAATATTTTATTTCAAATTTAAGCTAATTACAATATATATTTTTATTTCAAATTTAATACTAACATATAATTTTTCACTTAAATATATATCTTTTAAAAAATATATATCTTCATAAATAAATATATTGAATAAAAAAACAATATCCTAAAATCAAAATCAAGTAGTTCATTCCGCATACTATGCACAAAATTTCTGAATTATTATTATTATTATTATTATTATTATTATCTTGCATAATATTTATCGATGAATATATATTAAAAAATAAATAATAGATGTTAGAATAATTGATATTCATTGTTGTTATTAAAAAATAGTATATATAAAGTAATTTTTAATATAAAAATCACTCGAACTAATTAATATTTATTTATATTATATCAAATAATAATTTACAATTCTAAAAACATCAAAACACAATAATAATAATAAAAACCACAACACACCTAATAATAAATATACACACTTTTAATACTGTTTATCAAAATTATTATTTTTTTAAAATAAAAACTATAATATTAATAATTTTTATTTTTATAAAATATTATATTAAATATTCAAAATCTCTTCTATAGAGAATTTCCAAAAGAATGAAGTAAGTGTTACAGCTACATTTAGATTAACCTAATTATTCAAATCTATAATAGACTTCTTGCATTGTAAGAACGTAATTACGTAAATTTTATAAATACTCACTCTCAATTAATACCATAAATGTTAACGGATATAATAGTCTTTATGTATATTAATTGTACCACATATCAATAAAAATACTGATATACTAAAATCTACGTGCAAAAAGTAAACGGATAGACAGGCGGTGGACGGAGGGAGTATATAAAAACATATACATTGCAGTTTATATATTATATTGTATTTTATAGATATATTTTTATATTTAAATTTATAATATATTATGTTATATTGAATTATATCATATATTGTCATGTATAATATATTGTATTATCATTGTGTTGTTTTGATTAAATCTGCTAACCGAAATACTGAAGTACAATTTTTACTATTTTCATTCAATTTTTTTTTCTATTATAATGAAAATAATCATACATTTAATATAAAAATGTTTTTAATATTATATAAATTATAAATATACCATTATATATTAATAGTAAAAGATGGTTGTAGGGTGGATTTACACATATTATGAATGTGTTTATTTTAAAGATTTTGGAAGATTTTTACTATTTATATAAAAAATTTTCTTAAAAAATATCAAATCAACTATTGATTTTTTATTTTTATTTTTATATTATACTCTCTCTGTCTCCCTCTAATAGTCACATTTACATATTGTGTCATTGTACTTAACATTGAAAATATTTTTATATTTGTATAATTTTTTTTTTTGTACAAATATCATTCTATTAGTATTATAAGACACTGATGAAAAAAATTTGCAATTTTTTCTTAATTTGTTATACGTTTTGATATAATAATTAATATTTAAAGATCAACACACAAAAAATAAATAAGACTCTTAAAAGTAATATTAAAAATTAATTTTACATTCAAAATATAATATCAATATTTATTATATTATATTATACTCCCTCCGTCCCATAAGTAAATATCCATTTGCTTTTCGCACGTAGTTTTAGAAATATTAGTATTATATTGAGATATAGTAGAAATAAAGTAGAAATGGCTGTGTGATATAAAGGTAATGACATTTGTATAATGTTAAGTAGATAGTACATTTACTAAAAAAAAAGAAATTGATACTTTATTATAGAACATACTAAAATGAAAAAATAAATACTTTGTTATGGGATAGAGAAAATACTATTATTCCAATTCAAATTTTTAACTATTCAAATCTCAATCCAAAATTCTAATCCTTAAAAAAAATAAAATAAAAATAATAATAATAAATAAATAAAAAAAAAATATATATTTATATATATATATATATACACAGTTTGGTAGGTCCCCGCGGTTCTCTGTTCCGGACACACATGAATTCTTCTGCCTCCGCCGCCCCATATGATTCTCGCCTCATAATTGTCCCAACGATTTAATAAAACGTGTCACAATTACGTTGTCTGAAAACACGCTTTTGCCATTTCCCAATAATCAAACCCTTCCTCTTACAAATTACTCAGTTCAGCTTCACTTCGCCTGTCTGCCTATTTATGGATTTTTATTTTTTATTTTTAATTTAATTTCTACAAATTTCCTTTGTCAAACAACTCAGACTCTGTGATCAATTATTATTATTTTGAAAAAATTTACAAAATAATAATAATAATAATAATTAATTTATTAATTTCAAATGGCTAAATCCATTTCCGTGTGAATGCAACATCCTTTGATTTCCTCACATTTATATTCCTATTTTTGATATGTTCCAAACTCTAATAATGCAAAAACATTTAACTCAACCTATTTGACTAATTTTTGTGGAATTTTTTGCCACGTGGATCCATAATTTTGGGAAATAATAATTGTTGAAATTATATATAGAATTTTATTTTATTTTATTTTATTTTATTTTTAAAAAAAGTGGTAAATATATGTAACATATCTTTTACCTAATTGTGTACACAAGAAAATCTTAGATTTGATTCATTATTGTAATGTTCATGCAATAAACACATTTTAGATTTTTCTATTAGTCTTTGATTTACAATAATAGACCTAATTACAAATTTGTGTACTTTTGTGGGAGTATGAAAATTGAGAATTTTAAAATTAGTATAATTAATATAAAAATTTTATTTTTGAAATTTACTTAATAGTGTGTTTATATATTTTATTCTTCTGTGTTAAATTTTATAATTCAGTGTAATATTTATATTATATTAATATAAATAAATATACTGACAACATATGATATAGTATCAGTTAATACATGCTATGATTCATTTTTAACATAAGAAATATATGTATACATACAATACAACTATATTTTTTACTCCGTCCGTCCATTCGGTAAATATATATTTCACATTTTTTGTATGTAGAAATTATATTGCATATTACAAATACTCTTATATTTATAGTGATTTACATTAATAATCTCACACTAACTTTACATATTATAGGGGTAAAATGATTTTTACATATTAAAATTAAATACAATATTTATTAAACTCCGTACAAAAAAATAAATATTTTTTTTTCAAGAAAATATTAAATAAAAAAAAAATATATGTATGTATGTTTATTTTAGAAACTTCTAGTCAATAGTAGTTAATTATCATGGGAAATGTTTGGTAGAAAAAAAAAAAGAAAATGAAAGTTAGAATGAAGAATTGGAATATACTATTCCATAAATATTATTCAAACAAACATGTAATCATAAGTTTAATCTATTTTGTAACAATTAATTTTATTTTAAAAAAAAATTATATATATATATATATATATATATAGCATATAGTGAAAATCTGTGGTTGAACCCCAAATGGATTTTGATTTAGTTAAGAATATAGTTAGAATTAAACTGTCACTTAAGAAAGAGTCGCTAGTAAGTTCTCACACCTAATTAGAACTAAAGTCGTGAGCTGGATAATCACGACTTTACTACACCAAACTGGAATATTTGCCAATATCGAAGAAATTAATTAATTAATTAAAAGAAAACAATCAAAATAATTAAATTAAAATATATTATTTTTTTATTTTTTATTTTTTAGTTTAGTACTTTGACTCCTTTATCAAATATTTACAATTACTGCACCAAAATGATAAAAAAATTAATTTAAATTAAATTAATCAGGGCATATTTATTTTTATTTAATTATATTAAACTACCTCCGTCTAAAAACCCTGTAATATTTTCAAAATAAAAAATAATTAATTATATTTAATATCTACTCTACACTTTATCTTCTCACATCGTCCAAATAAAAATAGTAAAATATATATTTATCTCTTCATCACATCGTCTAATTTCTAAATTATCATACTTAATATTACCCACCTCGAAACTCATATCAAAAATAAATATTACATCTTGTTTGAAACGGGGGAGTATTATATTATTTATAGACGTACGTACTTTACACTGCTTAAATCATCCCTGACGAATCACTTTTCTCAAAAACCAGTACAACATTTCACAATAAAAATAAAAATAAAAATAAAATAAAAACGTATCCCACCACACAAGTCAATCATTCTTTTCTTCTCTTGTTACTTTCCTATGTGTTTTTATTTTAATTAATTTATTTATTTTCAAAATGTTGAACGTTGAAACCGACTTTTCCTTTTCATGCACTCCCACTTATTGCAAAAAAATTCCATCTTAAATTTGGTTTTACCAAATTAAACCAATCTTCATTTCCTATATATATATATTCATAATACATTCCTTCATCAATCCACTTAGCCTCAAAATTCCATTTTTGCAAAAAAAAAAGTACTCTTAAGCTTATCATTATTTGCAATCGTCGATTCTGACAATGGAAATCAAGAATTTGAGCACCCGAATGCTATCGAAGATCGCTAAAAGTGACGAGCACGGCGAGAACTCGCCGTATTTCGATGGATGGAAAGCGTACGATAGCGATCCATTCGATCCGATTAGAAACCCTAATGGAGTTATTCAAATGGGCCTTGCTGAAAATCAGGTTTAATTTTCACCATACTTTGTTCAAATTTTCACGAAGCGTTTGTTCGAATTTATATTAATTATGTATATATATATATATTGTAGCTTTGCTTCGATTTAGTTCAAGAATGGATCGAGAGAAATCCCGAGGCTTCAATATGTAGCCATGAAGGGCTTCATGCATTCAAGAATATCGCATTGTTTCAAGATTACCATGGCTTGCCTCATTTCCGAAATGTACATTCTCTCTCTCTCTCTCTATCTATATATATATATATATACATATACACACGATAATTTGCAATTTTATGCAATTTCTTTATTTTTCTGCAATCAACAATTTTATCTTATAAGTTAATGATACATTTTTTTATAAGCTTAAATTTTTAGGTGAAATAGTTATTTAACAGTTAATACTATCCCTTTTGTTTATAGGAATAGTTAGGTTCAAAATTCTGAATACCTAAAGCTTATAAAATCAATTTTAGCTAAGCATACTCATAAAAATGAAAACTATATATATATATATATGTAAATACTCGACAATAATTTATAATTTCTCTCTATATATATATGTGTATGTATATGTTTGTGTAATTAATGCATGGCCGAAAAATTTGTAGGCGGTGGCGCGGTTTATGGCGAAGATGAGGGGCGGGAGGGTTAGTTTCGATCCGGACCGTATAGTAATGGGCGGCGGAGCCACGGGGGCCAATGAGATGCTAATGTTCTGTTTGGCTGATCCCGGAGATGCATTTCTTATCCCTTCTCCTTATTATCCCGCGTAAGTTCTTCTCCAAACACTCTTTATACCATTTTTTCAGAGTAAATATATATATTTTTAAAATTTTCACTAAAAAAATATATATTCATAAAAGATTTTTCTTTATTTATTGCGTCAAATCAACGCAGTGCTGATTCGATCCGGTCAATATATGAAGTAAAAATAAATAATATAAATTGATTGGGTTTAATTAATTAAGAGTGTGGTAATATTTAACATGTTAACATTGAAAATAAAGGAATGTTTTGAGTTGACAAGGAATCAATTTTAAGACATTTTAATACGAGTTTTGCTATTTTGACTTAATTTGTAAATTTGTGGGCCCACTTTTTCCAAATTTCCGGATACACTACTTTGTCAACTTCCACACCTACCTCAATATATAACACCTGTAGTCCATACAAAAATTAATATATTTATATATGTAAATAAAATAAAATAAAATACCTGGCTCGTGGTCTAATCTGTTGCCACGTGTACGGCTTGGATCCCGGTGGGGGTAGATAACGTATACGACTGACAGTTGTCCGACCAACCCACCATTTTTTTCAAAGGAAAATAATAACATCAAAAACAATGTCGAGTAGAAATCTTATATTGGAATTTGTTTTTTTGTTTTTTTTTTTAATGTAAAATATAGGTGGTCAACATATAATTTAAACAAATACTACAATATATTATATATTAAGTTTACTCTTTTACTATTTCAAATTTAAATCCGGTCTGTTTGCCCAGGGTTTTTTAAGAATTGTAATTTTTAAAAAGTAATATTTTATATTTTTTACACAATTATTTGTATCATAAAAAAATTTTAAAAAAAATTGCTGCTTAATACAAAAGATAAAAAAATTCAATCTAAAATATTATATTTTATATTTTTAATACATTTTTCATACTACATATAAAAAAATCAATTTATCCAAAAATCTCTGGGTGAACAGAGCTAATATCTACACAAAATAACTAATAATAAAATACATTTATTTTTCTTACAAAATAGTACATCAAAATACTATTTAAATAAAAATTTAAATCACCAATTCATTTCAAATCCCAACAAAACACATCAATTGATTTTTACACTATATACTCCAAATTATTTGTTTTTTCTATTTTGATATGCTTCATAATAAAATATACATTTTATTTTTCTAGTAATTATACTATTTATCTAATATTTATAAAAAATATTCTAATAATTTATAATATATTATATAAATATTTTTATATTTATAAAATTTTATGTATCTATCAATCTACACATGATCTAGTCAGCATCTTGTCACATTCTCACATGGTTGTTTATCAATCACTACTATTTCTTTTTTCTAACTTAAAAAAAATATATATATATATATATAATATTTGATTGGTTAGAATTTTTTTATTTAGTCAAAATAATCAATCCCTAATTGGTGTGTTATTGAAATTACAGATTCGATAGGGACCTAAGATGGAGAACAGGTGTGAAACTAATCCCTATAAATTGTCAAAGCTCCAACAATTTCAAGATCACTAAAGAAGCTCTCGAAGAGTCTTACCAAAATGCAAAAGTCAAAGTCAAAGGCCTAATCCTATCCAATCCATCGAACCCTTTGGGAACAATCTTGGACAAGGAAACCTTCAAAACCCTAATAGAATTCATCAACGACAAGAAAATCCACCTCGTATGCGACGAGATTTACGCGGCCACCGTGTTTGGTGGCGCAAATTACACGAGCGTGTCGGAAATTATCCAAGAAATGGAATGCGATCGCAACCTAATCCACATTGTCTATAGCTTGTCGAAGGACATGGGGTTTCCGGGGTTTAGGGTTGGCATAATTTACTCTTACAACGACAATGTAGTGAATTGCGCGAGAAAAATGTCGAGCTTTGGGTTGGTCTCGTCGCAAACACAACATTTCTTGGCGTCAATGTTGTCCGATGATGACTTCATGGACAAATACCTGTTGGAAAGTTCAAGGAGGTTGGCTTCGAGACACAGTAAATTTACAAACGGATTGGATAAGGTTGGGATCAGTTGCTTGGCGAGCAATGCTGGATTGTTTTGCTGGATGGATTTAAGACATCTTTTGAAAGAAGAGACGTTCGAAGGCGAATTAGGGTTGTGGAGAGTTGTAATAAATGATGTGAAGTTAAATGTCTCGCCGGGCTCTTCGTTCCATTGCCAAGAGCCCGGGTGGTTTAGGGTTTGTTTTGCGAATATGGATGACGAGACAATGGAGATAGCGCTGCGGAGGATTCGGAAATTTGTGGGAACAAACGAACAAGAAAATGCGCGAGTGAAAATGGCCAAACCGTGGCGAAAAAATTTGAGGTTGAGCTTTTCATCGATTACATATGATCATGAAACTAGGGTTTCTTCCCCGGTTATTATGTCTAGCCCTCGATCGCCCTTAGTACGAGCTCATACTTAGGGTTTTTATTTTATTTTATTTTGTGTTTTACAATGATTTGATAAGTAAATTGATATAATTAATGATATGAATTGATTTTATTATTATTATTATTATTTTTGGTTTTTGATGTATCTCATCTCCATTCATTTATAGGTTTGAAGAGGATATATGGTTGACAAGGTACTTTGATTTGCTTGTCCTTATATAAAGAAGTGTGAAGATCAAATATATTGATGTATACAAGAATTTTAACTTAGTGATATTACAATAGTTTTACTCTATTCATATTTTTCTTTTCTTTTCCACCATGAACAAATGCTTCTATTATTCAGATTTATCTTGTCGACCCTAGTTTGCATCGGATTCCTTAAGTTATAAAAGCAAATTTTAATTAATTAAAAAATGAATAAAATAAATTAAGTAAGATTTATCAACTCTTTATTTTAAATATAACTTACTTAAAATAAATTTTTTTTTAAAAAAAAAAAACAAAAACTATAATAAATAGAACACAAATATACTTTATCAACTCTTTATTTTAAATATATGTTATGTGTTTATTTCTTGTATTTTTTGTAACAGTTAGCATCTTTTAGAAAATATGATCCCCATCCAATTCTATTATATCACATTCTTTTTGTCTCAGTTATTAAAAGAAATATATATATATATATATATAAATTGATATTTATAATTTAGGCAAAAATTAAAAATATTTTCATATTAAGTATATAATTATATTTACTAATATAGAAAATATTTACATTTCTAATGAGACATACTAAAAAAATAATAATAAACAAACATAATATAAATAGATTAATTTGAATTTGGTAAAAATTAATAACTAATTTTTTACTTTTTTGTTGTATATAGAAAGTGATATTATTGATTATAGAAAGCGATAGAATGGTACAACAAGAAAAAAAAAGTTGGTATATTTTGATGAGACAGATATTTATATAAAATTTAAGTTAAATAGTATTTAAATAATTTACTCTATATATATATATATATTTTTTTTTTTTTACTTTTTTGTTGTATATAGAGAGTGATATTATTGATTATAGAAAGTAATATAATTGAATGGTATAACAAGAAAAAAAAAAAAGTTTGGTATATTTTGATGAGACAGATATTTTATATAAAAATTAAATTAAACAGTATTTAAATAATTTACTCTATACTCTCTCCGTCCCACCAAATTAGTTCTTAACCATATTCTATTAACTTACTAATATATTTAATTTTATTATTTGTTTAGTTGTAAATTTAGAAGTTTGAAAAAAAAAAATTGAATAATAAAAATAAAATAAATATTTAATATGATATAAATAAGTATTCATCTAATTTTAATTATTTTAAAAATTAATTTTTAATGTAATATAAAAAATTGATAAAATTTTGATTTAAAAATTTATGACCGAAAAATTAATTAAGATTTGATTTTAAACTTTTTTTTCTTTATGCAAAAAAATAATAAAAAAAACTTATTTATCATGCAAAATTATAAAATTATCTTAAATTTCGGTATTTCAATGTAAACTATTATATTCTAATACGGTGTATACAATTCAGTTAGAGATAGTTTGAAAAAGTATAACGAAAATATTGAACTATATTGTACATTGTACCAAATTTTTTAATTTATTAAGAAAATATATCAATATTGTATCGAATATTCGATATATACATAAATATCGAATTTTTTTATTATCTATATATACTGAATATATCATGTATATCGTTATTATAATCGTACCGAAAATTTAAAACTTTTTTCGATATTTTTTTTGTATGAGTATGTATGTTATTTTCATAATTAAATTATTTTTTTATTTATAAATTCGGTATACCAAAATATTTGTACAATATTGGTACAGTAAAATATTATATAAAAATTTTTGATATCGAATACAATGTGGCATTAAATTTGATGTGTCATAACGAACTGTTTCTAACAAATCAATTTCGAAAAATTTTATGTATTTTTTATATAAAACTTTTATTATTACATTTTTTACTGTATTAATTACATTTAAATTATTAATTTTTTTTTTACCTAATTGCATGTATTGATTTGCCATATATACAATTATTATTATTATTTTAAAATAATTTCAGTAAATAAAAAATTTAATATTTTAAAATAAAAACAAAAAATATTTAAACTTTTAATTTTACATTTTATCAAATAAAAATATTTAAAATAAACTTTATTATATCAACTAATCAAACTAATTAACTACATAACACAATATTTCTTAAACTGCGTGCCCAAAACAAAGTGGACTGAGGGAGTATATCAATTCAAAATATTTTTTTTATTATTTTCATCAACTACTCAAAATATTCATTTCCTAAGTTTTAGTAAAAATTACTATAAATTAATACCAAAATATTTTAATTTTTATTTAAATTACAAATATTACCGCGATATATATATATATATATATTACTTTATATAAATTCGAAGAAAAACCCATCCAAACTACATAAATACCAAAAGATTTTTCCCTATTCTTTTAGGGTGAGGAAATAAAAAACTTGTTCCAACTCTTATGCAAATATAGCACACTCTTATATAACAGAGTGCTATTTGTAGCTATTTTTAATATTATTTTTTATTTACTTTTAATTATAAAGTATATTTATGTTTTATTTATTATATTTTTTTTTTGTTTTTAAAAATTTATTTTAAAATTATATTTTTATCTCTTTTTTATTTTTATTATTTATAAAATAATTTATTTATATTATAATTTTTTAATTGATATATATATAGTAAATTATTTATTCATTTAATGTTTATTGAAATTTATAGTTAATTAATTAGGATAAAATAATTATAAATTATTTATATTAAATTTAAATGAATTGATATTATGTTTAATCAAATAATATTGCTTATATTTATCATTTATATTTTATATAAATATTTTTAATAATATTAAATTTTTAATTTTTTTTTAATTTTATGATCACATTATAAAAATAAAGAATATGATTTATCGGTATAATATTTAAAATATTAATAGAAAATATTGTTATAAATTAAACGTGTAAAAATAGTAAAATATTAAAATTTATTTGCACATTTTAAAAATGATATTAAATCAAATATTAAAAAAAAAATCTTTAATCATGTAAAAATATGGAGGTTATAGTTTGTAAAAATAGAGTTATGAATCGGAGATTGAGAATTCTAGAGATGTATTTTGGTTATTTTTTTTAAAAAAAATTAATACATTACATATATTTATTATTTTTAAATTATCTATACAAGTTTTATTAACTCACAGATAAAAAAATATTCTTTCAAATTTCACAAAAAATTTATTTCTTTAGTCACCAAATTAATTCAAAGTTTTTTTACTATTTTGTATTATGCGTTTTTCAAAAAAATACATGATCTTATATATTATTTTAATAACAAATTTAAATTAATTTTTTTTAAAATTTATCAAAAATACATCCACACCCAGAACTTGAAAAAAATAAAATATTAATATTATATTATACCAATAAATAAAAAAATTTAAAAATTAAATATATGATTATCTAATCCAGCTCCTTCGGACGTGTCTCCCAGATCTCCTCCGCCTTCCTCTCCGTCCGCCATCGTTGTCGTTTTCCATTTCAAGTTCAAGGTATCTCTCTCTCACTGTCTTCTTCTTCTTCTCCGTCGCCTTCCTTGACTCAGTCTTACTTTCACTCCCTCGTCTCCACCATCGCCTCCTCTTTTGGCTTAGGTACTGAAAATTAGCGAGTCTCCCGCTTAACGGAGTACCAACTGCAGTGTTGGAACAGTCCAAAACCCTAAGCTATGCCTCGCGGTCCTCTCATACTCAAAGCAAGCGGATTCATTCAACGATCTCTATCGGAATCCTCCCGAAAGCAAAAGCATTCGCATCGTTTGAATGGTATTTACAGGTACGGATTTCCGGGTACCTCGAATTAATCCTTGATTCCTTCATTCCTTCAGACGCTCAATCTCTGGTCTATTATGTGAGTTTGGTTCGAACTGTTTCGCTTTACTCTGTTTCTAAGTGTGTCGGAGATGAATATATATGCGTACATATATATATATATATCTTTATTATAATATGTATATATTTCATTCAGGTTGTGGTGAATCTCTGTTTCAGTAATTGGATATTGCAATTGTGCTAGTTTTGTATCTTGAAAAAATTTCTGCAAAATCTTATGCAACATTCGGCATGGTTATCTATTTTTCAGTCCGCTTCAATGTCGTCTCTAATGATGCATCTTTCCGAGGGATTATATACAGTGAATTGTTCAGTCTGAAAAAAGGATGGATATTTAGGATTCTAATCGGGTGTTTTTGTACTCTTTTTAAAAAAGAATAGATATTTTAACCCAATTATAGCCATGATCAAGCAGGAATCATGAAAACATAGCCATACAAATGTCCTTTAGTTAGTGCATAGTTACACATATTTAAGCCACTCTATTTGTTTTAAGTTCTATGTATTTATATATGTTTTGTCAACTGGAACTTATGGTGTAATTTTCCACATTGTTAAACACTTTGTATCACTGGTTACTGTTGGGGAAGATTTAGATGTTATGCCGAGGATCAATCGGTTGTATAGCATATTAATGATTAACTTCATGTTCACTAATCAATTTCAACCAAAAACAACTCAACTCTGGAATCAGGTGAACATCCTCTTAGGGATTGAATTTCATTTCTATATCAGAACAGCTTTTGACTTCATGTGCCATTTTGTGCTAAAAATAAATGTGGGGGGTTTAAGAGTCTTTTCGATGATTATACATAATGCTTGTGTGTAATGTAATTATGGAATGTGTCTACTCAAAGAGCAAGGACTTGACATTTTCTACTGATGTTGTTTCTGTGTAGATATCTATGCTCGGAACCATACCTTGATACCAATGTTGCATTTCTCAAATCACATGGGATTCATAAAGTAAGCAATTCTTCTTTTCATTCTCCGTTTCTCCATCATCCAGAAATTTTCTTCATGTTGGTGTTTTCGTTATTTTATGACCTACTGCTGAATATTCATGATTTTGACTGAGAGTTGAATGAGTTGCTTTCCTAACTATGCTTTCGGTTAAAATTCTTGAAAGTACCCAGTGAAAACCAGCAGTCTGTATTAAAACAAGTGCATTGGTGATACACTGTAATCCACCAACCAGTGTACTAAATATGGGAATGATTGCCGCCATAAAAAAGAAAAAGTGAATGAATGCTTGTTATCATAAATATACTTATCGAAGGGACTTACCTGCACATCGTTGAATATGGGACCTTAAATGTGATTTTAACAACAATATGGCGAGTTTCAAGTTGTTGATGGAAGATGATAAGGCATCATACATGTACTAATAATTCTCACATTGACAAGTGTTTGACAGTTTGTATCTCCAGGGAACCTTCTTTTGGTGCATTTTTCATATTTTGTTGCTGCTCTTTATGGTTTGAACTTTTTGTCACTGATTTGTCTTGGAATGTTACACTCTGGTTGCTATATAAAGGGGCTTTTGGCTTGTAATGGTTCACAGAAGCATTTGATTTCTACTCCTATGATTGGAAGATGTTATAGCACACAGGCATCTGTGCAGAAGGATGTTACTTCATCCGATGATAAAAGGTACTGCCTTTTCTATTTTCACCGTCATCAACTTAAGTATAGAAACCTTCACCCCTGCATTCTGATTTTTATGGTAAATTCCTCTCAAAAGGGTTGTGCCCAAATAACTTCCATTACGATAAAACGACACTATATACATACTAACTTTGCATATTGTCTGTCTTGTTAACCGTTGACCTTCTTAGTTTCAAGGGACATGATATGCTAGCACCCTTTACGGCTGGATGGCAAACTACAGATTTGCATCCTCTAGTAATTGAGAGGTCAGAGGTATGTGAAACCTATTTGTATTCTTCTAAAGCAGGATTTTTTTTTTTTTAATTTTTGTGTTTTAGTCCAATCTATTTGGAGTAAGTGTTACATCTGTTTTTGTTTTAGGGTTCTTATGTGTATGACATTAATGGGAAAAGGTATCTCGATTCTCTAGCTGGTTTATGGTGCACGTCGCTAGGTATTAACCCTCCCCTTCCAGGGAGAAATATCATTCACATTTAAGTGTTAAAAAGTGTTTGCATACTCCTGAAATTTCAGTTTGACATCCAACTGTTAATTCTGCTCTTGCAATCTTGCAGGGGGCAATGAACCTCGCCTTGTTGATGCTGCAATGAAACAGCTAAACACATTGCCATTTTACCATTCATTTTGGAACCGAACCACAAAACCATCTTTGGTATGGAGTTGTTTTGATCTACAAACTGCAAGAAAATCTTTGAAATTCAATACTCCCATTCTGATATGGAATTAATCCAGGATCTTGCCAAGGAACTTTTGGATACATTCACTGCTAATAAAATGGCTAGGGTCTTCTTTACGAATAGTGGATCAGAAGCCAACGATTCACAGGTACAAGAATCTTCATAAAAAAAAGAAAAAAGTTTACTGATTTGATTGATAAAGAATACCTTTTTATTCTACATGCTTGAAACAATGACAGTCTAGAAAATGCTATTATGATGGAATTTCTAAAATCAGGTTCATTTACTGTGTTTAGATACAGTAAAGAAGTTCATCTGTTTTCCTTTCTATTGCAGGTAAAGTTGGTTTGGTATTACAACAACGCCCTTGGAAGACCAAACAAAAAGAAATTTATTGCTCGATCAAAATCGTAATAATCTTTGCTCTGCTTTCATATTTTGTTCATTTTTGTTATATACCTTACCTTCTCCTTCCAATTTCCTTTGGCAGTTATCATGGTTCGACTCTTATAGCAGCCAGTCTTTCTGGGTATAACTTCATCACCTTCCATACGTCAGAATTGTTAACAATCTAGTTTATGCCGAAATACATTGTTTATCAACCTCTGCTTTTCTTTTCAACAGTCTCCCTGCACTGCACCAGAAATTCGATTTGCCAGCTCCGTTCGTACTACACACTGACTGCCCACATTATTGGCGATTTCATCAGCCAGGTTTGGCCTTAACATTCTAAAATGTACCTTCTTCCTAGATTGAATAATATTTCTGTAGCAACTCTTTATAGGAGAATCGGAGGAGGAGTTTTCTACCAGATTGGCCAACAACTTGGAAAATCTTATCATCAAAGAAGGACCTGAGACGGTAACTGATAATTTATGCCATTCTCTCTTCTTTTTTTTTGTTTTGTTTTTTTTTTTTTTTTTATGTTTCTTCTTAAAAGTATGATTATATCTCAGATTGCGGCTTTTATTGCGGAACCTGTTATGGGAGCTGGAGGTGTGATACCTCCTCCTGCAACTTATTTTGAAAAGGTGAGTTTTCTTTTATGCCACACTTTGCAGAATGTTCGAAATCCATTAGCTTATCCATATGAAGTTGTTCATAACATCTTGTGTAATAAGGGCATATCTTTATTAGTTTATTAAGTTCTTAACAACTTGTCTAATAATAGGCTATCTTGTCTCTAAACTATGCTTACGGGCATTGTGCAGACTCCTTTCTTGGGTGTAGTTTTATAAATTTCCCTACTAGGGACTTCATAAATACATGGTTTGACCGTATTATGTTTTCTACATGTGTGCAGATTCAGGCTGTTGTGAAGAAGTATGATATCCTTTTCATTGCCGATGAGGTAATATGTGCCTTTGGAAGGCTTGGGACAATGTTTGGCTGTGACAAATACGGCATCAAACCCGATCTTGTCTCTCTAGCAAAGGTAAACAAACATTGCTGCCTGAATTTGTCCTCTCATTTAAATCTTGGGAGATTATTCAATCTCCTTTGTCATTGATAACATACAGGCACTTTCTTCTGCTTATTTGCCTATTGGAGCTGTCCTTGTTAGTCCCGAAATATACGATGTCATCCATTCTCAGAGCAACAAGCTAGGTACTTGATGGTATTTTGACTTCATTTTATTCACGTTTTCTGTTTTGATCCTCAAAGGGTGTGTTCGTTTATGGAATTTTGGCAAAATCCTACTATTTATCAAATTTTTTCCCTCAAAAACATCAAAACACCTATGTTTCATTTTTTATAATTTAGTGAAAATTGATTTTACATTCAAAACATCACATCAATACATACTTATATCACATTATACAACTATTACAATGCAAAATTTTTACTATTCAAATCCCAACTCAAAATCCAAACCCCCAAACAAACATACCCTAAATATATTTTCACATCATCCTTTTGTTTTGCAAGGTTCATTCTCACATGGATTCACTTACTCGGGGCATCCTGTATCGTGTGCTGTTGCGCTGGAAACACTTAAGATCTATAAGTATGTGCTTTACAGTTATTCTAGGAAATTCAGTCTTTCTATAGCCCATGTGCACGCAATATATACAATTGGCTAATGTTGAATATATTGAAAATTAAGAATCTCACAAGATATGTCAATTGAATAATCACATTTTGTTGAAACGATTTTGAAATGTCTGTGCTTTGTCCACAGGGAGAGAAATATTCTGGATCGTGTAAATGAAGTGTCCCCTAAATTTCAGGACGGTGTAAAAGCATTTTCTAGCAGTCCCATTATTGGCGAGGTACCATCAAACGCAGATATTTGCCCTTTTAGTCCATTGAAAGAAAGAAAGACCTATTGTTAACTTACATCCTCCTTTTCTTATAAAGATTAGGGGAACAGGTTTGATTCTTGGGACTGAGTTTGCCGACAATAAATCACCGAATGATCCATTTCCTGCTGAATGGGGTATGTTTATACAATGACCAAATTTTTTATTGAAGAAAATTGTGATTTTATTACATGATATGCAACCATTGTCTATGTTTGTGAAACAAATGTTAGGAATCGGAGCTTATTTTGGAGCACAGTGTGAGAAGAATGGGATGTTGGTGCGAGTTGCTGGTGACAACATTATGATGTCTCCTCCTTTCATAATAAGTCCTCAAGAAATCGACGAGGTAAATTCTTCTTACCACTGAATTATTACATACTCAATTTGTACGATAGCGGCTTAAGATTATGGAGAGAAAAATAAAGCAAAACCAACTGTCTGAGTAGTGTTTTCAAGATTTAGGAGCTAAAAAAGCCTTTCCTAGGAACTGTTCCATTAAATCATTTCATAACTTCGTTTTCGAAGTGAAACTAGTTGAGTAGTTGACCTTGAGTTTGTCTGAACGATCAAAACTCAACTCCACTTCTAGTAAATACTCCCTTCGTCTACTTAATAAGTTTACATTTACATTTTGCGTCATTGTACTTAACATTAAAAATATCGTCATATATTTTTATACAAATGATATTATATTTGTTTTATAAAACACTAATAGATGTATTTTTGTCATTTTTATTTTTATTTGTACTACATTTTGATATAATAATTAATATTCAAAGATCAACACGCAAAAAAACAAATGAAACTTTCAAAGTTGACGGATGGAGTAAAATTTATCTCCATATACAATTTCAAAGATATAAATATATTCTGAATAGAGGATGTTAGTATTATATGATATAAAGATAACGACATTTTTGTGTAATATATTGTAAATTAGAAGGGTATTTATAATGTTAGGTAGACAGTAAATGAATACTTTGTTATGGATCAAAATGTAAAAATAGATAGATTGTTAACGAAAAGAGGGAGTATATTTCAGTAAGCTGAACTAATAGTGTTGATACTCATTCTAAGAACTTTGCGGCATATATGTTTGATGTTTATGCAAATACAATTGATTCAATATAAATTTGTCGTGGCAGCTGATCGATATCTATGGGACAGCGCTAAAGGCAACGGAAGAACGGGTGGCTGAGCTCAAGCAGCAGCAGTAAGGTTTGATTTATTTATAATGGCGAAAATTTGGATGTGTATAGTTGTAGACAAAACATATATATTTAAATTAAGTAAGAATAAAGAGAACAATCAAATGGTTTATGTTGCCATTCATTTAAACAATGAATTGAGAAGGCTACTTCCAGGTTCTCCATGCTATCAAAACTGTAAGAATCTTCTCTATTACTATAATTATTGCTATTCACTTTATTTTTAAATTATTTTATTTAATATTATCTATTTACAATTTCAAATTATCTTATTTAGTAATATCCACCTAAATTCTTGTAATGAAGTGAATTTTTCATATATTGAGTGCAGAAGTAATTATAGTATTTTTATAAAGAAATTTAATATTGAAAGGTGTAAATTAAAAAATTAATGTTGTTATTTTCTATAAGTGGAAATTGTATATATATTTTTTTGTAGACATCCTATAAAGAGAAGGTGTATATTTTCTAATATGAAAATAATTTAAATTAAAAATAAAAACAAACGCAAAAGGTGTGTTTGTTTGAGGTTTGGATTTTGAGTTGAGATTTGAATAGTAGAAATTTTGAATTTGAATAGTTGTATGTGATATAAATAGGTGTTGATGTGATGTTTTGAATGTAAAATTGATTTTTAGTATAATATAAAAAATGAAAAATAGATATTTAATTTAATATTTTTAAGGAAAAAAAATGAATAAATAGTGAAAATTTAATCCAATTCCCCGAATAAACAAACCCTATGTTTATTATTAACAAGTTCGCATATGTTTTGTAGTGACTGATTTGACTTCGAATAAATAAGTAAAATATGTACTATCTCCATCTCAAATCTTTTGTAATATTTATTTATTTATTTATTTATTTTGTTTCAAATTCAGTGTAATATTTTTGAATTTAACAATAATTAATTATATATAATAAAATTTCACTTTATTTCATCATATTACACCAATAAAAAATAAATATATATTTCTCTCTCCAATCATATCATTTAATTTTTAAATTATCTCAAATTATCCTACTTAATATTATCCATCTAAATTCACCTGCCGAACTCAAATATTGCACAGTATTAGGAGGGGAGACAATACATTATGGGTGTGTTCGTTTGTAAGATTTGTGCAAAATCTTACTATTCATCCAATTTTTTTCCCCCAAAAACATCAAATCAAACACCTATTTTTCATTTTTTATATTATACTAAAAATCAATTTTACATTCAAAATATCACATCAACACCTATTTATATCACATCGTACAACTATTCAAATTCAAATATTTTACTATTCAAATCCCAACTCAAAATCCAAACCCCCAAACAAACACACCCATAGATTTTGAGTGTGTATATATTATACTTCCTTCATTTATTAATAATTTTTCTTTATTTTGTTTTTGTTTGAGTGTGTATATATTATACTTCCTTCATTTATTAATAATTTTTCTTTATTTTGTTTTTTTTCATAATAAAATATTTATTTTTTTACTAAGGGTGTGTTTGTTTGGGGATTCTTCCCCAAATATACTGTTCATCCTGTTTTTTTTTCCTCAAAACATGTCAAATCAAATACCTATTTTTTATTTTTTATATTATATCAAAAATGAATTTTACATTCAAAATATCACATCAACACCTATTTATATCACATCATACAACTATTCAAATTGAAAATTTTTATTATTCAAATCCCAACTCAAAATTCAAATCCCCAAACAAACACACCCTAAATGTATTATTCATCTTAATATTAAAAATATTGTTACAATTTATAATATATTATATAAATTTTATTACTTTTATATCATAAAATATTAATAAAATTATTTTTATTATTATGCATACTAAAAATAACGAAATACTTATTTGAGGGGCTGAAGGAGAATATATTAATATAAATAGCTTTTAGCTTGTAAAAAATTTTATTAGCATTTTTATTTTACTTTTTAATATTATATAATTTCTCATTTTTATTAAAAAGATATAATATTCAATAATTTATTTTTTAGGTTAAATTGTACAAAATTTATATGTGGTTTTCCAAATACTCTGTACTTCTAAAACTGTTTCAACTCACTCGTGGTTTTATAAACTTTGTGTCTAGCTTATTCGACGGTCCTTATTTAACGGTATTTGACCTAAATACGCCCAAATTGCGAATAAATTTTAAAATCTCAATTTCTAAATCCCTAAAATTATAAAATATACTCCCTCCGTCCTAAACACCATACAAATTTGTGTTTGGCATGAGAATTTAGGTGGGAGTATTAAGTATGATAATTTTGATATTAAATTATGTGAGTGGAGAGAAAAATAGTTATTTGTTTTTTTTTTATTTGAGTGATGTGATGGGATAAAGTAAAGTATATATTAATATATGTATAAAAATATTATTAATTATTTCTAAATTTGAAAATGTTGCATGAGTTTGAGACAAATAAAAAATGAAATGTTGCAGGGTATTTGGGACGGAGGGAGTATTTATTTTTCTTATATTTAATTTCAAAAAATAATAAATATATTCAAATATAGTTATTTTCTCAAGTTTTAAGAGTTTAATTTTTTTGTTTTTAGGCTAAATATAAGAAAAATAATTTAATTTGTAATTTTAGGGACTTAGACATTGAGATTCTAAAATTTATTTACAATTTGGGCGCATTCAAGTCAAATACCGTTAAATAAAAACCGCCGAGAGGGTTAGACGCAGAATTTATTAAACACGAGAGAGTTTGACACAGTTTTAAAAGTATGAAAATTTTGATACAATTTCGTAAAAAACGGATAGATTTGATGCAAATTTAGCCTATTTTTTATATAGCTAACAATCTTTTATCTCTTAAATAAAATAATTTCAAATTAAAATATAAACAATTTTTTTGTGTGTATCTACTCAATCTATCCCAATAATATAAAATAAAATAAAATAAAATATTTGGAATGACATGGAAATACGTGTGTAGTCGTTGTCGAGGTGAGGTGTACATGTGTGCATAATTAATGACCGCCACCAAATTAATAATTTTGCATTTTTTTAAAAAATAAAAAAAAAAAAAAAAATCAAATAATTTTGCATTCGAATTCAAAAGTGAATCTTGTGTCACTTTCCCACTTTAGATGAGACCGAAAATATTTTTATTTAATTTTTTTAAAAAGTTTTCCAAGTTTAAATTGATTGAATACTGAATCAATCGAACGAATGGCTGCCGACGATATAAATTAAATTGAAATTATGCATATCTGAGTGGGCCCATTGGTTTAGGTCTCCTCGACCGACCATTTTTGTCTACTAATTATCTCAAAGACTTGTGTTTCATATAAAATAAAATAACAAAATTAAAATTGTTACGTCGATTATATTAGTGATAACTCATTCCGTCTCAAAAGTATAGTCTTATTGTGTTATACACGAGATTTAAGGAATATTGATATTATATTGACAGTCGGTAAAAAGCAGGGTAAATGACTTTTTTGTCATTGTGAATATATTAATGTAAAAAATAGTGGCAATTATGTAATAACAATGAAAAAGGTAGAGATAGTTTTACGGTGATATGATTATTTATAAAAATGAGACTATTGTTTTTCGACGGACAAAAATGATAAATAAGATTATTGTATTGGGACGGAGAGAGTATATTAGATCATTTATATGTTCAGATTCGATTAATGTATACAAAGGGTGTGTTTGTTTGGGGGTTTTGATTTTGGATTGGGATTTAAATAGTAAATGTTTTGAATTTGAATAGTTGTATGAGGTGATATAAATAGGTATTGATGTGATGTTTTGAATGTAAAATTGATTTTTAGTATTATATAAAAAATGAAAAAATAGGTGTTTAATTTGATATTTTTGGGAGAAAAAAATTGGATGAATAGTTGGATTTAAATCTAATCCTCCAAACAAACACACCTTAAGTTAATATTTTTATATTTATCGAATACATTGAAATATATATATATATATTATCATTAATTTCGTTCAAAATAATAATAATATCTTATTTTTTAATTTCTGCAAAACCTTCGGTTCGTCAGCGAAACAATGCTGGCTTCGTCACTATGTGTGTTTTGTAAGGTTTTATATATTTTTATTTTGATGTGTTTGAAATAAAATTGTTGTTGTAAATTAGTAGAAAAATATTGCTAGTATTTTAGGATAGTTTCAACATATATGACTTTAAATGTACTACTCCCTCCGTCCACCTACAAGGTATACATATTTCTACTTTGGGTCGTTAAATTACAAGGTAACCATTTCATTAAATACCCCAATTTTTTCCACAAATACTCTTACTTTACATCATATTATTATTTTTATACCAAAAAGTAAAGGCAAAAATTTCATTACACTACTTTTACCTACGAACTATAATTAAAATATTATTATTTCTTAAACTCCGCGCCAAAAATAAATATATACTTATTGTTTGAACGAAAGAGTATTAAAATAGAATTATTATATTGAATTAGTAACTTTATTTTATTTGGTCAATAATATACTCGAGAGACGGTCACAAAAAAATTTGTGCGCACAAAAATAACGATATTACTACAGATAAATTCAATCGAGTTGAGTTGCCTCGACTTGATTTAGTTTCGTTCATCGCCATATTTATGCCATTTTCTTCAACAAATGGCGCAAGCGTTCGGATTCTCTTCGACACTGTGATGAATATAGTATGTGCTCATTGGCGGATAATACGGCCTATACGGCATCATGACCAACTCCGGTTGCTCTACCTTTTTGGGCTCGTCTTTTTTGGTCTGATCGCCTTCTTCTTTCTTTGGTTCTTCTTTTTTAACTTCTTCTTTCTTCTCTTCCTCTTTTTCCGGCGCATCTTTCTTGGCTTCGGCTTCTTTCTTTTTTGGCTCGGGTTCTTTTGCGGGTTCCACTGAAACAATCCCGACTTCCCAATTCCTTTTGCGCAATTTGCTCACTACTGTGATGGGATCGACTGTCCCAATTACCGTTAGTTTCTTGCCCTTTGCATCGATTGAAATTTCATCGATTCCTAAAACAAGGAAAAAGAAACATTTTACGATGATTTTTTCGGAGTGATTAAACATATATATATAATTATGATTATTGTTTTATTTATATTTATAGTTTTATTTTTGTATTTTAAATAAATGATTCAACATTTATTTATATTAAATTACGAACAGTTGAAAAGCGGTATAGACTGTATGTGAAAAATGATTGTATTTTTTTAAAAATGTATGTTAGATACGAATTGGTGTTTTTTTAATACAGAATTTTCGAAATTTAATATTTGAATTCTGCATTTTTTAAATATATATTTATTTATTTTAAAAAATATCAAATCAAATACTCCCTCCGTTCCAAAAGAATTGTCTTATTGAGAATTGACACGGGAATTAAGCAGTAATAGTATTTAATTGAAAGTAGATATAAAGTAGAATGTAAATGACTAAAATGTCATTGCTTATGTTAGAGTAATAATTAGAGGTAGTATGGAAAAGTAGAAATAATTTTGTTATAAAGTGAAGACCACGACTACTAAATAAGGAAACAAAGACAATTGTTTTGGGACGGACAAAAATAGAAAAACAAGACAAATCTTTTGGGACGGATGGAGTATTATTTTAATACAAAATTCAAACCAAATATATATAAGCCAAACCTAAAGAAACATATGTTTTTCCAACATTCTAAATTTTTCAGAAGGAAAATTCACAATTATGGTATCCAAATCAAATTATGTATTTCCTCCATTCTAATTCAATGTATTATTTTATTATTTTTTTCGTTTCACTAAAAAATATTTACTTAAAAATAATCATATTTAAATACCAAAATACTTTTAACTTTTTTTAAAAAAAATATATATTTTTTATTTATAATTTCAAGGACACAAATGTTAAAATTATTTTATATACTTCCACTAACTAATAAAATACTAATAAATACAAAAAATATATATATATATTACATTGGGACGGAAAAAATATTAGTTAGCTAATTAATTTTGAAGATCTCAATCCATCCATAAATACCAAAGTTTGTTTAATTAGTATTTTATAATTTTAAGTATTTTTGCTGTGAAGTATATAAAAATCGTAAGAATACAATAAAAAAATAGTAATATTTTATACTTTTTCCGTCCAAAAGCTAATACTCTATTTTTCTATTTGGGACGTTCAATAATTATTGTCCTATTTCTTTTTCTTAAACATAAATTTTATATTTTTACCCTTCATTCAATTATTACTTTTAATCTCTATCATATAAGTAAAGACAAATTTATTAATTCATAACAAAAAGATACTTACCTAAAAAAATTGTGTAAATATACTTTAGGACAATATAAATTGGACGGAGGGAGTATATTTTTTATTAAATTTTATTGTTATGCATATATTGTAAAATTAACATATTTGGGTTTGGTATGAGAAAAATAAATATATTTTTTTTGAAAAAAATAATAAAATTAAAAAGGTAATTAGAAGTATTTTTTTTTAAAATTAGTTACAAATTAAGGAAAATAAAGAGAGAATATATAATAAAAGTAGTAGCATTTACAGTAAATAATTATCGAATAAAGAGTAATAATTAAATATTGATTTATCAAAATTAATAATAAGATAAATTTAATAAAAAATATTTAAAAAAAAATACTTCCTCCGACCTACTTTTTGCGCCCAGTTTAAAAATTATAATTATTGTATAATAAAACTAATTATAAATTAATTTAAAATTAAAATAATTAAATAGTATAATTAAAAAAAAAATTATAAATCATAAATTTTAAGAAAGTGAGAGTGAATAAGTAGTAATTCGATAAATTTAAAAATAAAAAATAAATTTGAAAAAGGAAAAAGGTAGTAAAAAGAGACCTGGAAGGGCAGCCACAGTCTTGAAAGCCCTTCTTTGCTTCTCTTTGTCCTCTGCTTCCAAATCCAGCTTCAGCACAAACTTCTTCTACACATTCAATCAAACGACGCCGTTTCATTACATCACCAACAATCTACTACTATTAATTATATATATATATATTTTTAAATAAAATATAGGGACTACTTTATAATATAAAAACATATACTTATATTTTTATTGACAACATACTAAATCTTTTAGAAGTTTTGAAACTTTTTCCAGTGACATTTATCAATTTTTAACTCATAATTTTACGATCACAAATTTAATTTATCAGATCATCATCATCTAATCAACTAATTAGTGGTTTTAGATTCTTGATTGAACCCTTTTCCCACAAAATAATAATAATAATAATAATAATAAAATAAATAAATAAAAAAAGATTCCCACTAGAGAAAGGAGATCATTTCTTTAGTAAGAATTAACAAAAATTAGGATCATTAAAATACACAGAATAATAAGCAATAAGAGATTTTGGAGCATGAACCAAACCTTCATGTCTTCTTTCTTCTTCTTCTTCGAAATTTGGAAACAAAATGCAGATTATTTTGGGGCAAAAATGCAAATAAGAATTGATAGGAGAGAGAGAGAGAGAGAGTATAGATAGAGAGAGAATGGGAAAAAGCAGTGATTTACAAAACACAATAATAAAAGAGATGGTGGTAAGAAAAGGACAGAGGCAGGGCAGGACTGCACACAATTCATTTTCTTTTATTATTATTATTATTATTATCATTTACACGAAAACAAAAACACAATAAATGAACCAAAATAATAATTTATGGGTCCTACATCATCGGTTCATTCGGTCAAATCAGCACGATAATATACATAAATAATATTGATTTTATCCGAATTTAAGGATTTTATTTATTCTTTAACGTCATTGTATTAATATTAAAAATATTTTTATATTTATATATTCTTTTGCACAAATATCATTAGTATTATAAGAAACTAATGGAAGTATTTTTATCATTTTTTCTTAGTTTGTACTACGTTTTTATATAATAATTCATATTCAAAGATTAATATGGAACCCTTAGAATCGGACAAAAATAGTATTATATATTATAATATATTTATAATACAATATATAATGTTTTATCTCGTAATATATATTGTATTATCTTTATCCAACTCTAAAAGTTTTATTTTCTTTTTGTGTATTAATATTTAAATATTAATTATTATATCAAAACGTAATATCAATTAAGAAAATATATAAAAATATTTTCATTAATATCTTATAATACTAATAAAAAGATATCTGTAAAAAAAATTATATAAATATAAATATATTTTTAATATTAAATACAATAACACGTGACTTTTAAAAATAAGAGGAAATATTACGTAAAAAAATATATTAATTACATTTATATATATATATAGCCCATACGTAACCAAAAAGAAATAATAGATGGAGGACAACGTTGCATCTCTATCTACACACACAGTGTGTGTTATATACACACGTGTGTATATATATACTGTGAATTTGAATATTAGAAATCAGCAATTATTTAATAATTTATTATTATATATTGTGGACAATGGAGCATGAGTCGTACCATCTGTATTCTAAAGATTTCTGCTCATAATTTTCTTTTATATCATTTAAAAATACTTTTATTTATCTATTCAGTAAAAAAATTATACTCATTCCGTCCCAAAATATAGTATTATTGTGTTGTGCATGAAATTTTAAAAAAAAATTGAAATTATATAGATAGTTAAAAAAAATAAAAAAAAAAGTAATTTTTTTGCCATAGTGAGTATATTAGTGTAAAAAGTAGTGATAATTATGTAATAATAATAATGAAAAAGTAGATATAATTTTATGGTGATATAATTATTTATAGAAATTAAACTATTGTTTTGAGATATAAAAAAATTTGTAAATAAAACTATTATTTTGATATAAGTTTTTAAAAATTTATAGAAAAATTTAAGCATTAAATTATTGGCAAAGATAAATTAAATTAATATAAAAATTAAAGACGACGTCGTCGTCCTCATCAACCGCCGATCCAATATCTATCACTAAATTCTGCCTTCCTTCCTCCACCCCATATTTCTATTACTATATTTGTTCGATACGCACGCTACTGTTTATTGCCTGGTTATTTTTATCAATATTATTATTGAATAGTATTATGCATTATACTCTCTCCTGTTATAATTATAATGACTGTACATACGGAAATTTAAATAAAAATATAATTAATAAATAATTAAAAAATATATTAGTAAAAATAATTATAAATTAAAATTAATATAAATAAAAAATTTAACTAAAATTAAAAAAAATTAAACTAAATTGCACAAAATCCCCCTGTGATTTCATGAAATTGCACCAAATCCTCCATACTTCTAAAACCGCATTAAACTCCCTCGTGGTTTCATAAACTTTGCGTTTAACTCCTCAGTGGTCCTTATTTAACGGTATTTGACCTAACTGCGCTCAAACTGCGAATAAATTTTAGAATCTCAATTTATAAACCCTTAAAATTATAAATATATTTTTTTTATATTTAACCTAAAAAAATAGTAAATATACTTAAAAATAATTATTTTTCTCATATTTTAAAAGTTTATTTTTACTATTTTTTTAGGCTAAATATATAAAAAAATAAATATATTTGTAATTTTAGGGGTTTAAAAATTGAGATTCTAAAATTTATTCGCAGTTTGAGCGCAGTTAGGTCAAATACCGTTAAATAAAGACCGTTGAGGGGGTTACCCGCAAAATTTATGAAACCACGAGGGAGTTTGAAGCAGTTTTAGAAGTACGGAGGATTTGGTGCAATTTCATTAAACCACATGTGGATTTTGTGCAATTTAGCCAAAAAATTATAAAATTTTAAATTTAAAATATGTTTAAAGTGAATAATCGGTGGAACGATGAAAATATAAAATATGGACAAATTATGTGGGACAAGATGTAGTAATTTTTTTCTAACTGTTTTAATATGGATGTTTTTTTTTCAAATAAAAAATATTGCTATTTAATTTGTAATTTTTAATAAAAATATATTCCCTCCGTCCATTTTTTAATATCTGATTTGATATTTACATGTATTTTAGGAAATTAAAATTTTTGTTATAAAATGACAAATTTGTTCTTAATTTTGTGTATAGAAAAGAAAATAGTAGATAAAGTAAAGGCAAAAGAGTAAATTTTGTGTATATAAATAAAAAAAGAACAATAATTGTTCGACATTTAAAATAGAAAAGTAGAACCCTAGTTGGTGGACGAAAGAGAATATAATTTTTTTTCACAAAATATTATTTAAATAAAATTTTAATCAACTCTTTCATTTCAAATAAGTTCAAACAAATCATATGATGTCATTTTAATTTAGTATTTGAGATTTTGATCTTATGTAAAATGTATTAAATTCTACTGATATATTTCCTATGTCCCAACCCAATTTACTATTTTATCATTTTCATCTTTCCAATAAAAAGTGTCACTTTCATATTATAGTAAAATAATTCATATATAAATATTAAAATGCTTCTAATTCTTATAAATATATATATTTTTTATACTTTTAAAAACAAAAATATTAAAATCATTGTACAACTTTCATTAATACTACAATATTATTATTTTTTAATTTAATATAAAAAAAAACAGATACAAATGAGTTGGGATGAAAAAGAGTATAATTGAGTATAATATTTTAAAAAAAAAAAATACTTTGAATGAATATAAATATATACTTAAAATATATAATAAATAATACAATATATAGTCTTACATAGAACATCAAATATTGTTATTATATATGTTTATTAGGTTAAATTGACCTTAGTTAGCTGGGATCTGCCGCGATATTAAAGTAATTGATATTTTGAATTTGTTTGTTTATAATTTGAAAATAAATGTTGATTTAAGTTTTTATTTAAACAATATTTTTATATAATATTTTGTAAAAAAATAATATTTTTTTATTAAAAATACAAATAAATTTAATAATGATATGTTTTATTTAAAATTAAAAATAAACATGAGTTAAATAAAAATACACAAATATTGTATATAATTCCCTTTCAAAAAAAATATATTATAAATAAATAGGCATGCACAGGTAATCAATTAAACTAGTGGCTATTAATTAAAATCCATTAAAATGGTTACATATATTTTCCAAGAAAAGAAATTCGAAGGAGAACCATTTAACAATAATGTTATTGTATGATATATATATATATATTAATTACTAAATAATCCCTCCGTCCACACACAAAGTAAAAAATTGTTTTTGGCGCGATGTTTAAAAATAATAATATTTTAATTATAGTGAATGGTTAAAAATAATATAATAATATTTTTGTCCTTATTTTTTAATGTAAAAATAATGATGTGATGTAAAGTATGAGTTTATAAAAAAAAAAAGATTTTTAATGAAATATTTACTTTGTAATTGGACGGCCCAAAATAAAAATATATATACTTTTTAGCTGGACGGAGAGAGTATTAAATAAGTATGTATTACTCCCTCCGTCCCTTGACAATCTATTATTTTTTTATTTTGGTTCGTCTCATAACAAAGTATCTATTTCATTTTTAGTAATTGTACTATATACCTAACATTACAAATACCTTTCCGATTTACATTATATTACACAAATGTCATTACCGTTATATCATATAATACTAATAGATAAATTTAGTCTTTTTATCTTTATTTTTACTTTATCTTAATATTTTATTGATATTTATAAAATTACGTGTAAAAAGTAAATAAATAGATAAATAAAGTATTAAATAATTAATTAGTTATTATGGGATTGACTTTTTGGGTAGCTAAGGTAGGAGAACAACTATGAAGTATAGGCATAGCCGGCCTATACGATACATATCAAATTTCAGAGACATGGGCCTTCTGTGGGCCCCATTTTCAGGCACACATTTATATGTACAAGATAAATAAATAAATAATTTCAGATTGTGTAAAATAAATTTATATATGTGAGATCATGAGTTCAAATTTATACTTATTTTTTATTTATAACACATTTAACACACTAACATTTTCTTTGAAAACTATAGTCACAACCCTACATCTATATTCTAACAGGATCTATTAGGGTGATAATTTGGGCCGGTTCGATTCTTTTATGTCGGGTAGATACGTCCTGATTTAAAGCTTTGTTGGGCCAGTACAGCCCGATTTACAATCGGGTTTGGAAAGATCGGCCTAGATACAATTTGAAACTGGGCCGTGCCGGTCCACTTCTTTTTTAAAAGACTTTTAAATTATTTTGTTTATGTTTTTAGCTTTTAGAACAAAATATATTTTAATAACAGAAATGGAGAATTAGTCCACAATTAATCATATACAAACTAAGATTTTACCATCAAGTAACATTTTCTTTTATTTCAAAAAATTAATATATATACATATGTAAATTTATTAAAATAAATATTAATTTTAAAAATCGGACTAGGTCATATACAACTCGGTTCATTAGCGTGTCGGGCCATGCACGATCCAAAAATTTTCGAGCCTATTTTTTAAAATTCAAACACAATTTTTTTGTGTTGTGTTCAGACCGAGTTTTCAAGCCGTGCTTATTTTTACCACGCCTATGATCCACTAATGATCCGTACTACTTAGAATTTTTACTATCTCTTACTTTTCCTTAAAAACTTAAATCAATTGTTTTTTTGTATTATATTAAAAATTAATTTTATATTTTAAATTGAAATCTCCAAATAAATACACTATATATAAAATTTTAACAATTTAACAATTTATACTCCCTTCGTCTCGAAACTAAATACTCATTTGCTTTTTACACGTAGTTTTAGAAATATTAGTATTATATTGGGATATAGTAGGAATAAAGTAGAAATAACTAAAATAACCTTATTAGTATATGTGATACAAAGGTAATGAGACATTTGTATAATATATTGTAAGTTGTAAGGGTATTTGTAATGTTATGTAGATAATACAGTTATTGAAAAAAAAATGGATACTTTGTTATGGGACGGACTAAAATAAAAAAATGAATACTTTGTTACGAGACGTATAGAGTAATTTATTTTAGTTACCTTTCTGCATATATATATATATAAATATTTTTTAAATAAAATAAAAAAAAAACGAAAAAAAAAAACACAAAGGGGGTAAAGAGGGTGGGGGTTGGGGAGGGGGGGGGGGGGGGGGCGCTTCACCTTGTCCCACTTACGTCAGCCAGTGAAAGTAGGTCTTCGGTGCCTTTGTTTGTAAGGCGCTTCCCTTTACTCTCATTATGCAATGTTTTTCTTTTTTTTTTTTTGTTTAATTTAGTTTACCAATCATTATTAAGCAAATATGCCTTGATGGTTGAATCTAATTTACTAATCATTACTTTATTTATTTTTATGACGTGAGAATCTGCGAACCACCGTTCGAAAGTGCACACTAAATAAATTTTTTATCAAATTTAACACCTTATAAATTAGGCGAACCATATATAACAAGTGGACCCGAAAGCGTCGGGGGTTTGAACCCCCTTGAGATCACGAATCCACCTCCCACCACCAGAGGCACTAATCCATATTAAATCTTCCAATAGTGTGTTTGATGTTTTTTTTTATAGGTACCATTGATAATAAATATTTAATGAATTTATAATATAATTATAACATGATTGTATAATTATATATTGTTCTAAATTGTAATAAAACTTATTTACAAAATAAAAAATAATTACAAAAACATTCCTCAATTTGACTATAAAATACAAAAGGTCAAACTCTTAGAAAAGGACCAAGAGTTCTTCACAAAACATAGCTATTTGCTATATGTTAGAACCAATCAATTCATTTCCTTAATAAAAATTCTTGGCCGAACCTAATAGCTGGTCACAAATCCAACCCCTACACCACCAGGTCATTTGTTACGGAATTTTTATTTTTATTTTTAATACCTAGAGATAAGAGAGTTTATTGATATCAACTACTTATATTTAATGTTATATTGAAGGAGAAAAAAATACTAATATTTAAATAATATTTTGATATAATATTTTTGTAAAAAAAAAAATAATGTATTTTCATTAAAAACAATGTAAAGTAAATAATATTGGTTTTATTACCATATAAGTTATCATTTTGCATTCTAAAATTCAAACTTTTGTTACCAATATGAAATATGAATTCATATTGTAAATTTATATTTTATTTTAGGATTTTTGTAAATGGAAAAATTGATATGTCTATCTTCCAAGGAAAAACTTGACCATTTTTGAAAAAAAATTATCATAAAATTGGATATTTATGTTTCATTCACTTAAAGAAAGTCATAGACAATTCAAATTATATATTCTAAACACAAAATAAAACACAGAGAAAATAAGTATATTGTTCATATTAAAAAAAAAATCCTCAATATTTTAAATACATTTGTTATAGATATTGACTTATCTTGTCGAACATGATTTGCAAATTATTAAATTCGATCAAAATTTATTCAAAATACATTAAAAAATAACAGTTACAAGTTCTCGCATCATAAAAATAAAAAAATAAAATAAAAATTGTAAATTTACATATAAAATACTTACATTTAAATAAACTTATGCTAAGCCAAAAATAGAAGGTAACGTGGAGGGGTTGTTCTTTTAATTTTTTCTCTTATCACATATTTTTTTTTTTAAAAAATAATAGATATATTTTTAATTTTTATATTATTTATATAATTTTTTATATTTTACTTAAAAAATAAATAAATATATTTCTTTCAAACTATTTTACAAAACAAATAAATTATATAATTTTTGAAAATTTAGATATCATATCCTATATATATAATTATAGTACAAGGGTGTGGACCCCACACTTCAAATTTTTGGCTTTTATTTTTGGAGTATATAAATTATTTTTTTTATTTGTAAGTTTTTTTAGGGAAAAAAAAACTAAAATTTAGTATAGATAGTTTTTGTTTTGAAATTAGTATTTAATAGTTTTATAATAGGTAGTGGGTGGTTTTATATTTAATTTTTAAAAACAAATCTTCAGAAGAAAAGATCACGGGAGGCAAATCTGCACTGAAGAAGAAGATCACAGTATATACAAATCTGCACTGCTAAAAAAGAACATCAATTTGTTTTTCCTATCTAATCTCTTAATTTTTTTTTTTATTTTTTCCATTCACTAATTTTATTTATTTTTTGGCTATTTTTTAATGCCGTATATATTTTGTATATGATGAACGTCTGAAGAGAATGTGAGATTCACCGCTGCTAGAAAATACTGCTTCCGTCTTCACCAATCAATTTTATATTTTTTTGAATCATTCTCTCTAATCTCTTACTTTTTTTTTTTTTTTATTTTTCTATTCACTAAATTATTATTTTTTGACTATTTTTTATGCAGTATAGATTTTTTCACCAATCAATTTTATCTCTTAGTTTTTTTTTTTTTTTTAATTATTATTATTATTTTTCTATTTACTAAATTATTTTTTCTTGGCTATTTTTGATTTTGTATATGGTGAACATCCACTGTAAGATATTGTCGCAGTCTTCACCAGTCAATTTTATATTTGTTTTGAGTTTTTTTTTCTTTAATCTTAGTTTTTATTTTTTATTTTTATTTTTTATTTATTAAATTATTTTTTCTTGTCTATTTTTTTTTTTTTTTTTATGCAAATGCTTTCAATTGTAGTTATAAATATTGATAGTTTGATACTCCCTCCGTTTTATCTCATTGAAAGGTTATCATTTTCTATTTTAGTTAGTTCCAAAACAAAGTTACCATTTTATAATTTAGTAATTGTATTACCTACCTAACATAATAAATACCCTTTCAACTTACATTATATTACACAAATGTTATTACTTTTATATTACATCATACTAATATAGTATTTTTATTTTTTTACTACAATTTAATATAATACTAATATTAAAAAATCTATTGCAAAAAGCAAATGCCACCCTTCTTATGGGACGGAGGGAGTATTATAATTTTATTTTATCTATATCTTTATAAGTTTGCTTTATATATTTTTTATTAATCATTATAATCTATTGTATATTTTTACTACCTTATTATTATATTTAGGTGACTTTATGGAAAATGTTATTGATTTATTGGAAATAATATTTGATAGATTATGTAGAACATGTCATATAAAATAATATTTAAATTTTGTAAAAAAAAAATTAAAATTAACATTTCACAAGTTTTTACTCAATTTTCTCTCTTTTATGTAAAATATTATAATTGTAAACAATAAATTTTAAAAATATAATAAAAATTTATTTTAATCTTATATCTTTTATTTTTATTATCTATTTTGTATAGATAATTTAATATGTACTTTTATAATTAATATGATAAATTTTTTTTTTTTAAGTTTTATTTGATAATTATTAACAATAAAATTATAATTATAAAATAATTTAATTTTATATATTTTTAATTAAAGATATATATTTTTTATTTATTTCAAATATTTATAAAATTAAATAAAAATAATATAATAACAATTAAATTTAATTATAATAATTCCGTACGTAGGACCGTTTAAACGCTAAGTATATATATATATAATTTACATTGGAGTTGGAGAGGTGAAGAATACAAAAGAAATAACAAATGGCAGCGGATAAAGATCTTCCACCCTCAGCAATGGCTATGGCTATGGCTATGGCTATGGCGATGTGATCATTTCTTCCTCTCTCAATTCAATTCCCCCAATTCCAAATACTATCATTTTTTACATCTAATCTAACCCCCCAATTCCCTTCTGGATGATCCCAATTCTGCAATCCCTTCGAAATTAGGGTTTTTGGAAATGAACAAAAACGACGACGATGCATTGCAACTAGCCATCTACAGGTCGCCCCCGCCCTTCACCGGCGGTTGCCTGGAGATACGCTTGTTCTACGTCCGCATCGCGCCTTGTACCGTCGACGCCATCCCCGACCACCTCACCCTGCGCCATCTCCGCCGCGAATTGGGGGTGTTCCTCGAACTTAATGGCGTCCGTACCCCATCGTCCGACGTCGTCCTCATCGCCCTCCGCCGCGATCGCGTCGATAAGGATTCCTCCGAGGTCACCTACGTCTCCACCGATAGCGTCAAAATCTCCGGTCCTGTGGAGTTCGAGGTGTGCGAGGAGGAAGAGGAGGGTAAGGATTCGGATCTGATACTCTGCGGCTCGGTGCATAGAGCCGACGCCGCAACTGGATGGAGCAATGGCAGTTCCTTGGAGACTGAATCGCGAAGCGGTTGGAGTATGGATTGCTACACGGCCACCAACGCTAGGTCGACCTTCTTCCAGCCCAAAATTGGGATCGGTTCGCCTTCAATCGAGGTTTACATCGCCGGATGTTGCTCCGGAGCGCCGATTATTTTGACCAAAACTGTTTTGGTTAGTCCGAGGAGGAAGATACTGAGGCCAGGAATGCTCGATGCAATACCAGAGGATGAGGAAATGGGGAAGGAACCGGCTGCTGCTGCTTCCACCAATGGATTAATTCGACAGCGGAAATTGCAGGTACAAGTGCTAATTTCAAGCTTTGCTTTAATGGGAAGATGAAGGCTTGTTTGAATTTTGGCTTATTAATATGATTGCTGTAAATTATATCCATTATTTCAAGCAGGTAAGTATTGAGATTATCAGTTACATTAGGAAGATTCATTGCTGATGGTTGCTGCTTCTAAGTTTTCATTATGTTCGATTTTTAGGGATTTTGGAGTGTTTGAGATCAACATTTAGGTCATTTGGGATCATTTAGGATCAACCTAATTTCTTGAATGGATATAATTATTTAGGAAAAGAAATACACTTCTTGTTAGTGTGCAATGTGTATATGTTTGGGAAAGTGGTCTGCTCGACAATTGAACATCGTGAAAGTATGTCTGTCGAAGGTTTTGCAATTGCTTTACTTTGAGTGGCAGTTAAAGTTTGTGTTAGTTAGGACAATTGTCGTGACAGAATCTTGCTGTTCTTTCTTGCTTCAAAACTAGAACACACTCTATGATTTCATATTCTTAATTTCATGTAAATTCTTGAACTCGTTAATCCCACAAGTTTGTCATGATTTGGTAAAGAATAAACTGACCTGGCCTCGTATCTCCTTGAGCTGTCTAGCCTGACTAGGTTGCTAGCTTTTGCCGTGATGTGTGCACCGTTATTGACCATAGTTTTCATACGGTAGCACTTTAATATATTGTGCCATGGCATGCTTCCTGCAATTAAAAAACTAAGCACTGCACCAGATATGTTTCTCATTTTCTTCGGAAGCTTAAGTGTGTTTGGGTTTTTGGGTTTGGATTTTTGAATAGTAAAAAGTTGAATTTGAATATTTGTTTGATGTGATATAAATAGATGTTGATATGATGTTTTGAATGTAAAATAAATTTGTTGTATAATATTAAAAAAGAAAAGTAATTATTTGATTTGATATTTTTGGAGAAAAAAGAAATTTTGGATAGTAAAAACCTGTGGTAAAACCCACAAGAGAACGCAAGTGTGTTTGGGTTTTTGGGTTTGAATTTTTTAATAGTAAAAAGTTGAATTTGGATAGTTGTTTTAATGCGACATAAATAGATGTTGATATGATGTTTTGAATGTAAAATAAATTTGTTCTATTATACCTTTAAAAAAGAGAATTAATTGTTTGATTTGATATTTTTTGAGAAAAAAAGAATCTAAATAGTAAAAATCTGTGGTAAAATTCACAAAAGAACACAACCTTTGTTTCTGTCCACTAGAATTTAGAAATTACTTCCTCAGCCAGTTGCATTTTAACAGGCGTATATATGTGTGTGTTTGTTTGGGGGGTTTTTGCGTTTGGATTTTGAATAGTAAAATTTGAATTATAATAGTTGTTCGATGTAATATAAATAAGTGTGATGGAATATTTTGAGTGTAAAATTAATTTTTAGTATAATATAGAAAATGAAAAACAAGTGTTCAATGTTATATTTTTTGGGAAAATTGTTTACGAATAGTGGAATTGCGTAAAATCCCCGAATCAAAAACCAGTTCTTGATGCAACGCGAAGTGTTGTGCATGCCTGTGGTACTAATTTTGTAATTTTATATTACCGTAACATTTTGTCTTCACATTAACTCGATGCCTCTCTCTCAGTTTTCCCGACTCTGCAATTAGTTTCTCTTTCTGCAGTTAATGGAAGCAGACACTGATTCAGAAGACTATGAATCCGACGGCAAAGCTGTGATGCACGGTGGCTATTATCACGATGAAATGTACCCCGGGGAAGACGGCCAGCTGTCATGGTTCAACGCGGGTGTGCGCGTTGGTGTAGGAATAGGCCTGGGAATGTGCCTTGGGGTTGGAATTGGCGTCGGTTTGCTGATGCGATCGTATCAGGCGACGACGAGAAGTTTCAGGAGGAGGTTTTTCTAGTTTCTTACCAGCCACAGTGACGATAATTAGATTCCATGAAAATGATGGATACGATAGATACATAAGTCGTGATGAACACCATACCATAGTTTCCCTTTTTTTGGATAACTAACCGCAAGATGCTTCTAACCAACTGACATTACAGGCAATACTACGGCGCGCCATTGACGGGGAATGAATATACAGTGGGGATTTGCGGATCGACTGTCGAGGCAAGATAATCTGTTCCTATTTCTTGTTCTTAATACGTAAATATGCATATGTTCTGAAGGTCCCCTGTTTTTTTCTTTTTCTTCTTCTGTCTCTTTTGGTGATTGTTTTGGTTTTGAGGTTGCCAATTTTGTTCGACTTTGATTGTCTGAAAATAAGCGGCCGTTGTGGCTGTACCGGTGTTGCGTATATATGTTATGTGTGTATATCTTTCGGGACCGTGTTCTTTTGGAATTGTTGAGATTTTTTAAGAGGGGTTTCTTGTGCCTACAACTAAATGTGTTTTAGAATTTAGATAGTCTGTATTGGCAGGTTTATTGATTGATTTTTGGCATTGGTGAAGATAGTTAAATCCTAGTGATATGTTTATGATTTGAATTTTTATTTAAATAGTATTTTGATAGGATGTATTGTGGGAGGAAATATTATATTTTTATTCGAGATAATTAATTAGTCTAATTAAAATGAGATTAAATTGTATAATTAGACTCTGTTTATATATATAATATTATATTAAATGTTAACTTTTACTATTTTAAAATTTCAAAAAATATTTGTCTACATATATTGTTCTATGACTAATTTATATGGATTTATTTTGTGATTGTTGTCTTTTGATGGTGAAGTGTTGCTTAAAATATTTATTTATTTGTTTGGTGATTATTGTTGTGAAATATTATATATATATATATATATATATTGTTCTAACCCTAGTACATAAGTTGTTGAATATAATTAGTTTTCTAGTGATTAAGGACAATCTACAAGGGATTGGCTCAAATGCAAATTAAAATTTATCAACTAAGTGAAGTAATTGAAGTTAGATATAGTTGTAACCTTTAGAATGAGGTATAATGTGAATTTTTGAGCGTTATTGAACTTTTAAATTTTATATTGTTGGCAAAGATGCCAATAAAAGAAAAAATTGGTTACCCTCTCATTTCACAATTTATAAAAATTAATTGCCCTTCATTTTCATTTCAAAATTGTGAAATGAAAAGTTGATCTTTTTTGTTTATTTTATTTAAAATAAATATTTTCTCCTTTTAACTGAAAGTACTTACTTTACTATTTGTATGTTCATTTAATGTATTTATTTTATACTTCTGTCCCAAAAGTATAATTTGTTGAGTTGAATACGATATTTAAGAAATATTAATATATATTAGTAATCGGTAAAAAGTAAGAATAAATGATTTTTTTGCCCTTTTGAGTATATTAGCGTAAAATGTAGTGGCAATTGTGTAATAATAATGAAAAAGTAGGGATAATTTTATAGTGATATGATTATTTATGAAAATGAGACTATTGTTTTATGATGGATAAAAATGATAAACAAGACTATTATATTGGGACGAAGGGAGTATTATAATAAAAATAAAAATATATTAAAATTTTAAATATTCTTAATTTTTATTGTAAATATAAATATATTATTATATATATATAGATATAAAATACTAGAATTATCATACATACTTTATAACATTTATTAATTTACATATATATTTAAGATATTTTACTCTATTTATTTGTATAACACTTGTATAATGGCGTATATTTACCCTCAACATTTGAATAGATAAAATATTTTATACATACTTTAATATTAACATAAAAATATTTTATGCAATAAATAAAATAAAAAAAATGTTTATACATTAAAAAAAAAATACAAGATATTATGCAAGTTTTCCCATTATTTGGTAACAAATGATTGAAATGCAATAACCACATGCAACGTTATCTTCAAACGAAACCAACATCTCCTTTCCTTTCATGTCCTAAACTTCTTACCCGAAGGAGGTCAGTGAAGCTTGTATCTCCTCTAATGTCCGCCCCTTAGTTTCCGGAACCAGCTTTACGACAAACACCATCGTCAACCCGGATATTATTGCAAATATAAAAAATATCCCTAAATCGAAAAACAAAAATAAAAAATAAAATAAAATCCCGAGCAAAAATGAAAACAAAATCAAGATGAAAAAAAAAAAACCTGCGGCGCTCCATTGTTCCAAAAACGCAAACGAATACGTAACAATCCATGTGCCGAGCCAGTTTACAACTGTCACAAGGCTTCCCGCCAATCCCTTTACATTTATCGGGAAGATCTGCAATAACAGCTCGACTAAGTTTTTTCCAATCTTTAAGGAAATTTTAGTTTCAGACACCGCGGCTGTTAGATGATATAAATGACCGTCTCACCTAAAAATTTAAGCTTCTAGAATACGTCTCATTTATTTATTTATCTACAAACGAAAGTCAACCAACAACAGCATGTATAGTTCGGTACCTCAGACATTATCACCCAAGGTATGCCTCCAAGGCCTAATGAGAAAGATCCCGAGAATATCTGTTTCAAGGCATACATAAACCAGCTCAAATCGAACATCCTTAAAAAAAACAAATTTATTTACACTTGATTGCGCAACTTTTCATTACCAAGACGCCTAGCAATGCCAGCACCGGACTTGAATCCCAAAGCTTATGATCCTGTAATTAAATTAAATATATATACATAGTACTAATCGAATGTCATAAATTCTTGCAGTAAGACTGTGCTACTCCCTTTGTCATTAAAAAAATACGTGCTCATTTCTATGTCCAAGAGTACTATTTTAGTTTATTCAAATCAAAACTTCTCATTTTTTACTTTAATATCAAGGGTAAAATAAACATTACACTATTTTATTAATTATACTATAAATCTATAAATAATTAATTTATCTTAATCTACGCGCAAAAGTCAAATGAAAAACTTACATGTAAACGGAGGGAGTATTTTCTTTATTATTATAAAACAAATGTATATATATATACTACATTAAAACCTGAGTTCAAACAAAATGAGCTTATTTTACATGACGGATGGGGTATAATAATCAAATTACGAATGATTTCAATCTCATTGAGTTGGAGTTTGGTAAATTTTAGAATTGTAATTATATCGAACAAAGTAAGTGTACTATCGATAAGTGTAACCTGTAAGAAGTACGATAATCCAATCAAGAAGCAACCCAAGGAAGTTCCCGTCACAGAAACCTGCGTTAGCGCGCAACTACATATGTTGTCTTTTCCGAGGTAAGAGAAAAAAGTTAGAACATAGTAAAAGCATACAATAGTATTACCAATAGCAATGGGCGTCGGCCGGATTTATCCATCAAGAGTGTTCCCAATAGCGTCATAGGAATATGAACTATAACCATTCCTGTCGTTCCGACTCTATACGAAAAACCTGCCTCACAATCCAACAAATGTTTTCAAATCACTTTTGACATTATTCATCAATAATACATTTTCAAATATATATATATATATCACATCAAATACTTATTTTTTATTCTAATTTTTTATCTTTCCCAAAGCATTCCAAAACTCAAAAGGGTGTGTTTTGTTTTGATTTCTCAAATCACCACTATTCAACTCTTACGATTCTCAATAAAAAATACTTCCATCGTCAGATAAAAATAGTCATGAAAAGTAAGAAAAACAAATAAAAAGGTGAGAAAAGTAAAAAGATAGTTAGAGATATTTTTAAAAATTTAGTCAGTAACTAGAAATGATGAAGGAGAATGTAATAAAGACAATGACAACGATACTAAATAAGTATTGAATCAAGGGTAATCGTTAATTGTTGAAAATTTAACTTCTTTAAAATATAGGAATAGGTTAAATTTAACGGACAAACAAAAAGAAAAGTATAAGTAAGTTTGGGTGACGGAGGCAATATACTTCCACATATAACACAATCGTAAAATCTAGCTCACCAGCGGATGAAAATATGGAACTCGCGTAATATGCGATCGCATTCACCCCTCCAAACTGTTGCAACACCATCAACCCGACTCCAACCTATATTAATAACAATAAAAATAAAAAAATTAAAAATTTGTTGCAATATTTTTACATTTTTATGTAAAAATGTAATGAAGCCTAAAATGGAGCATTACCGTAAGGGCGTGAGCGTATCTTCTTTGGAACAAGTCTGTTAATCGAGATCCCTTCATTTGTTCGAGAGCTATCGTATAGTCCTGAAGTAAATGCATAATTTGATAATGAGATTGAATTCTTGAAATACATCAATCGAGCTAAAATGTCATAAATGTTACCCTGATTTCAGCTTCCTCTTTGGTAATGTTGCTCGTCCCTCTAAGGCGTATCAACGATATTTTGCAGCTGTCCCAACGGCCAATCTTAGCCTGTTGAAATACTATTGTCATAATTCCTAAGGTTGTGGTAGATTTTTACTATTCAAATTCTTTTTTTCCTTAAAAAATATCAAATCAAACAATTACTTTTTTTTTTATATATATTATACTATAAATTTATTTTACATTCAAAACATTACATCAATATCTATTCATATCAAATCAAACAACTATTCAAATTCAACTTTTTACTATTCAAGAATCCAAACCTAAAAATCCAAACCCACAAATAATCAGCTCAATTAAAAAACGTAAGCTTCAATACAATTAGGATTTTGAACTTTGCCATTTCCTATTAGAAACTTCAAATAGATTCTTAACAAACTTACCAACCATCTCGGAGACTCGGGAATGAATGGAAGACTGATAAGTTGTATTAAACATGGAATTGTTCCTAAAACAGAGTCGAAATATCTTTTTATTTTTATTTATTTATTTTAACGTATTTAAGCAAATAGAAAAGACAGACTGTGGAAAATGAATTACCAATAAAAGCCAAGAGGCGCCATGTGATGAGGTTGCCGACGATATACATGACCGAGGAACCAATGCAAATCATAAACTAAAACATCAAAACAATATCATTTTATTTCAGCATTTATGAATTTAAACAATTTCAAAGCTTAAAAGTTGAGGGATATATAATATATTTGATCTACCTGGTTGACTGCCGTGAATACTCCTCTGAGATTCTTAGGTGTAATTTCAGCCACATATATTGGCACCTAAAAAATTGACATTTGACTAAAGTTTATAAAAGATATCTAAGTCGAAGAAAATCCGAGAAGAAAACTCCACTTACAACATAGGAAAGAAGCCCAACTCCAAACCCTGTCGAAAACCTCCCAAGATTGAGCCACCACGCATTCTAAAAAGGATCCACCCGAAAAGATCAAACTACTCCAAAAATCACGATCCAAACGAAAAGTAACAGAAGTGCCAAAATGAAATAATTCGTGACTTGGATTTACCTTAGAAAGGCCTATCACGATCCACCCAAAAAGATTAAACAACTCGGCAAATCCCATAGCCTGTGGTGCCAATTTGTCTTTGCATTAGAAAATTGCTCGAACTTGAAAAAAAAAAAAAATCAAGTTCTCTACACTTAAAAATTATACTATCGATTGTGATTGAGATGAACAAAATCTTTACTCCTCTTCTTCCAAAGAGATCGGCTATCTTGCCACTCACTACGGCTCCAATCATAGCCCCGATTGTTGATATTGATCCAAACAATGAATACTGCAAAATGGAAACCAAATGAAGGGACACAATTATATTAACGTAAAAACATCATAAAATCGAGTAAGGTATATTACTATTGGTATGTATTTTTTAAGTAGAATAAATAAGCTTCTTATGACTTCTTTGCTTACCTTCTTTATCGATCAAGATAGAAAAAAATAAAAATAACTTAGTTTGTTAACTTGTGTTAATTTTTTTAAAATATTTGTACTCCCAATTTTTCCACTAAAAACATCATATTCAATTACTATTAAATCTCAAAAGGAACAAAACCAAAAAACAAGTAAACAAAAGCGTCGAAAATTCGTTATGGTCAAATAGTTCTGTTTAAATGGAGCAGAAAATACAGGAAAAGTAACCAAAACACAAACTATGAAACACATAAGTGTTCGAGAAATCGATCACAGCTGTAGAATATGATTGACTGGTTTTATAATTTGATTTCGTGTAGTTCTAACTCCCATTCCTACAACAAGACATTCGGGTGTCGCCAATTTTATCATTTTCATCTATTAAGGGAATCAAAAGTAAAATAAAATAAACTGCAATCATTTAGGTATACCTACACCGCACTAAAATTTAATTTTACATTCAAAACATATTATCAAACAACTGTATCAATTCAAAAATATTCGATTTCAAATCCAACTCCCGAACCCACAAACGAACAAATACAAGGTCAGGTATCTTCAATTTTGTCATTTTTATCTACTAAGGGAATAGAATTGCAATCATTTGCTTGCTTCAATATATACTAATTCTTGAGTGTGTGACATTGTGTGTGTTATTTTATCAAACTTTACCCAATTTTACTATTCGCTAAAGTTTTTCCTAAAAAACACTAAATCAAACACCTATTTTTCATTTTATATTATACTAATTTCACACAAATTCTTACTATTCAAATCCTAAACCAAAATCCAAACCCCCAAATAAACACACCCTCGACTCTAATTTGTTTGGGGGTTTGCATTTTGAGTTGGGATTTGAATCGTAAAAATTTTGAATTTAAATAGTTGTATGATGTGATATAAATAAGTGTTGATGTGATGTTTTGAATGCAAAATTGATTTTTAGTATAATATAAAAAATGAAAAATAGATATTTAATTTGATATTTTTGTTGTGGGAAAAGATGGGAATGAACACTCTATTTAAAATCCAATCTTCCAAACAATCACACCTTAGTAAAAATGCATTGTGACCTCAATGTATCACTATCTCAGTAAATTTGAACTAATTAACACTAACATAAATAAAAGAAACACAGCAATTCTAGGGTTTTTTTTTTTTTTGAGGGGGTACAAAAAGTGCATATTGTTCTTCTATTGATTTTGAAGGAAATATTAAAGACTGGCCTCAGCCAAACTTAGGCCAAGATCCTTCATTATTCCAGGCTGAGCAGGCGATGAATATCCCACCTACAGACATATTCACGTAATGTAAGAAGAAGAAAAGGGGAATTTTAAAAATAAATAAATTATTTTTGGAAGAACTCACGGCAGAGCCAAATACGTAGGAACCGGCGACTGCTACAAACGTGGTCAGAACAAGAACGGCGGTGATTGATTCAGAAGCTTCGCCGCCGTCGGAATCCGCCGGAAGCAGCAAAGGAGCGGCGGCGCCGACCTCAGCATCAGCCTTCGATCCTGTTTCCATTTTATGGAGGATTATTCCTATTGGATTGATTGATGAAGAAATTAAACCTTAACTAAGACATATATATATATATGTATGTATGTGTAAATCTAGAGTAGAGTAGAGCACAGCGCAGAATTGAATTTGGGAAAGAATTGACTGCTGCGGAAATGAGGAGACAGACAGCCGACGATAATTCTGGCCACGTTTTCTTCCTTTTCTTTTTAGCCATCCGTCCAGCTAAATTGTATTATTTAATTAGCATGTAATTAAAAAATTGTATTAATTAAAATAATTATGATTTAATAAAAAATATATATAAATATATATATATATATAAATTAAAATTAAGATTGATTAAATATTTTAATTAAAATAATAAATTTTAAATTTTAAATTTTAAAATGAAATTAAAGTGTATAGTTATATTTTTTTTAAAAAGACAAATTATGTGGACAGACGAAAAAAATAAAAATTGAAATATTAGATTTATATTCAATTTTAGATTTAGTAGATTTATATTTAAATTTTTTCTTATCCATATATTAAATTACTTTAATTTGAGTCTATCGAGTTATCTATATTTACATTTTTTTTCCCAAAATTTATAACAGAGACTAATTAAGTAGAACAAAGAAAGTAATAATTGTCTTGTCTCATGTCGTGTAGTTTTGTCCAACCGGTGACGAACCGGAGGTTCGGTGGTTCAAGAGCTGATTAATCGGAACCGATGTATTTAAGATATACATATATATAGGCGACATCATGTCTACATGCAACACACCGTATGTATTCATATAATACAAATACAATACATGGATTAACAACACATTTTATAGACTTATACATCACAAACAATAGTTGGTTTCAGCACACCACATACTATCAAACAACACACTTGTAATTGTGAACCAACAACACAAATATAGCACATGAACTAACATCATATGTTATCTTATACAACACAAATAATAATTTATTTCAGCACACCATATATACTGTTGTACAACACAATTATAATTATAAATCAACAGTACACATCTTTACTTTATACTGAATATGTTGTGTATAATAAGACTGTATGTTATATATATATATACAGCACAAAGGTGTATTACCCATTGAACCTAATCGAGCCGGGAGATCAACTATTTGATTCCCTTTCCAGTGCATATGGCGAAGCCGAATCATTGGGTACCGTCTCAATAATTGTAGAGTCGATTGAAGAATAAAAACATGAGATGATTAGTGTATACATCCATATGTAAATAATTTTTGGCATATGTCTCAATTGCTTGAAGTTGTAGGCGATGAGTTTAAGGTGATCTCGGAGTTAAATATATATATATATATATATATACTATGGCATTATGACTATAATTTTTTGTAATAATAAGCCAACAATTGAAATATCAAATAATCTTGTATTGTATGAAAAATCAAACACATCGATGTATAACATCGTGTGTTATTCGTTATTTAGCGACAGATAAAATAATTTTTTTGACATTTTATGAAACATATGATCAAGTTGAAGATATATTTATGAAATCTCTTACTTAAGCCAAACATGAATATTTCAGATAGTTTATACAAGTATGTGATTATCAATCGAGGGAGTGTTGAAATGATTTATCCAAATAAATATAATGTGAGTGTTTAATATAGTTTTTAGGGGAAAAATCATTTTTTGTCCTAATATAACAAAAATTCATCAATTTTGGTCACAATATAAAATCTTATCAATTTTGGTCATAATATAATCAAAACTCATTATTTTTTGCCCCAATATAACCGAAACTCATCATTTTTTATCCAAATATAAAAATATTATTAATTTTGGTCCCAATATAACCAAAACTTATCATTTTTTGTCCCAATATAATCAAACCTTATCTTTTTTTGTCCCACCGTCAACAAATCGACGGAAAATGCTGACGTGGACTTACAAGATTGTGCAATTTTTTCAAATATAAATATAAGGTTTGATTTTTTTTTTTCATGTTAGCATTTTCTGTCGGTTTGTTAATTGTGGGACCGAAAAAGATAAGATTTGAATATATTTGGACAAAAATGATGAGTTTTGGTTGAAAATTGATAAGATTTTTATATTTAAGACTAAAAATGATGAGTTTTAATTATATTGAGATCAAAAATGAATTGATAAAATTTTTGTATTGTAACCAAAATTGATGAATTTTGATTATATTGGGAGCAAAAATAATTTTTTCCATAGTTTTTAATATACTAATTAGTATCATTCTAAGTTCTAGTTGTTGTTATAGTTTCTTCATAATACAATTTCAATCTATATCTTGTTTGTTTATTCAATAGTTATATTATTAGCCTAAAATAATAATCTCATATTGAATTGAATTAATTAATTAACTAATTAATATAGGGACAAGTATAGAAATATTTGCAATGGTAATAATTTGGTGCTTGAGGCACTCCCTTATCCCAATATAGTTACATTTTTTTTTATATTAATTATTTTTATTATAATAAAAAATTAATATATTTTTTTAGTGTGATAAAAAAAATAATAAATAATAATAATAATAATAATAATAATACTCCTTCCGTCCCAGATACCGTGTCTGTTACACTGTAGACACGGTAGCAGACACGGTATTTTAGGAGGGGTATAATTAGTAGATAATTAAGAATATAAATTAGTGAAAATAATTATCTTATAATATAAATAATTATAATTTAAGATTAAGATAATTAATTAGTTTAATTAAAATTAAAAAAATAAAATTAAAAAAATTTAAAATGAGATTAAAATGTGTAATAATTTTCTAAAAAATAAAAGTGACATACTATGTGGGACGGACAGAAACGGCTCTTAATTAATTAGTTTAATTAAAATTAAAAAAATAAAATTAAAAATTTAAAATGAGATTAAAGTGTGTAATCATTTTCTAAAAAATAAAAGTGACATACTATGTGGGACGGATAGAAACGGCAATATGGACATAATATGGGGACGGAGGGAGTAATAAAGTTATACGGATGATATATTATTGCTCATTCTTGGATTTTTCGTCCGTATTAATTAATTGGTATGGGGACAAGTATAGAAACATTTGCAATGGTAATAATCTTTGTGTTGAGGCGCCAAGATACACTGAGAATACTGAAACTCGTCTCCCATGTAGCTCTTACATATATCATTACACGCGTCTGGATTCTCCTTCTGACACGTGTCCCCGATGTCCAGCTCACAGGTGGTCCCCACGCAACCTTAACAATATTTTATTTACTTTAATTCAATATATAAATAGAAATAAATCAATGACAATAAAGAAATTAAGTTGACCAATAAATATAATAATTAACAAAATATTATTACCCCTTTTGAGGGTTTATTTTTTCTTCGTGGGTTTTATGATAATTTTTTATTATTATTTTTTTAAAAAAAAAAAAATCATATAATTTCGAAGTATTTTTGTAAATTTTACCAAAAGATTTTTTTTCTAAAATTATAAAATCAAACCATTCAAAAATTCAAATTCACAAACAAACACACCCGAATTCCTTTTTTTATTTAAAAAAAATATATTTGTTATAAATTTATGTATCAGGTCTATAGGTTTTATCGAACTTTAAAAAAAAAAAACACTAATTGTGTGTTTTCTTTAACTTTTACTTTCAATTTTACAAATATCACGTTAATAAATAATTTCTCATATATATATATATATGTATTTAAAAATATTACCTGAAATAATAGAGAAGGAAAAGACAGCCACAAATAAAACTTTGAAGAGCTCCATCCACAGTGTATTCTGAAATAATAATTTTCAAATATTATGATGTCTGAATAAATAATACATAGGCCTATTTATATGTGAAATTTTAACAATTTGGGATAAGATATTATTAAATGAGTAGTAAATTTATTGAAAAATTAACGATATAAATATCAGATTAATTGAATATTGAATATATATAAATATAATATTATGCATGGTAAGTGAGAATTATTTTATTTAAATTACTAATTAGGAAGTTTCCATTTAGCTTAAACATAGTCTTTGATAAAAATATAGTATTAATTTAAAATATATTATTTAAATAAAAATTTAAATCTACACTATATTTTAAATCAATTTCGATTAGATAAAATCGATATTTATTAATTTTCTCGTGAATGATAACAAGGATGTGTTGGGATGAATAAAAAATAAATTCGATTGGCCAATATGGAAAAGAATTGTCTTTAATTAGAGAACAATATTTATTATAGGATTTCTTTTAAACAATTTATATAAAATATATTTTTATCTCAAAATACTATAATTATTTTCTACATCTTATCAAAATTCACCTTTATTTTAAAATTTTACTATTTTAAAAACAGTGGGTGTGTTACTTTTTGTTTTCAATCTTATCCGAGTTGTTCATCCAATTTTTATTTATTTATTTTTTTCTAAATAATTTTGTATAAATATTTTTAAAGAAAATACAGTATATATTTTAACATAATATATATAAGATATATTTTATTTATTTTTTACAAAAATCAATAATTAGAGACAAAATATATACTTCCTCCGTCCACCGCCAATCTATTTATTTTGTCATTTTAGTTTGTCCATCGCAAATGTATACATTTTTTTTTAGTAAATATATATTTCACTAAAATATAAAATTACCATACCCTTTATATAATATTACACAAATACCATCAAATAACACTACTTAATACCATAAATGTTAAGGGTATAATAGTCTTTATGTATATCAATTGTACCATATATCAATAAAATACTAATATACTAAAATTTACGTGCAAAAGGTAAACGAATAAATAGACTGGTGGACGGAGGGAGTATTTTTTTATTACTACTCAATTTCTCATATTTAAGTATAAATAATGCATTCATCCAAAAATATAAAATGAACACACCCATTGTTCTTATAGAAAAAAAATAAAAATCAATGTACTTATTTTTAGTTTATATTTTATATATAAAATATTTTATTCAAATAAATTTTTTATTATTATTATTAAGAATATCACATTAAATTTATTTTTATTTTGAATCTTTTAATAATGTTATAGACATATTTGGTTGAGAATTTTTAAGATTTCATATAATTCATTACTTCATCCATCGTTCAAATGTATGTCGGTTGATTGGGCATAAATTTTAATAAAAATAAATAATAATTATTATTTTTTCTTTTTTTAGTTTAAAAATATAAAAATAATATATTTTTTTACTTCAAAAAATACGAATATTTTGTATAAAAAAAAAGAAAAAAAAAAGCATGTTCTATATGGAATTACAAATTATAGAAATATCAGTTTGCTTACTTTGAAATTGTTAGCTATATTGTTATTATTATTATTCAGTATTTAAATGTTTTTAATCATTACATTTAAAATTCATTTTTTTTTGAATAAAATAAATAAAATATTACTTACAAAGAAAGTAATAAATTAAAGGTCTATATAAGTAGTAACATGCAAAATATTCAAATGCTCACATGAAATGGTAATATTAATACTTACAAAAAAGGGCTAGTAAATAATCTATGAATTAAATCAGAATTGATTTATAGTAAATACAAATTTGTATTTAAATAATAGTTTAAGGTAAAATTTGGTTAAATAAAATAATGTATTTTTATTATAAAAAAAATTGAAAATTTATAATAATAGTAATAATAAAATTAAACTTAAAAACTTTGCTTGTAAATTTGAGAGTTGAATTTTATGATTTAAATGATAGAATTTTGAATTTGAATAATTATTTAATATTATAATATAAAAATATTGATACAATATATTAAATTTAATTTTTTTAAAAATAATATAAAAAATTTAATATTTAATTTAATATTTTTCTTAAAATAATAAAACTTAAATTGAAAGTCTACAAACAATAATAGAGAGTTTTATTTATTTATTTTAATTATTTGACGAAAAATTAATTGGGACAATTGTAGAAACATTTGCAGTGATAGAACTATTATAAATACACTATTCATCCCTTAGGCTGTGTTTGTTTGGTGATTTGATTTTAAATTCACTATTAACCTTATTATTTTTTTTAAAAAATATCAAATCAAATACCTATTTTTTTATATTATATTAAAAATTAATTTTATATTTAAATACCTATTTATATCACATCATAAAACTATTTAAATTCAAAATTTTTTACTATTTAAATTTCAACACAAAATTCTGAACCCAAACAAACACAAGTTTGAGGTGCCTTCACACATTGAGCTGACTGAAATACATTTCCCATATAATTTTTGCATAACCCGTTGCACGGCGATGCATTCCCCGCCGTACACGTGTCCCCGATGTCCAGCTCACAGATCTTTCCCCACACCCTTTCCCAATTTCATCAAAATTATTACTCCCACGTTTCCAGTTTTGTTTACTATTTTTGTTCGTTCGAAAACAGTAGTTTTATTTTCATAAATAACTATATCATTATATAACTATCCTTACTCTTTCATTATCTACCTTTTACACTAATACACTCACAAGGACAAAAATATCTTTTATCTATATTTTTTACCCACTATCAATATAATATCAATATTTTTTAAATCTCGTACCCAACGAAACCAAAACTAGAGTTCCGAAACGAATGTAGTATTTAAGCATGTTTCTTTTGAAAGATTTGGGAAAATTTTGGTTTGATTTATATTAAAATAATGTAAGATAAAATATTTTGTAAGATAATTTTTTATTTTTTAAAAAATACATAGTCAAAATAGTAAAACTTTGGGTTTTTGTCAAAAGAAACAAGCCCTAAGACGTCTACATTAAAAATAAAAATAATAAATATACTCATTTTATCGTAAAAATATATATATTTTTTCTGTCCAACTGGAAAATATACATATTTATATTTTAAGACGTCCAATTACAAAGTAAATATTTTATTAAATACTTTTATTTTACATAACATCATTAATTTTACACCAAAAAGTAAGGACAAAAATATCATTACATTACTTTTAACTATCAATTATAATTAAAATACTATTATTTATTAAATACCGTGCCAAAAGTAAATATTTACTTTGTGGACGGATGATGGAGTATATATATATATATATATTTATCTATCATAAAAAAAGAAGTTTGTTTTCTTTTATAATTTTTTATCACTTTTTATTATAAAATAATACTCTCTCCGTCCCACACAATTAACACTACTTTTATTTTTGTCTGTCCCGTAACAATTGACACATTTCTATTTTTGATAAAAATTATTAAACCAAAACATATTTAACAAATATAAATCAACTTAATTAACTACATAAAGTACAACATCATAAATGACATAGGACTCACTCAAAACTCCCTTATTTCTACATCAATCCTAAAAAAATATAATTTTTTATCTATATTTAAAACTACACATCTTTTATAAAATTGATTTATGTTAATTATAAATAAATGAAAATATTTTTTTATTTACTTGTATTATAGAAGATTTTATTCTCTACAAAATGATATCTATATTGCATATATTTTTTAATTGCTATGTAATTTTTAAATATTTAAACATATATTTTATTTTTTTAATCATATATATTAAATTTACTTTAAAAATATAAATATTATTAATTATACAAAAAAAATAATATAATAATATCATAACTAATTATTATTAACTAATTAAACTTTCTCACCTTAAATACCGTGTCTCTAATCAAATGGTTCAACTCCGATGGGACGAAAGGAGTATATATATATATATACTATATTAAAACTCATACAACAAATAAATAAGCCGAATTTTGATAACAAATTAAATATGAAGTAAATAAAAAATAAATAAAATAGAAAAAATGTATAATGATTAAATAAGTAAATAAATAATAATAATAATAATAAATAGAACCCTTTGGAGTGTTTTATTTATTTTCTCAAATGTATTTCTAGGCTATACAATATTCATATTATACATATTATAATTGATATCTGATAAATTTATACATTATATTTGTAAAATATGAATGTTGGTGTATGATAACAATTTATACAAGATATATTGCATTAATTAAAAGTATGTGCTAATAATTTATATTTTATGTGTTTGATTAAATTAATTATTACGGTATAAATATATATATAACCTGAAATTATTGCAAATAAAAAGAGAACCATAGTGAGCAACTTGTAGTGCTCCATTGACATTAATGTTTTTGTTCGGAGGCATCTTATTTTTTTTCTCTAAAAAATATTAAATTAAACACATATTTTTAATTTTATATATTAAATTAAAAATCAATTTTACATTTAAAACATCACATCAACACCTATTTATATCACATCATACAATTATTCAAATTCAAAATTTTTACTATTCAAATCCCAATTCAAAATCCAAATCCCCAAACAAACACACCTTATAGCATTTGTTTGTTTGGAGGGTTTTGGAAGATTTTTATTATTTACACAAAATTTTCTCTCTAAAAATATCAAATCAAACATTTATTTTTTTTTTTATATTAAACTAAAAATTAATTTACATTTAAAACATCACATCAATACTTATTTATATGACATCATACCATTTTTCCAATTCAAATTTTTTACTATTTGTAAATTCCAAACCATCAAACAAACACACGGATAATATGTATATATATATATATACATGTTTAATAATCTTGAAAATAATAATAAAAAAAAATCTTAAAAATGAGTAACAAATTATATTATTTCAATTGATTTTCAGAATCATTTAAATCTTAAGATTTAAAAAATAATCTCACATTTTAGCATGAGTCAGGTTTTTTATTTTAGTGGAAAGTTTATAATATAATTAAGGCTATCTGTTTTCAAATTATAAAATATTTTCTAAATTGAATTTCAAAATAAATGGAATGTCATTAAATTGGATCGATATTGATATTTGATTAGTTGGATGGAAACAACTAAAGATTTTATACATATCCAAATTTTTATTGCTTATTTTTTTTTAGTGATGTGATCATAATCTATAGTATCACTAAAATTAAATAAAGATTTTTATAAAAAAATTACACTCTTTATAATTGGGCTTCAAATATTTTTATAATATGAATAGCTATTAGTTTATTGATTTATTCATTTGATTGTCATATATATACAAAATAGGCAAATTTCACATCAGTGACACATATAAAATAGTAAAAGATTATGTATTTTTATTTAATGTATGCATTAATATATATGAAAAATTACATGAGAATGCTTATCCATTGTTCGACTAATAACTTCACAAAAATATTATATTAATACTTATTTATACCAAATAATAAATTATTCAAATTTATTTATTTATTTTAATATTAGAAACAAAACCTCCAACCAAATACATTCCTTTCTTTTTCTTTTTTATTTTTTTATTTTAAAATTTTAGAAAGATTACATTTAGTACTACTTCATCGATCTCTAAAATTTGTGCTAAAAGCTCTTTGATTACTTTCGGATTGAGTAATTGTTTGGGAAATTGAATTTTGAATTTAAATAATTATTGATGTAATATTTTTAATATAAAATTAATTTTTAATATATATAATATATATATATAAAATTATATTCTCGAATCAAAATTTAATAAATAGTAAAAAAATCCATAAAAATCTTTGTAAATCAAGAGGTAAGACATTTTAATCATTAATCATTGGCAACAGAGGTACTTAGTAAGAAATATATATGTATAAATAAATGTTGCAGAGTTCAAACAACCAAAAAAAAAAAAAAAAGAATGAAAAACCATACATCTTTGCCAATACAATAATTGACTATATATCATCAAACTTAATCAACAACAAAAAAAAAAAGAGAACCCCAAAAGCATGCACATATATATATATATATCATAAGAGCACGCACCATCTGATTGATTCCAAACCCTACTTGGGATCAATCAATCCAATTATGAAATATAATGAAAATAATATATGACGACGACTACGATGATGAAGAGAAACAAACCTCGAAAAAGACATGGAAAGAATGTGGTGAAGAGGAGGGGACACAAATGCCAAAGAATGCACACCAAAATTCGGGGGAGATCTACCGAGATCGATGTTTCCCAAAAGCCAACAAAAACTGCAGTAGAGCGACGTGAAACAACTACCTACAAGAATGACAATTAGCTTTATCAACAGTCTGATTTTACGATTAGGCATGGGAAAAGAAAGTAACTAACATGCAGTTTGAAAGATTTTGTATCAACCGAAAGAGAGAATCAAAAGAATGAGCTAATGGCTATAAATAAGCTAAAAAATACGAATTTAAATAGTTATTTGACGTGATATTTAATAATAAAATAATTTTTTAGTATATAATATAAAAGAACAAAAATATGAGTAAACTGTTTTTTTAGTCTGACCTTATCTGAAAATAATTTCGTAAGTAAATTTTTTTCGCAAATATAGTCTTCTGGTGCCAGATTCGTTATGCTGGTCCGCCGTTGCTGATGTTGCGCGAACACGGCTGACATGTCATCGCCACCGTTAGTGACATGTCGGAGAACCATTTTAGCTATTTTTACTTGCAGGACTACTTTACAAATGGTCCATTTAAAGTTTAAAATGATAAAAGAGTTAGAGATATAAAACTAAGAAACAATTTGTAAGACATTTTGTAAAATAAAAAAAATAAAAGAGTTAGAGATGTCGCTGACTGTGACATCTATGTGGCAGTGACATGTCAGCCACGTCAATGCCATGTCAACAACTGCGGACAAGTGTGGCGAGTATAGCACCAGAGGACTATTTTAGTGAAATTTTTTTACTATCGCAACTATTTTCAGACATGGTAAATAAAGTCCTAAAATGATAAAAAGATCAGGACTGAAAAACGCAGTTTACTTTAAAAATAATTGTTTGATTTGATATTTTTTTAAAAAAAAAAGAAAAAAGAAACTAAATAGTAAACAATCTACAAAAGAATACAGCCTCTATGCCATTGGGGAAGTCACCAGCACGAGTAGAAATTTGCATTTCAATCCAGAAGGGAAGGTATCCAACACGATAAGCACAGCAATTGAATAGAGATAATGACAAGACAGAATTCATACCTTACTATTGAATCTAACTCCATACGACCTCCTTTAATGGGACCAAAGCAGAAATCGAGCAATCTCTTCAAGGTAAGTTGCATCGGAGTCAGCTCTTAGAGGCAACGGCTGCAAGAGCATTAGCATGTGCAGGCGAAAGATTGCCTAAAAGTGGCTGCATTTGGTTTCCGTAGAGTGACATTAGGTGCGAAAATGCCCTGCCTACGTGCACCTTCACTTCATGAGTTTCCTCGGGTGATAAAGCAACTTGAGCAAAGATATTAATCAACTGGGGAACCAAAGAGAGTATCTGCCAAATCAAGAAATCAAATTTAATGAAATATTGTGTCGTAACGCTAACCATCCTGTTTAGTTTTAAGTAAAAACCAATACCTGAGAATTAGATGATAAGACTAAATCACAGATGCATCCATAAACAGGAGCAGATTCTTCGAAATCCTCTTTCAAAGGAAGCACTTGCAAGAGAACGGGCAGGACCTGACATTTACAGATATGTCTATATCGATTAACTTAGGGAAATAAATAAATAACATTAGATCAAGAAGTGTATAAGATCAACCTCGTTTAGAGGAATAGATTCTGGATGAGCCATGATCATCCTTGCCACTGCACCAGCAGCATTGTCCCTCACTGCATTGTCGGGCTCAGATCCTCCGAACAATGGATGAAGGCGATTTAAAACATCACCATAATATCTATGTTACATGTAAGGAGCAGAAGCGAGCACTTGATAGAACATAAATGAAAGTTACTCTGAATTCCATGAAGATCAAAGGGAAGTTATTTTAACCGGAATTTTGCACAAGACGCAGCCTATGTCTTCAGATCAAGAAGAAAGACAATAAAGAAAACATCAAATCAAATACCTATTTTTCTTTTTTTTTTATATTATTCTAAAAATCAATTTTACATTCAAAACATCACATCAATATCAGGTCATACAACTATTCAAATTCAAAATTTTTACTATTCAAATCCCAAACCAATATCCAAACACTCAAACAAACACACACTAAGTATATATAGAGTCTACACTGGAAATTTTAATAAGAACAAAATTTTGTCAGAAGGCCTTTCCAGCCTATAAGACTAAGGTTTCAATTTAATAAAAACATTAATAATGACTGAAATCATGTTATATGACATGAACATAGCAATTTCAACAATTAGGATACTTGAGAATAGCATTGCCACCATTTTTGGAAAGCTCGCCCACGCAAAATGCAGCATTTCTCCTGTTGGTTGAATTGGGCGATCCTAATTCCTTGAGCACAAGGGGCATAATAGCCTGACATATCCATCAAATCAGTTTCACATAAAAATAAATGGACAAGGAAAAGTACGGATAATTCTAAGCAATACATCAACATAGCCGGCAATTGGAGCACCCATATGTTGCGCAACTTCTGCAAGGGTTGCAACAACCATTGTTCTATCCTGGGGTGGGCGCGACTGTTTCTGCAGTAAGCAATCATACCAGCATTACAAACATACAAGAAGTAATTGGTTACATAAATCAGTGGATTCATCACATGTATCTTACTGAGAATTTCATCAAAGGTTGAAACATCTGTGAAAAAGATGTAGCAAAATGATTTCCCAATGCCTTTGCAAATGCAGGGAGTAGGTCAGAAACGGCATCCATGAGCACCTCATCATGCTCAGTATCATCCTCGTCAATTTCCTCATCTGATTCTACCAGCTGACAAGCAGATTCCTCCTGAAGCAACACTAAAGTTGTCTCCACAAGGCGAGTCATGTCTACAGTTGAAATGCAGAGAAAATTGAAAACATGATTATTTTCTCTATTAAAGAAGTTTGGACATAGAGGTAGGAATTCTAGTTAACTCACATGGTTCAATCGCCATGTATCCAAAATCATTAATGATTTCAGCTACACTCATGCAAGCTTGAGCGACAACTTCCTTATCATCATCTTCAGTCATTGTCTTCATATAAATATTCATCACGGTATCTATCAGACAAGTAACGTTTCTCATAAGTTTGTTTAGCATAAGAAAAACAGAATTGTACAGAATAGCAACAGCTGAATCAACAAATCTCACCCAAAACCTCTCTTATCTTTGCAATTCCTTCCTGCAAAATTCAGCACATCATCCCTTAGAATAATATTAGGAAAGTAGAAGCTTCAATCTGAACAAGAGAAAATCTTAGAAAGTAGAATCTGACTAAAAAAATTTGAAATAGATGTAACACAAAGTCTATACTGTTTGCATAAGAGTAACATTAAACCTATCAGCTACTAAACAAAATCTACGCATAGAAGTTGTTATTCAGCACTTACATTATTATTCTGGAAAACTGCTTGCACAGCTGACAAGATATCTGGTCATCAGAAATTCACTCAGAAGAATAAGGATTCTATCACAGGATGCAGTCATTACACAACTAAAAAACCAATATATGAACATGTCAACAAGGAAACATATAGAAAAAAAGAGAAAAACATCAGGGTTAACCAGTTAAAAAGAGAAAGGAATAAATAAATACCTAGAGGCTCAGCATCCATTTAATATTAGAAATAATTTTGTAAATCTATAATCAATTAATATTAGAAAATTGTATTGCAATGGGCACTGGAATGGGGTATAAACAACTCCAACACATCATAAAGTGTGCTTAATTGGCTGATAGTGATGTCATGCATGAAAGTTGTTATCATCTAGAAAACATGACAATTTCATTGTATAAATCCACACTCACATTTCAATGAGATTATGGCCTGAAGACGAACATCCTCATGAAAGTATGTTGAATGTCTCACCAAGATCTTGAGTGTCTCCTCTATGTACCTATTTAGAATTAAGGTATCATATAATGTCTGTTTCCACTTGCACCCAACCACACATTCTTTAAAGGAAACAAAGGATACGGTGCATAGGAAGTTTTTGTATGAAGAGCAAATAATCCAAGAGCTTGGGTGGCAGCGGCCTTTTCATCTAAAACACCTGTGCGTACACTGATGTTACGAATTCTGGGCTCATCACGTGCTTCATCATCAGATGATACCGCACCGAATCCATTGACATGATCATCCTCATCAGAATCATCAATATCTACAGCAGAGCCATCATCAAGGTTGCAGGAGGAAAATGCCAATGGAACTACATGGGGAAGGTACTGTTTCCGCACACAATGGATACTGTTAGATTCCAAACATCTAATAACATGAATCTACAGTTGAAGGAGGATATACTACCGGAGTAAAACCATCTTTGAGAAGTTCTGCTACATTGCTGAAGAATCCATGGGTATACTCTCGAAGCTCACTGAATTCCAACCCAAAACCCTGAAATAGAATGCTTGATCAATGACTCCCAATGACACACTCTTTCAGGATAAAAAAGATGACTAGGATTAATACAGATATTGCAGCTTCAATGAAGGCAGGCAAAATTGGTTCCATTCTTGCCCTCCCAACAGACATTGCAACCATTCCAGCCAATTCTGTTGCTCTCGCTCGTGATCGAAGATCCTCATCATTTGTAAGCACCATAAAGATTTTTATCAATTCAAGAACCCTCTCAGCATAAGGAACAAAAGCTTGTTCTGCTGCAGATGCTACTGAACCAATTGCAGACTACAAAAGAAGCAAATTGCTCAGAACGATGACTGTGCTAATAACATCAGACACTAAACTGCCAATACAAAATCTTTATACCATGCATGTCTCCTGCAAATTACGAGAACTAGATTGGAGGGCACCAAGTAATTTCCCCATCAAAGGATCCAGGAACGGAAGAATTTCTGGACCCATATCCTCACAAAATGCTGCCAATGCATAATATGATTTCTCCTGTTAAACAAAAAAGAACTTGTTTTAAGATATAGAGAGAACTGAAAGCCCATTTACATAGTGTACGATAACCTTACCTTGACCTCGTCAGATGCATCCTCCAGGGCATTAAGTATACTTGGAAGAACACTGTTGTGGTGCGAAACTATCTCAGGTTGAAGATGCTCGGCAAATTGACCAAGAGCAAAGGATGCTGCACCTCGTACCATCTGTTCAGGGTCTCTAAGAGCTCCCAGAACAATATGAAGGACGGGCTCTAGTTTGTCTTTCATCAACTCTGAACAACCCTCTGAAATAACACCTAAAGCAGTAACTGAAGCTTCCCTGAACTTTGGATTCGTGTTTTGACTGCCTAAAGATGCAAACTCTAAAACAGGAGGTAATACTTGCTTTGACAGATTTAAAGCCATTGTATCAATTACTTCTGCAGCAGCTCGATCAGGTGCAAGATCATCATCTTCATCCCTATCAGTAGATTCAGCAAGTAGTGGGCACATAATTTGCAGGATTGGTCCAACTAGCTTGTACTTTTTGAGGGAACTTGCTTTATATCTTGCAAGCCATGAAATGATTTGAATAGCCTAACATATAAAACATAAAGAGTAAACAAAAGTTGAGGTGCATGGCAGGTCAAAAACTTAAATTATAGATCTATTTACTAAGCAAACAAAAGGCCTAGCCCCAAAAGAAGAATGCACTAAAATAAGTGGACAGCTTGTGCTACAACCTGATGACGTGTGTTCGAATCAAGATTAGGACTTGCACACACTTCAAGAGAAAACTGAACTATGGCTTTTACAGAGTCCCCTAGAAGAGGGGCAGGAGACTCAATTAACTCATCAAATATCTCAAAAGCAATCACAGCAACTTCCTCTTCACCAGAAGCCAGGCATTGTCTGGATACATTCAAAATGCTAGGAATAAAGTCTCGGAACTTGATCTGCAGAATATATGCATTAGAGAAAGGGATGATATATAGAAAGTGGTAATAGATTGAAGATCTGCAACAAAAAAGTGATACAAAAGTGATAAAAAATCAGACCAAATAAAACCAAATAATAAAGTTATACCTGTTAATATATATATATATATCAGAGAAACATTGACAACAAGAACCAGATAGCGTTTTGAATGCAAGAGTAGTTCAATTGCTCAAAGGGGGTGTTTGAAATTACCAGATGTAGCAGCATTAGAGCTTACCAAGAAACACTGGAATAAGTACATATCCCATTTATCTACATTATATTTTGTCACTAGTAGAACTGGAGGGGTACATTAAGAATGTGTAACAAAATGAAAATTTGGGAACAAAACTAGTATCATAAAAAATGAATTCACAGCTACCATCAAAAAGCAGGGAAGAAAATTGTTGTCTTGAAACAATATCTTATCACAACATATATGTGGACCACTAAAACTAGAGAGGTCTCTAAAAGTGTCTATAGCTATGACCCACAATTTCAATTCGATGACCAACACAATGTGGTTACAGCAGGCAATAGTTAATTCATAGTTTATTGACTCCAAAAAAACAAAACAGAAGAAAAGCTTGTGACTTACAACTTCAGCCACATCCTGAGTAAATTCAATGAAGGAACCAACTGCCCTGATAGATTGAAGACAATGCAACACGTGTATAAGCACTTTATTCAATCATCTCAAAAAGGAGTAACATGATTGAAAATTCCCTAAATCAAAACTTACTTTAGAGCTGCAACTCTAACTCGGGTGCTGGTCTCATCCTGTAGGCACTTAAGTAACAGAGACTGCAAGTCTGTAAAGTATGGTCGAAATGAATCCCCAATAGTTTCTGTAAGTGAACTGAAAAGTATCAAAGCCACCTAAGACAACAAACCAACTTAGATTAGTATAGTTGGGAAGTCTAGTGAAGGAAAATGAAATAATAGTAAAAATTTTGAGATAGATTAAGTCGACAAGCATTGTGATATCAATTTCAATTTGAGTTAGATTAAAAGTTCAATTCCGGCAATTTAAAAATGAACATGGATCTTTGATTTCAAGCATGATGTTAGCTAAAGTGCAGGTACGTGATGGACCACAGTACAGCAGTTTTTTCCTCAGAGAACAGTAAAGAAATTGGCCATTGACTTAGCAAAAGTACAAGCAGAGACCGAATGAGATACAGATTAAAGAATGAAGTGGTTGTTAGAAGTTGAACCTTGTGTTTAACGACCATGTGAACAAACAATCAGAGACATGAATAACTATAGAAGTGATAATATAAGAAGCCAATTATGTGTTTCCTACAATGTTTCAAATATTGCTCAAATCTAGAACACCATTCATGCTGTTGGAGTTTCTTCCCTAAGAGGACGTTTAATGGATCCGGATGAAATTAATGAAAATGGACAGCATTTAAATTAAAACACAGCTAAAAATTAGCTGGAATAACCCATTGAAATTATAATGGAATGTCAAAATGATGTGATGAGGAGAAGCTCTAGAACAAATTATGCAGAATAAGCAAGGTGCATGACAATATACTTCTCTGTGATCTTCCTGTGGACTTTGACTACATTGAAATAGAAATGGCAACAAATCTTTCCATTCTCCTGTGGGAACCGTGTATTTGGCAACTATGCTCACAACATTTGCACTAGCTCTCCTAACTGGAGGACTGCCAAAACAAGGGTAAGGCATGAATCAATCAGATCAGCCAATCATGATTATTCAAAACAAATGAACCAACACTTGTACCAAGCAGAAACTAAATTAAAGATACAAATGGCTTTATGTAAGAAAACAAATGAACCCACATTGTACCACACAGAAACTAAATTAAGCTACAAATGGCTTTATGTAAGCAGCACAGCTTAGAGGCGTATAAGACAAAGAAATTAAACCATTTAGTAGTACTTTCATGTAATCACTAATCAAAGTGATTGTTTATATGGTAGCCATAAATGGCATTAATGAAAAGGGATGGAGGCAGTATAAAGCTGGCTCGCTATTCATTCTGTACACATATATCAAAAGAACTTACAACGTGTCATATAACTTTGATTTGACCATGAAAAGGTCATGTAATTTAATATAAAGGACAAAACAGACTAAGTCTAGTTGTTTTGAAAACTAATCCAATGCATGTCATTATGTAAGCATAATGTATAGGAATAGGTTTCATCTAGTTCAAATAATCAAAAGAACCTTTTTGGGCTCCAGATTTTAAGGCAAAATCCTAGCAAACCAGATAAATGAACAATGAAAACTTGAGTGATTCCTGCTCCATAAAGCATGTAACATGAAAATGTAATGCATTAATTCAATTAGATCAAGAATTCAATACATAAACAGTTATCAGAAGTTGTATTGGCATGCTAAGAATCTATGGCTAAAATGAATGGAACAGATGTTGCAATTCAAAAGGGAACAAATGGGCAACAGAAACCGAATTTGAAGCAGACTAATCGAACCAGTTCAAACTAAGACATCAAGTTCAAGTACAAACTCCTTTCAAACAAGCCAACCTGTGCTCCATAGTAATGCTTTCAATCAGTGATTGCTTCACTTGCCCCCGCACCTCCGGCGACAACTTGCCCCAGTGGCCGGTTATCTTCTTACGGAGCAGAACGGCGGCCAGTTGACGCACGTTTGGGGTCTTCGCCGTGCGAAGGTGATGGATTAGCGCCGGCACCACCTGCGGATCCTTGGACAGCCTCTTAATCTGATCCTCCGCCTGCCGCCGGGCGTCATTGTCAGGCATCAAAAACTGAATCAACAGAAGCTCCAGCGATTGCGCCATTGCCCACTCCCCAGTAGTTCCCTGGCGACGGCGGCTGGAGCACGAAACCCTAGAAAGAAGAATTAGGGATTTCCTTCTATTATTAATTTTTTTTATATTAATATTTGTTTGCTTTATATACAAGGCAAGTGGCTGCGGCGGCGGCGTAGGGTTTTGCGCAGGGCAGAGAAGTGGGGACGATGATTATTCGAGCCGACGCCGTCGGCACGTGCTTCTCACGTGACTTGATTAGGCAGAGTAGCAATTTGGTGATTTGGTCCTTGAATTTCTGCTAATTTGTAGACCTTACCAGAAAAAAATAAATTTGCATCTCCCACCCTCATAGTACGAAAATTTCAATAACCACCCTCAAAGTGCTCGAATTTATCGCCTTACTGAACGCGGGATGCTTATTGTCTGGAGGAAGGAAAGAAAGCAGACGACCTTGATCGGCTTTTCCGTCGGAATTTTCCGCCGTTGCAGCACTTTCAGCACTCACCGGAGATGAAGAATCGGACGGCGCTGGTTTGGGGTGTAGCGATCGTGTGTTTCGTGGTATTGATGATAGTCACTCCGGCAATTCCCCAGTCGCAAGAATATCACGATTTCGCCGATAAGCGTGAATTTCTTGGTAGTTTGATCTAATTTCGGAGCATTTTTTGTATCAGTACAGTTTATTACTTATAGTTCCTAGCTCACTTCTCCTAAGTTGGATGTTACTCTGTGATTGTTCGGAAGTCTTGCGATAACACTAGGTTTTCCCCTTTTTGGTGTTGCTTCTCCTGCTGCAGTTCACTTCTTTACCTCTGTTCGAAGATTTTCTTGAATATTTCGTATGTATGATTTATATTGTTTCAGTTGTTCGTAGATTCGAATTATGGTTGATTATACCTGTTTCTAAAGTTCTTTCAGGTGTTCAAACTTGTTAAGTAGTGACAAATGTGAAGATTGGTTATTCATGTTCTAGGAGATATTTAGGGATTCTGTAGTAAAGGCCATGGATGTAGATGCACACCAGATATTCTGTTGTTATTCTTTTGCTTGTTATTAAGAATTTTCGATTTTAACTATTTATTTGCTTCTTTTGCTGTGATTTTTCCATTGCAGGAATTCCAAATGCTTTGAATGTGATTTCGAACTTCCCCTTTTTCGTTGTTGGTTTAGTCGGTCTTGTGCTTTGCTATTACGGAAACTACTTTAAGCTGAGGTACAATATATCATTGTTTTCGTTACTGTTGAACTTTGAATTAATTGTTAAAGGTAATGTAACAATGGAACTTAAGTGTGAGAAGCTACATAGTTCAATCATTAGATATACTACCTGCAAAATGAATAATATGGTGCAGATATGGCATATGTATATGGCCAGCTTCGTGAAAATGATGAAATTATCAGCTGCAATTGCAAAAGTATATTATAGCAAACATGCATATATATATATATATATATATAGAAGAACAATTTTTATATTCCCAGGATATTTGATTTATGTGTTACAACAATTTCTAATGGCGGTAGTATGTTTATGTGGCAAAAGTTTGCCAGGTGAGCTTTGGGGTTGGACATTGTTTTTCGTTGGTGTGACAGCAGTCGCATTTGGATCCTCTTACTATCACCTCAAACCTAATGATGCTCGTCTTGTGTGGGACCGCCTGCCGGTGAGCTTCGTGTCTGGCTATATCTTCTTTTATTTTTATTGTTATGTGTGTAACTTCTTTTCAGTTGAAATTTTATATTTGATGATCACAGATGACAGTGGCATTTACATCCATCATTGCTATCTTCATTATTGAAAGAGTAGATGCTCGTAAGGGAACGTTTTCTATTGTTCCCCTCTTCTTGGTAGGCGTAATCAGCATTCTTTATTGGTGGTAAGCCCCCTTTGCCCAGTTTAACCCTTGTTACAATGTAATGGTGCTTATTTACATTGGTAAAGCAGTGTAGTTGTCACCAATTTCCTAAAAGGCAAAATAGCAAAACCTCCGTGTGGTTTGCGAAATTCGCTAAAAAGGCCCCTGTTCTAAAACTTCGTCTATTTGTGGTTCATATAATATTGTAAAAAATATCTCTTCAGTTAGTACTTAATAGAGACTGTAGCAGACACGTTTTAAACTGCGAGTATGATTACACAATCTTAGATTTTGTAATAAGTAGCAACTAGTTTTATTGATACACATGAAAATATCTTTGTAACTTCCTCTCCTGTTATAATTATTGCACTTTAAGCGCGCTACAATTTTCGTTAAGTACTAACGGGTAAGGTATTTTTTGCAACGTTATTTGAACCTCAAATAGGTATAACGACGATTTTAGGACCAGAGGTTTTTTTTCAGCAAATTTTCAAACCACAACGTTATTTTTTGCTATTTTGCCTTCCTAAAATATGAAATCTTGTTATACAATAGGTGCATTTCCAGATAAAATGCAGTTGATGATAGTAAAGCTAGATGACATTTATAATGTTAACAGATCCATGATTCACAAATCTACCGTAAATCCTTTGATCAAAGTATTAATTTTGCAAACTGGAAGCTTATTAAATGGTCGCTGTACCACAGAAGTAGATACTAGATACAAACTGTTAAGGGAATTGCTAACTATAATATAATCACAGTTTTTTCGATGATCTGCGCCCATATGCTGTGGTCCAATTTGTTCCTTGTGTAGCAATCCCTGTGATGGCTATTATATTGCCTCCCATGTACACACATTCTTCATATTGGCTTTGGGCAGCAGGTTTGTACATATTGGAATGCTTTTTGATCTACTTTTGTGAGTTTCTGACTTCCCAAGTAACTTACAGTTTGATTTGCAGGGTTTTATCTTATAGCTAAGATTGAAGAAGCTGCTGACAAGCCTATCTATAATTTGACACATCACATCTTGAGCGGGCACACACTTAAGCATTTATGTGCCGCCATGGTCCCTGTGTTCTTAACTCTCATGCTTGCGAAAAGAGAGATTGCTGAAGAAAGGTATTGTTCGTTTCTGCTTATGCTCTTATCTTACGTATGAACTAGTATTAGATTATTACTTTGTCCATTAGGAGCCCATGCAAACATGAGGCAATTCCGTGACATAACATTTTAAAGAACCACGAGGCTGTCTTTTCCGCTCTAGAAACTCACTTCTTTGAAGAAAAAATGTGAAATTTGATCTTAATAAGAACTCGCATACATAACCCTTGCATAGACACATTTAGCTACTTGACCTAAGCCGGGCATTTGCCAGAAGTGTCTACTTTCTTAGATTTTTTATCATTGTTCTCTCCATCCAGCAAAAATGTGTTTGTTTAGCTAGGTACGAAGACTAAGAAAAAACATACTCTCTTTGTCCCACCTACCATGTCCACATTGTCGTTTCTGTCCGTCTCACATTACATCTTATGTTATTTTTCTTTTTTGGAAAATGATTACACAATTTAATGTCATTTTCAATTTTATAATTTAATTTTAATTAAACTAATTAGTTATCTTAATCTTAATTTATAATTATTTATATTATAAGATAATTATTTTCACTAATATATTGTTAATTATCTACTAATTATACTTATTCTAAATTTTCGTGTCTACGGTATTCCGGATATGCAATGTGGGATGGAGGGAGTAGTATTTTAATATGAAATAAAATTTATGTATGAGTATTTTGGGAAATTCTTTAGGGATTTTATTTCTAATTGATAGGGTACGAGGTAATCGATAGAGGCAAAGTTATATTACGTTTAAAGTAGGGATAAAATTTCAGCGGATAGAAATGTGGTTTTAGCGAACAGACATAAATGAAAACTAAGCATAAATTTGACTGACGGAGGGAGTACGATTTATATTTATCTGCATTTGCACAAGATTGTGCAGCTATTCCGATTACTTTTTGACATAATAATTGTAGAAAAATTAGTAATAGTTAGCCTAATACTAGCAGCAAGAATAACATTGAGAAAACACTTATATCAAGGCAGTAATTGTTACTATATCAGCCCTGTTTCTGCTTTCTAGTCGAAAAAACACTAGCACACACTCGGTTCTTACTTTCCATAATCAGAGGAAGTCTCGAATCTCACACCTTTATTTTGCTTGTTCATCGTATACTTTTACCATTCAAATCAGAATTCATTTCAGTTCAGTTCATTACGAATTTACGATTCATATTGTTCATGGAATAAGATTTGTTTCCCTTTCTTTCTCTCGCATTAGGATCAGTTTACTACGGATATGGAGAATATCACTGTCCAAGGTTAAAGAAAACGGGGCTGACATAGATCGCGTATCGTGTACATATTCCTTGGCTTCTACTGAAGACAACCTGCAGTGACAAGTAAGCACTAACTAGCACTTTTCCTATACGGAAACCATGTACGCTGTATATATAATATCACATATAGGATAGGATCGCTTTTAAAGGACACGTAGACGATATTTTTGAAGTTTTCGACTCTATACATTTCCATTTTATTTCTTTCTTAATGTGAGCTGATAGCAATTTTCTTTGTTGAGTTGAACATAAAAATGTTGCCGTAGTAGGAAGCAGAAAATGTCTGTCACTTTTGGAAACAAAAAGAAACTATTGGTTTTGTGATGTCTTTGGGGCAATACTTATTCACTTATAAATTGTTCAAAATTTGAAACATCTTGCCAATAAGCAGCGTAGCAATAAGATGTGGCAATTTTGGGCTAGTTCAGTTTTTTTTGTGCCAGCCCAATCTAGTTTTATGTCAGGTTTGAAAACATAGGCCCGGGCATGGTTTGGTACAAACTGTGTTGGGCTGGACCAATCTAATTTTGAATTTTTTTTAAAAAAATTTATTTTTCATATTTTTATAAAATAGTTTTATTATTAATGTGTTCATTTATATTATTTTCTCTTATTTAATTATTATTAAATATATATTTTTAAAATATTAAATAAAATCAAACGACAATTTGAGTTACAATAATATCATGTAGAATAATTATATTACTTAATATTATATAATTAATACAAGTGAATGAACTTAAAATGATTTAAAACAATCAATTAAAAAAATTTTAGTGTTCTTTTTGTACTTTTTTTACACATTTTTTTTAAAAAAAAATTAATATATTACACATTTATTTATACAATTTTTTATATCATACATAAAATAAAATAAAATTATTCCATACTATTTCACAAAACAAACACATTTATTAATATAATAATATATAATTTTTTATGTAACTATCAATTATTTTAATAGTATTTTATTAATAATATTTACTATTTTGTTAATTTAAATTTTTTTTAAAAAAAAATATTTAAAATTTATTTAAATCGTCTAAATATCTTAGGAAATATTGATTCTACTATTAATATTTTTCTTCATTAAACATTTTTTTTACTATATATATAATTCTTACTATCTAAACTATCAATATCCAAAAAAATCATAAGCATAAATATATATGTATATATAGGCATTTGATTAAATCAATTTGATTTTTCCCTTAATAGTTGAAAAGTGCAAAATTTTCTATCATTTGAGGGTTTTTTTTTTTTAAAAAAAAATATATATATATATATATACAAATATATTTTGATTTATAAATAATAGTACCTTAAGAAAATCTCTAATTTACCCGTATAGTGAAATGCATGAGAACACATAATCCTTAACAATTTTTAAATAAATAAATTATGATTTTCTAAATTGATAATAAATAAAATTACACAATCCTTACTCATTTTTAGGCCATTATTTTTTTGGATGACACGGGAATCCGCAATCGCTACCCGAAAGTGCGTACTGGGTAAACCCCCGGCCAAATCTAATACCTTGCAAACCAGGCCCGACGGGAAAGTCTATATGGATAATATTGTATGAAATTACTTGTTTGTGTTATAATAATATTTTGAATAAATAATAATCCCCCCGTCGTTCAAATATATGTCCACTTTTTTCTTTGGGTTGTCATCGAAAAATATTCTTTTTTTTTTAAGTAAAAAATTATTCTATTTTTGTACTGTTTTTTACTATAAAAGAAAAAATTAACAATTATCACTCACTTTTATTAAAATTCGTGTCCGGTCAAATGAGCACACATTTGTATGACGGATGGAGTAATATTTTTAAATAGATAATAATATTAATGACATATTTTCTAAATTTTTTCAATAAAATCCATCAATATATTATATAATATTGTTTAGAAAATCAAATAGACATATATAGAATTACATTCAATTAATTAATTATGATTTTCCAAATTCATTAAGATTTAAACAATACTTACTAATTATTAGGCCCTTATTGAGCACTATAAGTACACATGTAAAATTCAATCAAAATTATATAATTCAATATCAATTAAAAGAAATTACTTATAATTTAATTTATAAGTTAAAAATGGAGGCCTTGAAATTTGTCACAATTGCACTATTTTGTATGGCCATGGCATTATCTATGTCACACACAACTCATGGTATGTTTTTATTTTAAATTTTATTATTATTATTATTATTATTATTATTAATCTTTATGACTTGAAAATTTGTTGACGTTACTCTTTGAGTGTGTTCTGAATCTTGACTTTTTATGATTATATATTGTCGGTTAACATATAATTGATTTTAATAATTTAAAGTATATATAATATGATTATAAATAATATTTTGATAGGTTCGACTGATTTTGAAGTAAAAGCTACAATATGTTCGGGGACAAACAGGTACAAATTGTCGGGTTGTACTGACGCTAAATGCAAGAGTTTTTGCACTGGCAAATTTGGATCCAATCTTGTCAACGCTTTCTGTGATTTAGGAGACATTTGTTCGTGTGAATGTAAAAAAGCCTTTTAATATACGGGATTTATATATATACATGAATGAAAGCATATGTAATAAGGTCGTGACTATGTTACTTTAATAATAAGTTAAATAAAAGTATGTTTTATATATATATATTATTGAATTTGTTTCCCTATTTTTCTTTTTTTTTTTATTAATTTGAATAATGAAACAAATATTATAATTTTGTTTCGTTCATATTATGATAGTATAGATAGTAAGAATTATATATACATAGTAAGAATTTATTTTCTTTTTTTTTTTTTTTTAATTTGAGTAATGAAACAAATACTAGAACTTTGTTACATTCAAATCAAACAATTATGTTTTGTTTAATATACATTACCAAAAAAAAATAATTTTATTTAAAAATTACGTTAAATATTATTTTGATTCAAATTTATATTATTTTATACTGTATTTATACTTTTTTTTATGAAATAATTGTTTGATAATTAATACTCCATCCGTCCCACATAATTTGTCCATATTTTCTATTTTCGTCAGTCCTACATAATTTGTCCATTCTTTTTTTGAAATATAATTATACACTTTGATCTCATTTTAAATTTTAAATTTTATAATTTTTTTAATCTTAATTAAATTATTTAGTTATCTTAATCTTAATTCACAATTATTTTTATTATACGATAATTACTTTTACTAATACATTTCTTAATTACTTACTAATCACACTTTACCTAAATTCCCGTATTACAATAATAGGTCCATAATACATGGGACCGAGGGAGTACTGTGTATTTCTTTAGTGAATCATAGCATTATATTGCATAATTAAAAAATCAAAATGAATAGATTCCAGAGACATATATTTTTTAAAATAAAAGAAACCAATTTTTTTTATTTTTTTTAAATCACTCAATATATATATATATATAAGAAATCACACATACACACCACCAAATAAACAAGTTATTTTTTAAAATAAAAATAATATATAAAGGTTATGTTTGGTTTTTGTTTCAAACACAAATTAATATTATTTAATTGTACAATTGTTGTTGATAAAAGTATATTATGATGTATTTCTTTACTATTTTAGTATATAATATTTTTTATTATTTTGTATTAAATGTTACGATTAACTATCGTAAAATATTAAAGTATATATGTTGAGAATCGGATCGATAGACAATGGGTTGGACAAACTTTTAGATCATATCAAATTATTGTTTAAATTAAAATTAAAATTTAAATAAAAAATTCAATTTTAAATCAAAATCAAACAAACGAGATCATGATATTATGGTGTATTTGATATATATATAGATGTTAATGTCATTTTTAATATAATGTAAAAAAATAAAAAATAATATTTGATTTAACATTTTTTAAAAAATCAGTTACAATGTTGACCGATCAAATCAGCATTCAATCAACATATGTATATAAGATAGACATCGTATAATTGATCGCATACGATAATATAATATACAATACATATTTTGACAACACGTGATATAATTTTATGTATAATAATAAATTTTTTATTTTGACATAATAAATATATTTATAGAATACAATACAATATTTTATCAATCCCGTAACTAAGTATTTATTTACTTTTTGCGTATTGATTTTTGAATATTAATTATTATACCAAAACGTATTACAAATTCAGAAAAAATGACAAATATGCTTCTATTAGTGTTTTATAATATTAATATAATGACAATACTTGTACAAAAAAATTATACAAATATAAATATATTTTTTTAAATGTTTTATATAAAAATGCATTGTCTTCCTTCTATGTAATGTACTAATCGAATCAGCATATCATATAAAAGACATACAACATATATTTTTGCGTAACATAGTATATGTTGAGTTATAACATAATATATGTTGTATTGTAAATATGTTATGATAATATATAATATATAATATATAATATATATATATATATTTATTATTTTTATGTGATGCTAATCTGATCAAATCAGGTCATCACCGAATCCGTAGCCAGCGATATCGTGATAAGTTTACTCTCAAGTGAATACTATTCCATGCTTGGGAACAATGAGGTCAACATTGGTCGATTGCACTAATAATATGTGTAAGAATTTTTGTGTAGCCCAAATTGGATCCAACTTTGTCTTCGACTCATTTTGTGATTTCTACGACATATGCACATCTCAATGTAGTAAACCAAACTCTTAATAATTTCCAAGCAATATATATATATATATATATATATACACTATGTTGCTTCAACATTTAGGCTTGGGCTCTATTTGATGTATAATATGTTTAGTAATTACTCCCTATGTCCCTTATCTATGGATTTGTTTGCTTTTCAAGGAGTTTTAGAAATATTAGTATTATATTTGGATGTAGTATAAATAAAAAAAAAATTAAAATAACCTTATTAGTATCATATAAATATAATGATATTTGTGTAGTATATTGTAAGTTGTAAGAATATTTTTAATGTTAATAGAAAGCACATTTACTAATAAATAAAATAAATATTTTATTATTAGACAGAGAGAATATAAAATTACTTTTCATATATGTTTATTATTTTATAACAATAAGTAGACTATATAGAAATAATTCAACAATTTTAAAATTTTTGATAGAAATAGTTCTTAGTACCGTAGTTGCATGCGTGACTTGCGCTGTTAGTGCTACCTAATTCTTTTAGGTTGTAGTTATTTTGTGGATTTTATTATAAATTTTTATTATTTAAATTATTTTTATAAAAATATCAAATCAAACAATGATTTTTTTTTTTTTATATTATATTATAAATTTATTTTATATTTAAAACATCATATCTATCCTCTGTTTGTATCATACCAAACAATTATTTAAATTCAATTTTTACTCAACTCCAACATGTCATTAGGGTACCACGTATATAACTTTGTTATCAAAGTATTATTTTTGTCAAAATTTTTAAATTATGAGATTATTTTCTATAGAAGATTCAAATTACCGTCTTAAAATGATAAAAGAGTCACGTAGTTTCTGATGTTGGGTGTTAGGCCGAGACTGGGTAACTTCGTTACCTAAACCTATCGACCTAAAACCAAATCCGAGAATTTTTCGCGAGTCGAAACTACGCTAATTTTCACCAATAGTCGCTGCAAGAGCACACGCCGTTTTTAAAAAAATGAAACCGATTCACATCCCTCACGACGATCTCACGATCGTACGCCTTGGAGATGAACTTGATCGCCGTGTGGCAATCCCGGCAAATCCGAATGTTCTTGGTGACACGGAGCGCCGTACCCGGCGCCGTGTTGATTAGCCCAAACGCCACGGCTAATTTCTCGCTATGCGACATTAAAGATCGCTCTTTTTCCTCCTCGCTCACGTCGTGCAACGCACAGCTAACGTCCGGCGCATACCCCGACGCCTTCATCTTCTCCGGAAGCCCCTCCAAGAACGCGTTGATTTTGTCCGTCGACGCGTCTCCGGCGAGAAAGAAATGAACTTTCCCGTCGAGCTCGATCCAACTGCATCCCGGGTTCTTCTTAACGTTTTGCGATTTCTGCCGATCCCGCAACTTGTCGACTTCGTCCCACATGCCGGCCTCCGCATACATATTCGAGAGCACGGCGTAGCTCGCGCTGTTCCCGGGTTCGAGATCGAACAACCTTTTAGCCGCCAATTCGGAAATTTCGAGATTACGATGCGATCGCGACGCCGCCAGCAGCGAACCCCAAACCCCCGCCCCGGCCAGCACCGGCATACGGAGGATTAGCTCGTATGCCTCGGATAATCTCCCGGCGCGACCCAAAAGATCCACGACGCAAGCGTAATGCTCGGGGCTTTTCTCAATTAGATACATGGAACTCATCGCGTCGAAATATCTCAACCCGATGTCGACAAGGCCAGAATGGCTGCATCCCGACAACAAAGCGGTGAACGTAATTCCGTCGGGACGAATCCCGGCTTTGATCATCTCCTCGAACATCGTCGCCGCATCTAGTCCGTGTCCGTGCGATGCATATGCGGCGATCATTGTGTTCCAAGCGACTAAATTCTTTGCATCCGGGTTTAACGTATCGAAACACCGCCGCGCCTCCGGTAGACTCCCGCATTTCGCGTACATCCCGACGAGTGCGGTCTGCACCGACGGATGCGAATCGAAACCCTTCTCCCGAGCGAAACAATGAATCTCTCGGCCGCGATCCAGCGCTGCCGATTGGCCACATGCCGGCAAAATGCTTGTAATCGTCACCCAATTCGGCTTCACTTCCGATCCATCCTTGCGCATTTCGTCGAAAATTTGCAGAGCATCTCCGGCGAAACCGTTCTGCGTGTAGCCGGAGATCATGCTCGTCCACGACACGATATTTCGCCACGGCATTTCGTCGAACAGTTTACGGGCAACGCCGACGATGCCGTCTCGCATGTTTCCGGAGATCAAAGCGTTCCATGAAGATATATCTTTCAGAGGCATTTCGTCGAACACCTTGTGGGCCTCCGCAAGCTCGCCGCACTTCACGTACATGTCGATCAACGAAGTCCCGACGTAGATGTCGGAATTCAATCCGTCCTTCATGCTCAAGGCGTGTGCGCTTTTTCCGGAGCTGAGGAAGCTCAAATCCGCCATGGATTTCAATACGAAGGGGTAGGTGAAGTAATCCGCGCGGAAATTAAGAGAATGCATTCGAGAATAGATTCTGAGAGTCTCCTCGGAGTATTTGTACAGAGTGAAGGCGCGAATGATGGAATTGAAGAGGAGAGGAGTTAGGGTTCCGGCGGAATTGAAAATCCGGGCGGCGGAATCGATGTCGCCGGAACTGCCGTACATGGCGACCATTTTGGCGGCCAGGAAAGCGGCGGGGGAGAGTCCGCCGAGGACGAGGCGGGCGTGCAGCTGTTTCCCTTGCCTGAGAAGGCTCTTGCCGGTGAATGACTGGAAGACGGCGGCGTAGGAGCTGGGCTCGACTGGGGCTGGGTGTGGCTTGAGGAGGGGTTTCAAAAGAACGGCCATGGCCGACCTTGGGAGAGCTTGGCCGTCGCATTTCATAGGGATTGGAAATCCCGATTGTGTCCGGCGGGCGGCGGAGCTGCCGGAAGGCGGGAAATGGTCGGAAGCGACGTCGTATTAATAGACGATTCAAAGTATTTTTTGTATTTGGTTTCATGATACATTATTTTAATATTTAATTTAAATCAAATTCTTTAATGATTTGAAGCAATCAACGGCCAGGATCATTCCACAAGATCGATGATGATGATCATCAATCTGTGACTTGGAAGCCAAACCGCAAAATTACACAATGATGATTAATAATTTCATAATGTACGTGTAGTCTTCTTGTTTGACTGAAATTTAAATAAAATGTTTTCAATAGTACTATCATAACACACTCTACTGTACAATAAATAAAAGAAAATATTAATATCTTCGTCCAAAAACTTGATGTAATTTTAATTTGGAACAAAAATTAAATTAATAATATAAAATACATTGAGTAAAAATAAAATAGTGATATTATAAACCGTTATTATCAATCAAAATTCATATTTGTTTGATAAGCAATTTTATCATGTTTGGTTTGGTTCGATTACACTTGTTTAAACTTGTTCGAGATATATTATTTTTTAATTTATATATAATGTTTTGTTTTATTTTATTTATTTTTCAATAAAAAAATTCATATATATATTTTTGACATAATATATATATACATATATATATATACACAAATATGTCATTTTCATAAATATTCACAAATAAGGTCCGGACACATTTATTAACGACCCTATTTATATTGGTCAGCTTAACTTCTTTAGGTTTGCAAAGGAACTTAATCAACTGAGCCGGCGGTTTGAATTTCGAATTGAGATATGAATAATAAAAATTTTAAATTTGAATAATTATATGATATAATATAAATAGAAATTGATGTAATATTTTGAATGTAAAATTAATTTTTAATATAATCCCAAACTAACACACCCATAGGGCTTGTTAGTTAGGAAAATTTTACAGCAAATTTACTATTTATCTAATTTTTTCCTTCCTAACATATCAAATCAAAAACTTATTTTTTATTTTTTATATTATACTAAAAATTAATATTATATTCAAAACATCACATTGTATCAAACACTTATTTACATAGTACCACTATTTCAATTTAAAATTTTTACTATTCAATTCTTAACTCAAAATCTAAATCCCCAAACAAACACACCCTTAATTCATTTAAGGATTTTATTTATTATTTTTGTAGTCTCATTGTTTTTAGAATGGCTGTATTATCATAAAACATGCCTCTACATTTAAAAAAAACACTACTACGGCCAATGATATAGTAATGTAATGTTAGTTAAATCCCGAGTCGACTAAAACTATAATTATGGGATATTATAGATGAATAGAATGTTTAGATCATAAATAAAAAATAAAAAAATACTAACATAATTTTGACTATGATGTATTATGTATAAAAATGAATTAAATATTGCAAAGGCAGTAGTAGAAATTTCCAGAAATTAAGTGGAAAATTACACTCAAAAAATTAGAAAATGGTAATTAATTTACCACTTACAAATCGAACTGTTTGCCTTCAAACGTTTGCCCGAACGCCCAATTTTTGGGGGCGGCGCCGTACGAAATTAGGGTTCCGCCGTCGCTGGCGGTGAGCTCGAACGACAGCGGCTGATTCTTCAAATCGGCGTTTATATGCCAATTCTGTCCCCAATTCCGCCCCATCGGCAGCCAACCGGTCCGAGAGCCTTTAATTTTAACGGCGGTGACGTCTCCGGCGCCGGCGACGTTACTGATGAGCACCGACAGGAATATTCCGGCGCCGCCGAGCGTGAACCGGATTCCTCCCTCCTTCCGGCAGCGGATCCGGCGGTACTGGACCGGCATGTTCGCCGCCTTCCAGATGGCGATTTTCTCGAAGGCCTGGATGGGGAGGACGAAGTGCGAGTTCGGCGGATTGCAGCGGCCGCCGCCGTCGGCGTCGAAGCCGTAGTTGGGGGCGCAGAAGTTGGTGGCGGTGACGATAATGGAGGTACCGGGGATGCACCACCGGAGATCCTCCACGCACCGGATTTCGAAGCAGGCGCCGCAGATCTGGCCGCGCTCGAAGAGGACGGTGCTCAGACCCGCCGTGGCCTTGCCGTAACCGCTCTTCTCGAGGTCGCCGTAGCCGCACGCGCCGCCGACGGCGTCGATTGGCTCCGTGGCGGCGTAGTAGGTGGCGCGGGCGGATTTCCAGTCGGAGTTGGAGGCGGCGGAGGGGGTGGAGGGGAAGTAGTGGGAGCGGACGAGGAGCGGCGGCAGGGAGAGGGTGAAGAGGAGGAGGAGGAGAAGGTGGCGCCGCCGTGCCGGCATTTTGAACTCCGGTGGCGCGTGAAAGGCGGAGGAACTGAGAATTGCCTTAGTGTAAAAATTGTAAAGAGAATCAGAATGCCGACAACATAATAGCCTGCTCACTTTTTTGGCAACTAGCCTTGAACTTAAGGAGATATATATATTTATAAAAATAAAATAAAATACTCCTCTATCTCATAGCAAATATTTATATTTTTATTTTTATTTTTTTTTTATGTAAATATCTTTACCATTTTCAATATATTACACAAATATTCTTATCTTTATACTCTCCCTCCTTCTCAGATACCATGTCTACGTTACAATTTCTGTCCATGTACCATGTCGTTTTCTTTTTTAAAAATGATTATACACTTTAATCTCATTTCAAATTTTTAAAATTTTTTTTTAATTTTAATTAAACTAATTAGTTATCTTAATCTTACTTTATAATTATTTATATTATAGAATAATTATTTTTACTAATACATTCTTAATTATCTACTAATTAAACCTCTTATAAAATACAATATCTACAGTGCAGCAGACACGGTATTTGGGACGGAGGAAATATCACATAATACTAATAAAGTTATTTTTACTTTATTCATACTATATTTTAATATAATACTAATATTTGTAAATCTTCGTGCAAAAAATAAATGACTACATGGTTATGCGACAGAGGAAGTAATAAAAATTATAGTACTTTATGCAAAAAAACAAAGGTTGTCATTTTCTATTTTTGTCAATTTCAAAATAAGATTACTATTTTTTAATTTAGTAATGTACTATATATCAAACATAATAAATACTATTTCAACATACCTTATATTACACAAATGTCATTATTTTTACATAATACAATACTAATAGAAGTATTTTTATTTTTTTATTATAATTTATTATAATATTAATATTAAAAAATTATGTAAAAAAATAAATGACAACCTTGAGCCGAGACTGAAGGAGGGATAATATATTTAATTTCGACACTTATAAAAAATAATTTAATTTAATTTAATAAGAATAGTGAATGGTGGGGTGGAATGGATATTCAAATAGAATAGAAAGCATTTATCGTTTATAAATAAAGAACCTTTACTTGTCTGGTTGGGGGCCGCAACTTATTTTGGCTTTTTGACAAATCCGGTTTCAATTTTCATGATAAATTAAATTAAAATAAAATAGTCTCGTAAAAGATGGTCGGACACCTTAGGGATAACCATAAGAATATTGGTTCAAATCTTCGATACTTGTTCGTATCTCCTTCATTTCTTAAATATGTTCATTTTGTTTATTTGTGAATTATCTGTAGATTTGGATTAATTTGGTTGAAATTGGTGCGAAGTTAATTATGATCTAATCGGATTATTCTTACTAAATTTTTTGCCTTGAATCAATGAAGTCTAAGATAATGAAAAAATAATCGAAATTCAATTTGGTAGTAAAATTTCAAAGCTCAACGGTCAACTTAAAAACAAAGATTTCGCATGTTGAATGAAACATCCAATAGCATAAATTGAGAGCCCTGCGACATTAAACAAAGTTTGGAAGCGTCGAGCGAAACCCAACAACATCGAACTGTAGTCAAATGAAGCATAGCATCGACAGTGTCGAGCAAAATCCAACAATATCAAACGAACCCAACAATCTATAATATTGAGAATATAGGCCTCAAAGTAAACCGAGGAAAAAAGAATGATCTAATAGTATAAAAGTGGACTCTGATCTCCCAAGGCCTGCCACAAACAACAATAATCCCAGTAAATATGTAAATAAAGATTACTTTGGTGTCAATATATTTTGACAGTGATATGTACGTTTATTATCTTGTCAAAATTTTAAAATATTTTTTTATAAAATACTTCATCCGTTTGGCTAGAAAATTTACATATTTATATTGTGTAACGTTCAATTACAAAGTAACCATTTAATTAAATGTCTAATTTTTTTTTTTTCATAAATACCTTTACACAAATCATTACACTACTTTAAACTAGTTGTTTTTAAACAAACGTATACTCGGACCGCGGGAGTATTATACTAACCAACACAAATCAATTTTATTATTTATCATTTTTTTACAAACTATTCAATCAAATATTTTTATATTATATTAAAAATTTAATTTTAATTTTATAACCAAATTTAAAAATTTTATTATTTAAAATCAAAATCCCTAACTCAACACACAACACGCAACACGCGTGAAAAATGTCCTAGTGGCATAATCGTAATTCAGTATGGAACGAGGTCCAATTTGAGAACCACTCTTATCTTCTTCATCTAAAAGGCGAAAGAATTCAGCCAGCATTTCACCGCGTCTTCCATGGCGTCCTCTCCCGCGCTTTTGCACTCATCCGCTTCCACGTTCTGCGGCAACTTCAATGTTCGACTGCCCGCCGGAAACTTCTGCTGCCGCTCCAGTGGCCTATCAATTAGAGCCACGTCTTCAATAGTCCTCGTGGAGAAAACCGACGCCGAGAAAGTGAGCAGGCTCAAATCCACGTATCTGGAGAAAATCGTCCCGTTGCTCAAGGAAGAGTTCAGCTACACCAACATTCATCAGGTTATTCCCTCAAGCTATTGCTATTTTTACTTTATGAAATTCGTGTCGAATGAGAAAAATTGAAAATTTCTTTTCGCTGAGTTATTTTATGGAACTTGATTGATAATTATTGTGTTCTATATACATCTTCATCTATGAGTCAGTAAACTGATGAAAACATCATTTCTATGGCTGCACACATTTAGATAAATACGCCATTTCTATGTGTCTCTGCCTTTCTTTTTGACAAACAAAAAATCTACCATTACTGATTTTACATGAATTTATTGTTTCCAATTTTGGGTGGGGAACGTCTCTTAGATTGCATCTGAGCGGTGCCTTGAACATTCTCTTATTATCCTCATTTTTGAAAATGTTAGCGTTGAATCCTTATGTAATTCATAGATACCTAGGGCTTTAAATGTTTATTTATTTATGTTATTTTTAGGCAATGAGTGCTTTGAGAAATTTGAATGTCTGGCTGCCTCATCAAATTGAAGTTTCTGTTTGTGCATTCAAATTCCTATTGCAGGATTGCATAGTTATTGCCATTATTTTGCTTTTTATGAAGATTGAATCTTTGTTTGAGTCTTGAAACTGTTTGAAGTTTCATTAAGATTAAAATGTTCATTGTTCTGTCATATATATATCCTTGTAGTGATAATCTTGCTTAGGTAAGGATAGTTCACTACAGTATAATATGTTGAAACTGAATGTATTATTCAAGTAGGAAATGGTATTACTATGTTTTGTCTTTTGCAGGTTCCAAAACTAGAAAAAATTGTTGTAAACTGTGGAATTGGAGATGCTGCTCAGAATGCAAAGGGCCTGGATGCAGCTATGAATGAGTTGGCTCTCATTACGGGGCAAAGACCAATTAAAACAAGAGCAAGGAAGGCCATTGCCACCTTTAAGATCCGAGAAGGCCAGCCACTTGGAATTGCCGTCACTCTTAGAGGAAATGTGAGTTGATATCTTCTCTGTTTTTCCTCATTTGCTTTGAACTATGATGTGGTATTTGCAGTGCGATAGAGACTTACATTTATTGTGCGGTGTCCTTGCCTGAATTCATAATAATTCTTAATGGATTTACTTTGCCTAATTCAAGCTCTAGCTTACATCATTAAGACATATGCAAGAAATCCTTGGCCTTGCAGAAAGAAAAAAAAAGGGATAAAACTCGAAAGAACCAAAGCTTAAGAGCCACATTCATCCTTGTATGATATAAGAGATGTTTTGATAGTTTAAAATATGAAAAGCATTTGCGGTACCGTAAAAAATGTTGCTTATAACACATCTGTTGCCTTTTTCTGAACTCTGAATGGATGACATTTGGAAAAAATGAACAATTTGGGATCCCAACCTAATGCGCATGTGATAATTAAGATGAAATACACCCTCCGTCCCACTCCAAATGAGCTCTTTGGGGTTTTGTAATAGATTAAGAAATAATAGTATTTTACTGGATAGTAGAAGTGTGTAATTGTATAACGTAATTGTATGTGTAATTGTATGTTTGTAATTTAGGTAAAATTTAAGTGTATTTTAGTAGTAGTGTATGATTATTTTTACTAAAATAAAAAATGAAAGACTTTGGAATGAGACGGGTGAAAATGATAAAAATGAGTATTTTGAATTGGGACGGAGAGAGTATCAGTTACTACTTCTGTATGAGTCTTTAATTGAGTGATGCTAAAATTGCTAAACAAGCTGGAATAGTTAATCACAATGGTCTTTAGTTTTCTTGAATCCGATGCACATTTCTTTGGTGTTCATTGTTTTCTTTTAGGATTTTAAAATTTTTGAGTTTCTTTTAGTTAGTTACTGGAAACTATGAGAGGAAATAATATATTTTAATCTGAGAATGGTAACCACTCGAGTATATATACCTTATATCGTTCAAAGTGTATACTTCACACTTATGTATAATACATTAACAACAGGTGATGTACTCTTTCCTTGACCGGCTCATCAATCTAGGACTTCCTAGGACGCGGGATTTCCAGGGGGTGAGCTCTAACAGCTTTGATGGTAATGGAAACTACAGCATAGGTTTTCGTGAACAGAGTGTGTTCCCCGAGATCAGTTATGACGTGCTCGGTAAACCAAGAGGGATGGATGTTTGCATATCGACAACAGCTGCCTCTGACAATGAAGCTCAAAGACTTCTTGCGCTTATGGGAATGCCGTTCAGAGAAGGAGGCGGCGCGGCAGATGTGTTGCGTAAGAAGAAGCTCAAGTCTCACCATTTCGACTCCAAATCGAAATCGAGGCAAAGAGCCCAGCCTAAGAAGAAGAGGTGAAAGAAACTTCATGTTCTGGTAAGTTAACTTCAACTTTGTTGTTTGTCTGCTTTTGTGTTTACCATTTGGGAAAAAGAAAATTGTTGGTTGCCTTGAGTACAAATGAAGTTACTATTCTTCAAAATGTCATCCGATAAGTTTGTTTGATTATGGTTTGAAATAGATCCGTTGGATTTTTAATTTTTGTTTAAATATTATTTTAATATGATCGTGTTGTGACAAAAGATAGCACTTTCTTCATCTCAAACATGGTGCAATATTTGATTTCAGCATAAAGATTTAGATAACTAGTATCAAGTTGAATAATGTTGTGACAAATCTTATATACATTCTCAGTCTAACTCAAAGTATATTTTCACCTATTTCTTGTTTTAGTAAAAATAATTATATACTAATGTCAAAATACTTGGAATTTTTATCTAAGTTACAAATATATTATTATTGTATATATGATTATTTTGCAAAAATATCAAAATTGTTGCATACTTTTACTAATCATAAAATACTACTATTTTTTAATATACTAAAAATTCTAAAAGATCCTTTCGATTAAAATGATATGATACGATAAAATATAGTGCATGAATTAAGTATAATTAATAATTTTGTATTTTGAAAATATTCCATAATGTTTGAGACAATAAAAAAGAAAATATAGCAAGATATTTTAAAATAGAATGGGTATATTTTTATTGAAAACTGTAACGACCACTTCAAATTGAAGTTTGCAACCAATCTAACCCTACTAAAACAGTGAAAAAAGACACAAGAAAACAAGAAAACTCAACATTACTTGAGCTCCATTGTACATCAAGTTTAAGCCAATACACACATATATATATATATATATATATAGGGCCTAATAGGAGCAATTTTTAATACAACAACAATCTTCAAAAGGCTTTATACATAATCAAATACACATACTTCAAAAGATGTTGAAATACTCATCGATGTCGCATACTCAAACTTCAATGATTTGGATCCGGGTTGAACTTCACGGATTCTCTCCATATAAGTTCCTTAATATTCTCTTCAGTAAACGACGGCTGCTCAAAGTCGAACACAAAGGGCTGAGGGCACACGGGCTCTTCGTTGATATCATGAAGGGGCGCCAAGTAAGGATGACAGAGTGCCTGATTGACTGAAAATGATTGAAAGCAAAATTAACATAATATGAATTTTGGCGAAGGACAAGATTATATATATATATATACCTAACATTACAAATACCCTTATAACTTATAATATATTATACAAATGTCATTATCTTTATTTCATACAATACTAATAAGATTGTCTTAGTCATTTCTACTATCTGTCGATATAATACTAATATATCATAAACTCCGTAAAAAAAGAAAACAAATAGCTACTTAAGGGAAGGAGGGAGAATATATATATATATATGTATATACCTGTCATCCGTTTGCTGGGGTCAAAAACGAGCATTTTTTCTAATAAATCCAGAGCTCCAGGGGAAGTGTTTGGGAACCGAGTAGAAAATTGCTGCCTCGGGTATTGTGGTAGCTGCCTAAGGTACTTCCGTGCGTTGTCGCTCGTTAGAAATCCAAGGCTGGAATCGTCCGGAGAGCCTATAAGCTGCGGAAAAATAACAGACATTTGATAGAGCATCGATACAATAGGTCAAGATCTCAAAACATAAGACGGGCAAAATAGTAGGTGAGTAAAAGCAAAGTTACAATAACATGTTGGAAGATCCAAACACACATCTTTTTAGTGTCTACACGGTTTTCTTGTCTGTTGGAAGACTATATAATATGTAATTAATGATATTTACCTATTAGCTTAAGTTTTTAAATAAGATGGTTATTTAACATGGTATCGAGATAAATCTACTTGCACATAAGGGAGTGTGTTTGGTTATTGTATAATATGTAATTAATGATGCATTTTCTATTAGTTTAAACGTTTAGGTGAAATGGTAATTCAAAATGATATCAGAGCGGGTCTGAGAATAATGTATTTTTTTTACTGGCTTAAGTTTTAAGGTGAGATGATCATTTAATGATGATGTTTGGACTCTAGGTTTATAAAAAATATCACATCAAACATTATTTAGATAAAAACTCAAATTTCCAAACTCAATCTAGGCGGAAAAAAAACATACTCGTGAAATTTCGACACTTTGGTCCTATTTGTTAGGCATACAAAACTCTCGAGGCACCTATTCTTAATGGCTTCTAGAAACCGAAAAGGAAAATATCGGATATAACCTAAAGTATGGTGTGAAACAAAGGATTACCTGTGTGATGAGTCTCAATTGATGAACATAGTCTCTTCCAGGGAATAGGGGTTGCCTTGTCATGATTTCTCCAAGTATGCAACCTACAGACCAGATGTCGATTGCAGCAGTGTATTCTGAGCAATTAAGGAGAAGTTCTGGTGCCCGATACCAACGTGTGACAACATACTCAGTCATAAAATCAGTCTCCGATGTTGTCCTTGCAAGCCCAAAATCTCCAATTTTCAAGTCACAGTTAGCATTGAGAAACAAATTGCTCGGCTTCAGATCACGGTGCAAGACGTGTGCAGAATGAACATACTTAAGTCCGCGCAAAATTTGGTAAAGAAAATACTGCAAATGATTAATCGATAAGATTACCACTTAAAACAAAGCATATATTTGGGTGTAGATTACGATCTTAGTTAACAGAAAGAACAAATCTGACCTTGCAAATAATCATATTAGAGTTATAAAGAACTCTTAGGAAGCTTAAAATGTAAAGCAAAATCCAATTCCTTTATTTCTTTCTTCCTTTCAAATAATTATAGAGTAAACTAGTTTTTATGTCTGGTATGTGATCATTTTAGGACAGTAACTAACCCTGTATTGAATTAATCCCACAATTAGAAAAATTTGGCAGAAATGATCCTAAGGCGTTGAGTTGCTGATGTGGCACCGTTGTGATGCGCCAGAAATAATGTCAATGACACGTAGATAGCGTTTAAAGATTATTTCTGCCAAAATTTTTTAGTTATGGGACTAATCCAATACAAAGTTAGTTATTGTCCTAAAATGATTCTCAAATGCTTTTCACGTGTCATCCATAAACTCTGCATCGCGTAAAGATGCTGCCAACAACTACGGCCATTTCTGCAAAATGTTTTTAGTTGTGGGACCAATCTAATATAAGGTTTAATTATGATTCTAAAATGATAAAAGGGGGTGACGTACAGGACTAGAAAACAATTTACCATAATTATATTACCAACTAATTGAGAAACAATTGAAAAGCTACTAAGAAATTCAATTACAGCAAGAAACCTGGATATGAGGAGAAACAATTAATTAAGGTAACAAATTAGCTCAATCTTTGAATAAGAAGAAAATGAGGTCAAACCCGGCAATGGTCATCCATCAGTGGTTGGTTGGACCGGATAATCTGATGGAGATCGGTGTCCATTAATTCATAAACAATGTAGACATCAACAAAGTTATCTGTTTGAGGAGGCCGTATTATGTCTTTAATTGCAACCACCTGTTGTAATGGAAAGTTGAAGAATGTAAGAAAATGGGTTCAACTTTAAGAACAAACATTTGAAGTACGATATCAAGTTCACAAATAGTCCAAAGCTTTGATTGCTTCATGTAAGAATATTATGTTGCTAATGAAATAAAGCTACAAGTGCGTGGATCTATGAAAAATTTTAGATCTTCTTGCGAGTTGATACATGATGGCTTATATCGTAAGAATGATGTTTGTTTACTTGGTTATGCAAACATGGGGAGGCTTTTTAAAGCTAATTGCTAACTTAAATTGAGCATTCAATCAAAAAGTTACATGCATATTTCAAGATCGAGAAGGTTATCATTTTAACTATATCAAATTGCATGCATATTAAGTGTCGATGGACGAAACTTAAGGGTTTACTTTGGAAAAATGAATTGGCACCCTTTAGAAATTGCAAGTGTTTTGAGTGTTAGGTGATAATTCATTCATTTCTGCACTAATTCGTCTACTTTTTTGGAAAATGTATTGATTCTTGTTTATTTTCATAGGTAAACTGAAGTCGTGTGTGCATAATGTCATATGCTACACAAGGAGAATGAGAAACTCAAATTTATTCTATTATATTGTATCATTTGCTTTCTAGGACTTAGTATCTTCTGAGTATGTTAGCACATGTCAAAACCCTAAACCCATCGTAATCACTTTCTTTAATGACAATATCATCAACGTACACAACAAGATACAATAGGCATCATTGCTAGGAACAATAACATTATTTTATAATCACAAAAAGTAATTTGACCCGCATCTAATCATTTCAAACTCCTACATAGTAGCACTAAATCATCAAAACCAAGCACGTGGAGATTGTTCTAAACACTTAAACCATACATATAACGACAAAGCTTACACGCAAACTAGACTCCCTACTCCCTCTGGACAATAAAACTAGGTGGTTGTCACATGAAGAAAAGAATTCTAATTGTCTAACAAACGACAAGACCAAGCCTGTATATGAATGACATTTTTGCTACTAGAGAAAACATATTTGTATAACCATCTAGGCCAATCTTAAATTTGTGGGAATCGATCTTAAATTGTTACACCTTCTAACTTTGTGCTTTTAATCCAATTTGAGTAAGTTATTAGTGATCTGGACCTTCATTACATCCAAATAAATAGATGGAAATTGATTGCTGTGTTACCTTAGTTCATGAATTCAGTTTGGACATATTTTGTCTTTCAAGCTTAGTTTTTGTTTGACATTTACCAAATCAAATTTCAGATTTGATCATTACATAATACCCCCTAAAGTTTGTCTAAATTCACAACATATTTTTTGTTTGCTTGTTTATGTTAAAATGGTGCTGCAAGTATCTTGAGTTCTTTGAATACATTAGTACCACTAAGGACAACACAAACAATTAAAAGATTCATCACCTTCGAGTTTTCAACAAAGTCCTACTCAGCATAATCACTTATTATCTAGCGAAATATTACCATACTCTCAAAAAACTAAAAGGAAATGTTTTCAGATGCAATAAAACTAGAATAGTATTCAAATACACATAACAGAAAAGCATGACATATAAGAAATCAAGCAATATAAACAAATACTTAAGATTTCATATCTATTTTAGTTAATACGAATGTCCTTACATTGTCATGATCCATGTGGCGGAGCAATTTGATTTCACGAAGTGTCCTCTTTGCATCAATTCTGTTGTCGAATGCATTGCCAATCTTCTTTATGGCTACTTCTTCCCTTGTCTCAGTGTTGACAGCAGCACTGAAGAAAAATAACCATCAGATTTTTTCTTTTCAACATATATTTAAATACCATTCCACTTCGATTTTTTTAATTAAGCTCCCTAAATTACAAGTAGGATAAAGTTCATAAAACCAAGTTATAGAGTTGAAATTTACAAAAAATAGCAACACAATGGTTAAGAAAGAACATCAATTACCCTAATAATCAGCACTAAATTATATATCGCTCTACGGCCCGTAGAATTCTCCTAAGATATCAAACAATCAAAGTGTGACATCGCAAAACAAACTCAACTACAGTTACCAAAGTTTCAATGAATCTGAGAAAACTCAAACTATTTTTCATTTCTTTATATAATATTAAAAGTCGATTTTAAATTTAAAACATCACATCAACATTTATTTATATTACAATAAACTAACTATCCAAATTCAAACTTTGCTATTCAAAAATCCAAAACCAAAAATCAAATCCACAAACAAACACACTCTAAGTTCTTTCAATTATACTTTAATGTACACATTTATATTGTTGATATAAGTAGTCTAATGGATTAATTTAAACACATCTCAGCTCAAATAAAATGCACATACAACACACAAGATACCATTTTCCTATCCAATAAAATCCCCCTCATTTCTTTTCTTGCACATCTCTTTTTCTTTATGTTATAAAAGTGAAAATAACAAATCCAAAAAGATCACTTTCTCAGCCACATCAACACTAAACTAAAGATCTAAAAATGGATCAAAATAACAACCAAATAATCACACCAAAACCCCATTTTTAATAGATAAGAATCTCTCTCTAACACCATTAATTGCTACTCAAACTAGCTACTTTACTAACTTTGCAAAAACCAAAGCAATTAATAGACACACAGAGAGAGAGAGAGAGAGAGAGAGATGATTCAGTAGAGTGAAAAGTAGATAGAAAATTGTTGAAATATTACCAGACAATGCCATAAGCTCCACGCCCCACAGGTCTGAGGGGAACATACTTTTTTGAAACTTCGAAGAGATTTCCATACACACTATACTGCATATATCTTCCTCCATGAGTGGGCACCCCTCTGATGTTATGCCCGCCATGATCGCCCACTCCTGAACTCGGCTCGGACATATCTATCCCAAGAATTGAAAAACCCACCAAAGGAAATGGAGAAAGGGGATGAAATTCAAGAAATGGATCTTTGATCGACAAGTTCTTGTTGGATTTTGTATGAGTGTGAGTACTGTCGGCTACTGTAGACAAGTTTCTGACATCCCCCCCTCTCTCTCTCTCTCTAAGAATTTAGGAAAGAAAGAAAATTGGGGAGAGGGAGAGAGACATGGTCAAGATAATTAATTGACTTTTCTTAGAGGGTGGGTAAGTTAAAAGCTGTGAGGTTGGTGTTTGGATTGGCTTGATTGAACACTTGTAATGCTAATTACAAACACAGATGGATATGGATATGGAGGTACGTTGACTTGATTTATGAGTTGAACATCAAAACATTAATCGTTGACTAGTGATTTTATATCTACTTTCATTGTTATATTCATTATTATTATTTTTTTATTTTTAAATGACTAGTTGTAGCCTTATTATTCGAATATGAATATGCTTTGAGTAAATTCTGACCTAATTTGATAATTTGTAAATTAAGATAGTAAGATAAATCACATCATATAAATCACATGTAGTAGAAAAAAAGAAAAAAAGAAAAAAAAAAAAGTAGTTCCATAATTATAATAACTCGTGTTATTATTTTTATTATTCTTTTAACGTGAATTGGTGTTGATAATTTTAAAATAAAAATTAATAAATATGATAAAATAAATTCATATTCTAAAAATTATACTCCATTTATCACAAAATAATAGGTATATTTAGGAGTCACATGAAAATTAAAGAAAGAATAGTATTATTATAAAAAATATAATAGTTTTGTAATAGGAGCTTATTACCAAAAGTAAAAATAAAATTATTTTTTTAAAATGTACAAAATAGCAAAATAAAATTATTATTTTATGACAGACCGAGTATTTTAATAAAATATATACTACTATGTGAATATTATTTGTAAAAGTACAATTTTACATAATACAAAACTACTATGTGAATATTATTTGTAAAAGTACAATTTTACATAATACAAAATAAATTCCGGTAGTAATATACTTCTTCTATCGGCAGCATCTTTTGCGTCATTGTAATTAATATTAAAAATATCAATATGACGGAGCAATATTTTTTATTTATTTATAATTAGAATGAACGCATTTTCAAAAAAATAAAATTTTTTTAAATATATATAAAGATATTTATTTATTGAAAAAAAGATGAAATAATAACTATGCTATCTTAACTACTACTATGTGACATCAATTCATATATATTGTATATTAATGTAACTAAATTTTACGGAAGAAATATTTCTCTATTTACTATCCAGGACCACTCTTTTTTCTCTGAAAATTCACGCCACCAACCTACCCACCCCCTCTACCTACACCCCCCCCCCCCCCAACAAACAAACAACAAATTTCTTATCTTTCATTTCATCAACACATCACTACAAACATAAATCTCACAACAACAAATGTAAACTTGTAAAATGCTAACACACATTTTTAGCAGACTACTCCAAACCTGCAACCTTATATATGCACTTCAATAACTAAATATAAATTCATATATCTATACCTATATCTATATATATATATATGTGTGTGTGTGTGTGTGTTTTGCTCACCTTACCATCAACCCTTCTACCTTTTTATTAGCTTGTGCTCCATCAGAAATCTTACTACCAAACCTAAGGTTATCAAGCAAAGCATTGCGACCGGTTAGAACAATCTGGAAGAACCTGTCGACCTCCTTCACCACTAGATCAAGCCCCCGCGAAAGTTTTTCCGCGGATTTTCCGAGATCCGACGCTATTTCTTGCACCATTCCGGCTTCTACCGAATCTACCCCATCTTTCACGAAGATCTGATGTAAATTCTCGACACTTTTGTGGACACTTTCCAGCTCTTTCAGAACTACAGCTCTTCTATTGTATGTGTTCCTAAATTTGATATTTACACAAGTTTGAAAATTAGTAAAAGCCTCGGCCCAAAGGCAACCTTCTAAAACTTGTAGCTCCACCAGCTTCCTCGCAGAACCTGAAAATATTGCGTCGAATATACTGCATATCGAAAGAGTAACCACCCTGACTCCATATACGGCGCGCATCAATACCTTGCCCTTAGCAGAGTTCTTGATTTTCGGCAGGTTGAGGGATTGGGCAAGACCATCCATGGCGAAGATGCATTTCTCGAGTCTTGGATTCTTTGAATTGATGTGTTGCTTCCATTCATCCAGCGAAGAACGAGCCTTTTTTAACTGATTTGGAGCCGTGCCGCGGAAATTGTGCAGCGCGCATTGAAGAAAGATGTATCCCTGTTTCATCCGAGAAATCTCTGAGCTGAAAGCGTTGCAGATGTCGAGCAACTTCACGCTGTTGTCCAGATAAACATCGAGCCATTTGTCCTCCCAATCGCAAACGGGGAGCTCGAGGGCGTTGATTAAAGATTTTACATCGGTGTGAATTGCGCAGAGTAATTCCGTTGCACATTTCATCCAAGATAAGGCAATGAAATCTTCATCGGCTTCCTGTATAAGCTTTTTAATTCTTCCTGCCAATGTCTCCTCAAATGTATTCAACAAATGAAGAAGCTTCGGAGAAAGATACGCGCCTTTTGGTGAAATCATGCGGAAGGGATTTCCAAATGGGAAAAAGGGCCGTTGTGGTTCTTGCGCACGACTCATTTGGCTACATTAATTGCAAGAAATGAAACGAGAGACAAACTGCATCAGACAACTTATAACAAAGTGCTATCCCACATGAATTACAATACAATACATCGAAGTCGGAACAATAGTGTTGTCACAAAAATTTTTTAGGCCAAATAGGGAAATACAGATGTATAAACTCATCCCGTCAGCACTGATTGTCTAAAGTAATTTTTTCAAAAAATATCACATCAAATATATATATTTTCTCTGACAAAACATTACATCGAATTCCAACTTTTTACCATTCCCAAGAATCCAAAACTTCAATCTAAACCGAAACCTATTCATTCCTTCTTTTCTTCACTCAAAAGCTATCAAATAAAAACCTTAATTTTCAATTTTAATTATGACGACACTGAAAATCAAATTTTCATTCAAAATATCGTATAAGTCGACTACCAATTTACACAAGTATCTATTCAATTCAAAATATTCCGGGCGTTTTTGGTTTGGATTTCAAACCCAAATCACCGCTGTACTGTCTAACCAATTTCCAATAAAAATACACTAATATATTCACAAAACATCACATCAAAATATTATTTAAACTAAAACTCAAATTTCAAATCAAAATCAAACAAATCATCACCAAATAAACCAACCCTCAAAAACTCATAGCTCGATGTTGAGTTCCACAGCATTACAGAACAAACAATTATTAGCAGATTGAATTATTGGCCAGAATCCTTCACTGATGAACAAGCATCAATTCAAATCACCAAAATCAAGCAACAACGTTGGAAAAGGTTACCAAAACTGCTAGATCTAAAACGATCCAGAAGGTCAACAAGAAAAATTTCACTCAATTCACGAAGCACATACTCAGACGATGATCATCATCCCCAATTTCATTGAAAACGAACACAACGCAACAAAATCAACACATCTCCATTATCGTCCAACAACAAACAATCAATTTACAAAACTAATAACTCAATCCTCGAAATCAATAAGCCAAGAGATGTCAGATCTTTACCAAATCGTCCGGTCAACGGCCAAATCGAAGACGATAGCCAAATTTGAACCCTATACCTAATTATATAACATCAATTACACCGTAACGAAAGTACATACACTTGCGCGCACACACGCAAAGTGAAAAACCGTACCTCCTCAAAAGTACTCCGGCCTCGGGGAAGCGTAGAAGTGTGGTGAAGCTTCGCACAAATTCCTCGCAGCAATGAAGATTTGCGAAGAATGGTAGGAATTGCAGTTGAACGATGTATTGTCTGGTCTCCGAGGGAGGGGACACGTGTTCGAGTGTTATTGGACGCTTGGCCTTTAGAGGGTGTATGGTATGAGTGGTGGACGCGCGCGCAGAATAGCAAAATGCTCGACGAAATCTGGCCGTCCGTTTGGGTGCTGTCATCAAGTTTAAGGCGTGTTTGTTTGGAAAATTTATTGTTGTTCTTAGCTTTCGTATTCGTGCAGCTTTTAGAAAAATATCTTCTTTGTCTCCACACTCTTTTCAAAGATGGTGGCTATACAGAATAAATAGTCTTCTTTGATCAACTATTGGAACGATTAATTAGCGTGAACCGGACCGGCTCAATTTTTTTACGATTAGACCGGTTGAGTAACTTGATTCAAGACTTCATACAAATGTCATTTTTTAAGCTTTAGACAGGTTGGAAGTTTGAAAAATAAATGTAAAAGAAATAGTATTTGACTAGACGTTTTATAAGGTAAAATATATAATTCTTCCGTCAAATTTTAAAAGTTTATATTTATTTTTCTATGTGTTTGATCTTTAGATTTATAATACTAATAAAAGAATAATACTAATAAAAGAATGTTTATAAAAAAAATTATACAAATATAAAATATTTTTAAAGCAAAAGATAAATATAAATTTATTATGATCTTTTAAAAAAATAAATAGTACAATTTGACTTGTGAGTAAAGTGTTAAGCAAATTTTTAACTCGTGACTTTATAATCATAAGCCTACCCGTTAGTACAATTTGACTTATTATACCCAAAGTTCGACTTTCTGAGAGCCGAAATATTAATATGCCTTAAATCTAGTTTGTCACTTTGCTGAATTTTATAGAAATCTTGATGTTGGTCAGCAAATCAGGGGGTCAGGGGGGCCGAACCTTGCCTGGTCCGAGGCACGGAGAGGTCCTGGCCCGACGGTATGCAGTATTGGGCTTTTGAGTTCATATTGAACTGAGCCTGAACGATGTATTCTCCTAATTTATTTGAACAGACTTATAGAATGCAACCTAGTAAGTTATTCTGAAATCGGTATCCATAAATTGTAACCTAGCAGCCCTCAATAAAATCTGTTTATCGTTTTTGTCCGTGGACATAGCCAATGCGTAAATATGTGTCTTCTTAACATATCTTAATCTGGGACAACATGGAACTTATTAGGTTGGTCGGAAGACTAGAATGAGTGGATTCTACGGCCAATTCAAAAAAGAACTTGTGATCTAATAAACAAACTAATGCATCCATTAACCAATCCAAGTGTTCGACCATTCCATTGAAACTGTCCACCTTCTTAGCATTTCTTAAGATAAACATTGCATCAAGAAACTGTCATAATCACAAAACCAGAGCTAAGAAAACTTACTTGCAATCAAGAATTCTATTCAGTGACATATCATAAAAAGGATTCCCCTAGAGTTGAAGGAGTTATATAAGTTACCTGGGAGCCACGACACGAAAATGAAGTCTTAGTCAGCCTTGTGCCGCTGTTTCCTGAGAAGTCGATGAAACAATGACAGCACCCACAGCCATATTTTAACCAGCCAATTTTTCGGCTCCGGTTTGGGATCCGGCTTTTGTCCAAACAATCCTTTGTAAAGCTCCTTTTGCTTCTGGTATACAGCTTTGTCGTGTTCTGCCAATGCTCGCAGCTCTTTTGCTATTGCTTTGTCCTGCGGGGCATGTTTTCGTGCTTTCAGGAAATCTTCACGAGCCGCATCTGTTTGCCCCAGCTCGGCTCTAGCTTTGCCTCTTCGGAACAATGCTTTCACATTGTTTTCATCCTCCACTAGCACCTGTAAATGATAAATTATAAAATCAGCATCATATATTATATTGAGATATAGATATAAATATTAGATCCTCACATATTCAACCGCTCTCAGCTAATAATCTTCGGTTAGTGTACTAATTGAGGATTTATCAGCGCTATATTGATCGTCTCAATCAACACATGGAAATACTATAGATAACATATGGAAATTTAACAGATAGCATATACATGTGTTGTTAGTTCTATTTTATATATGTGTTGTAAATTTATACTCCCTCCCTCCGTCTTAATTCAAAATACCATTTTTACCATTTCAAAGTATCTCTTTCTTATTTTAATTACAAACATATTAGTAAACATGCGATCATTTTATACATAAAATCAAATGGCAAAAATGTAAATTTTTTTTACATATTTCCACTAACTAATAAAATTATTTTTTAATTTACTACAAAACTCCAAATGGCAGTTTCATTAGGTATGGAGGGAGTATATAATATGATGTCTGAGATATATTACTGTGCTATCAGCACAGTGCTGATTAAAAATAACCGCCGCCCAACTAGTAATGTGTGCGCATAGAGCATGTGAGTGACAACGAACCATTTTTAAACTAGCAAGTGTCAGTTAAATATGTAAAATGTTCAGAAATAACTTACAATTAAAATTTTAACAATCAAAACACGGTACTTACAATACCACAATGCACAATTGCTTCGTCATAACGGTTGAGCTTTATCAAGCATGCTGCCATATTGAGGTGGCACGGATTTTTTACTGCCAAAGCCATATCGCGGTACTTTCCAAACAGCTGGAACATGAAATCATCACCTAGGTATGCTATGGCCTAGACCACAAAACAGCAATTTATTGGAAAGAGGATGGACTGGAAAATAATAAAACAAAGTGCTCTTACAACGAGTGTTCTGCTACCATTTCATATTGGTTCATTGCCTCCTCGAGTTTTTCTTCCTTGAATAAAGCATTCCCATCCATCTTTCTTCTATCTGCTGCACCGATTCTCTCCTCTACTGTCATGTCACTGCGAGCTTTTCCCTTTATAAAATTTTCAATCACTGAAATTGTTAATCTTCTTGAATCAATGAATCCATAATTAGAGCAAGCACATAATGGTCTTAGTGACTCTAGAAAGAACACTCACTTCCTTGGTCTCATCGAAACCAATCAATTCGACTTCATATACAATATCCGCCATTGGAGGAACGTTTGGAAAAGAAAAGCTTCCCTCTTTCCCATAGCCTAATTCCCAACCAACATGTAGCAATGCGCGTTCACCAGCCTTCATGCTGGAAATTCCGATGCCCAACCCAGCCATCTCCTTTTTCTCTACAGTAACGATTAATTGAAGAACATTGTGACCATCTAAATGAAGTGTATATAATTTTAAATAGTTTCATAATGTAGATAATTCACAATTGGTTCATAAGGCAGCCATGGAGATAACAACAAATTATTGTATACTAAAACTCAAATTTCAAATAAGATTTCAGGAAAATAGCATAGCTATACTTATTAGCTAAAATAACTATCATAGAAAATTATGAGATTTAAATGGAAGGCTAAGACGTGCTAAATCTAAAGTTCTAAGATTATTTTTCCAAAATCTTGGTACAAACCCTTTCCAATTATTAGCTCAAGAGGTTGTTGCTCGTGCCATGTATCTTCAAACTTGTGCCCAGTACTTTTGGTCCAAGCCCTGTAATGCACTGACACGAACAAATAAACAGAAAATCAAAGGAGCCACTTAGAATTTTTTTTATTAAAAATGAAACCATAATATTCCATGGTCCTTAAGAGAACAACATATCATCAAATTTTGATCCAATTTTTCCAAGAGGAGAATCCTATCTGCCTTAGAGAGGGACCAAATCTCGAAGATCAAATACAAGTACTTTGCTCTGAAAATAAATGAATATTTACAAACATTTGTGAAAAAGGAAGTAAGAATGCTGATAGGTCTTGATGAAAATGGAATAAAAAATACATGTGAAAAGGGAGCAAGAACTCAAAGGCAACATCATAGCAAGTCAGCAGCAGTGGCATGAACAAAAAAATTTATGAAAAGAGATCATCTCAACACACAAATCGATATTTTGATATCATATCATAAAGAAAGTGAAAAACACAACTTGAAATTGATGTCCTCTAAGAATCCAAATTACATCAAGCAACAAAAGCATTCACAAACTTAAGGATTAAATGAATGAAAACCAACACTGTCTATTTACTTTGCAACTTTAATCCCCCAATATATAGCACATAAAGACCGAACCCACCTGGTACATCTTCACACTAATAATTTCATCACTCTTATATATAGAAAGATATTTAAAATTAAATAATTACCAAATCATCACCCTCTGTTTGCAATCAAATAAAAGTAATTACATAACATGTTAATTATCTAAAATGAGCAAACTATTCACATATTCAAATTAACCAAAGTGGGAATATCTTTTAATTCCGATAAGCACCAAGTAAAGCTTATCAATTACATTTCACAATGCCCCATAATAGAAGGGCAGTCAAACGATCAAGGAAATTTTAATAGTAGACTTACAGAAGCAGGTTGCATATTTTGATGGCATCTGACCATGGCCTTCCTTGATAATTTGCTTCTGGACTTTCTCATGGAGGACTTCCATCTTTGAATCTACTTTAGGGACCCCAGTTTCATCTTGTGGCAATTCTCCACGCACAACTGACATAGCTTCAGTGACAATATCTCCATCACCATCTTGATCTACAAGACAAACATGCTTCTAGATTCATGGACTAAAATAATATCTCACAGCCACATCTACTGCAATATTTTGTGGTTCATATGAAAATTGCCAGTACCAATAATGACAACACAAATCTCTCATGTAAAGGAAGGTAAATGTACATAATCACAGGTATTAAAACAACTGCATCTGTAGAGAAAGCTGAATCAAAAGAGAATCACAAGACATCTTATTATAATAAAATCCATCATTCACATTCACGCAGCACAAAGTTCATTAGTAATTACAGAAAGCTGAATAGCTAATACAATCAATTGGCGGTAATCCCTCAAGAATCAAACAGGGAAATCTCAAACATAATACCAGGCATTTCCTATGTAGAAACAGCTCTATAAAATCACAAAGCTACACAACACATGAACCTCCAAGTTACATTAGCTAACCAAAAATGAATGACAAGGTGAATCATCTCTAGGCATGTTTGATTGATAGATAGGGTAAACAACTTATTTTTGGGCAAAACATTTATCCCAGTGCTACCAAGAAAATTTGGAATTTTATTTCACAAGATATGACATAATTATATTGGCCCTTATTTGAATCAAACACCTTACCTACACATGTAATCAAAGTAGATAAAATTTGGATTTTTATCCCTGGGCTGTTTGTGTAGTTCATTTCTCATCCTAAAAACTTTATTTCTTGTCATTTATACACACAAGCAGCGAAAAGATGTTATTTCTTTTATATCGATGCGCACACACACGCACACAAAAATAATAATAATAATAATAATAAATCTGTTGATTGTAATTTAGGCAGAGACAATCCAATATGTTTTGAGCTCCTTTCAAGAAAAAATATCATAACAAGGAATTCATAAAATGTGGCGATTAAACCAACATCGAGTCCATAAACAATTCAGAATTCCAATATGCAACCATATAACAAAGGTAACAGGCAGCAACCGTAATAAAAACATATGCTTATATGCAGGCAAGATTAAAACATTAGAAATGTAGAACACCTTCCGCTACTCAGCACCTACAACACTTTCTGCAAAAGGCTACAATTGCATTTATATATATATCTCAACAAAACCGGATGCAGCGCCACCAACATTAAACACTCTAGACACAAGAACAATAAAGAACAAAATCAAGCTATTTTCCGATAACTCAGCCTAGGAATTATCTACAGTAAGCACAAATTACACACAGCAGTCTAATTTCCCAGCGTTGATGCAAACCACCAAAACCAAAACAGAGATCAGCTAAATACCAAAATCTTTAGAATCTCGTAACAAGCTAAGAATAGCAAAGACCTGAAGATGGGCTTTGCTGCTCCTCCAGTTCCACCATAACTCAAATCTTGCAAAATCAACTAACAAACAACCACTTATTCCGCCAATCTCCTAGCAGCACCAAAGATCCAATTGACTAGAATAGCTTCGCTACCAGATTTACTTCACTTGAAGTGATCGGAGAAGAGTTATTGAGAACGGATGCATTGGAATTGATCTTTTTATTAAGCCGGCCAGCCGAACAACGGTACGGGTTTTACCCGCAGAACCCGCCCCGATAAAAACCCGAACCGCACGCGTTCGGGGCGATCCAATAATATTTAGTACTTTCTTTTCACTTTTGTTTTTTATTTAAATTTGTTATAGTGTTTTTTTAAGCTTAAAAAATAATATCTCCGTCAGCTCTGAGTTTCATTTACTGTTTATTATATGGTTTTTTAATATTAATTATTATATTAAAATAAAATTATAAATATAAAAATGTTTTTAATCTTAAAATAATAAATGTGATTTTAGAGGGTAAAGAAGTATTTATATTCTTATTTTTTTATTATAAAATAATTTTTAAAAAAAAATAAAAATATAATTTGATGATGAAAAAAAGATTTTTTTTTAAAAATAAATGATATAAATATCTTTCATTTTATTTATTGTGGTGGAATCTGTTAGAATATAAAGTAAAAAATAAGATGACCAATTATCTAAATCAAAATTGAACGAAATTTAATTAATTCTTATTTGATCTTTCCACTTGGGAGAAGACCTTTCAAATTTCTCTTATTTTTTCTCTTTCACCTTCACACACCAACAAAGTCATTATACAAAACACTACAACACTATTTGTATCAAGGTGAAGTTTGATTGTAAAAGATAGTTTTTCAGTGTTAGGTATGATGTCAACTTCATTGAACAAATTGTTCGATTATAATTAGTAAATAATTCAAAATATATTAATAAAAATAATTATAAATTAAATTAAGATAACTAATTAGTTTTATTAAAAAAATTATAAATTAAAATTTTAAAATAATATTTCCTCCGTCCCGCTGCAAAGTTGACATTGGTTTTTTGCATGTTGATTTTTAATATTATTTATTATATCAAAATGCAGTACAAAATAAAAAAAAAATATTTATTAGTCTCTTATAGTATCAATATAATGACATATTTAGATTAAATTATTCAAATATAAAGATATTTTTAATATCAAGTATAATTATGAAAAATCAAATAACAACTTTGTTGCGGGACGGAGGGAGTATTAAAAGTACAATTTAATTTTTTTTTAGAAAAATGACCAAATAAGTTGACGAATGAAAATAAAAATATATATGATAAAATGGGACAGATGGGGTATAAAATAAAGAACTTATTATTTATTTATTTTATTAAAAAATTATTTATTTATACAATATTTTTTATTTATAGAAAAATTTTACTCCCTTCGTCCCAGATACCATATCACGTTGCCGTTTCTGTCCGTCCCACGTTTTTTGGAAAATGATTAGACACTTTAATCTCATTTTAAAATTTTTAATTTTATTTGTTCTAATTTTAATTAAACTAATTAGTTATTTTAATCTTAATTTATAATTATTTATATTATACGAATAATTATTTTCACTGAATATTATTTATATTATACGATAAAACAGTGTGTAGCAGTATTTGAGACGGAGGGAGTAATTTTTGTCCCAACTAATTTGTTTATTTTAATTGCACACTGAGTTTTAATTACTATATAGTTAATGGGTAATTAAAAAATCATAATTAAAATAAATAAATAATTTAATTAAAGTAAAAATATGAATTTTAAAATTTAATTAAATTGTATAATTATATTTAATAATGAACGTTTCTGCATTTCCATTAAAGATTATGTAATTTATTGGTTTTTTACAAAAAATGATTTTATTTTTTGAATTCTACCTTCTTTAAACAAAAACAAAAACGAAACCCACCAAAAATTCTCCAAGCGGAAACAAGTTTGGAAAGAAGAAACTCAAGCCAAGGCAAAGGCAGACAGAACAGATCACCGCAGTATTATCCCTCACTTGTTCTTCCGAATCTTGTGCTGCACTTCTACAAATGATAGAGCATTATCACAATGACCACAAAATTTACGTGCGCTAACATACACTTTTTTTCAATTTTGTTGTTTTGTTACCTCGATTGTATTAAGAAAACTGATAGGAGATTGCGAAATTGTTAATCAAACTCTCTCCAGAGCATTCGGCGGACGATTAATCCCTGGATGCAAGAATCCAGCAATTTTATGTGGTTTTGAAAATGTTTGCTAATATCATTAGATTATGTTTGATATGATTTAATTGTCTGTATTACATCACTGTACTTACAGTAATATCTCAGGATTGTTAGAAAATGGGCGGGCTTCCAATCGAGAACCCTTCCTCTACTATCTCTGTGCAATCGCAGAAAGACGAGGGGTCTGCTACTGCTTCAAAGCCAAAGAAGAAGATCTGTTGTGCTTGCCCAGAGACCAAGAAGCTGAGGGATGAGTGCATTGTGCAGAATTGTGAAGATTCTTGCGGAAAATGGATTGAAGCTCACCGGAGATGCCTTCGTGCCGAGGGATTCAATGTATGATTTATACTTTTGAGCTGAATATTAGCTAATAGAACATCAATAATCTCCACATCGATTTGAACCATGTTAAATTTTCTTATACTCATATAATTCCAAACATAAATTGAAGAATAAAGGTGTATTACATTGTTGTTTGCAGCTATCTTTTATAAGCAAATTAATAGTGTTATTTAGATGCTAGGATTCAGATAGTCTTTTTATATATTCTTATTGCAGAATTACCTGTTTCGTGTAGCTGCTTTTAGTGGAATAATTCGTTGTGAATTATATGTGTTACAGTTAAATTTCCCTTGTTGCTTGTCCAGGGATAACAGGATATTGAGATTCTAAATTTGATGGTGTTGCCCTTTCCAATGCATTTCTTTTCTTTTCTTTTTCTTTCTGTCATTGTCGTTTTGGAGGAAATTTATCCACCCCTCCCAATTTCTTCTAAAGAACTAACCACGAAAAAGGTTTAAGATTTAAATCCCTGTTTAATGTGGAACGTATATGTGCTTTAATAAGAGGATGCCGATTGCTAGATCAATCTCTTGGTCATGTGTTTAATGCGCGGATAAATTTGTAGCAACTTTTCGACTGCATCTGATTTTACTGGTCGACAAAATTTTCTGTGGATCAATCAATAAGCAGAAGGAATCTGGAGCTTCAAGTACTTCATCTCATTTCTTAGTGATCAAGTCTTGTGTGAATTTTTTTGCATATTTTAAGGATTGGAAAATGTGATCATGGAAGGAGTAGATGAAATCCATAGTATATTATTGGTTACTTGTTCTTCTTATGCTATTGCACATCATGCCTCAAGCTTGTTTCTGGTTTAGGGTTTAGACGATATGCCAAATATACTGTATCTCCCCTCCCAAATTCCCGTTGATTTGTAGCCTGATTGGTACGCAATCACTGCATCTTCCATAATGGTGTTCTTCTGTTGCCTCTACTTAAAAAACAACTGAATCTTTCTTTGGAGGAAAATGAAATTCCGTCCAAATGTGGGAAAGGTTACTTAAAAATCAAGAAGTTTAATAAATGAGAGTCTCGAATTTTTGGTGGTTGAAGGTCCAACCATAATTCTGCCCGCAACATTCTGCTGTTCATATTAATTTTTTGTGCATGTGAGAGTACTGCATCATTGCAGGGAGATTGGCTTTCAGGGCTTTCAGGTTAAGTGTTACATGAAGCAACTTTTACGGGGACTTGATCATTGTCATGGTTGCATACAACATACTGGAGAACAGGGGTATCTTCTCATTGCTAGCATAACATTTTTTACTATCTAATTTTCAAAATTTTCATACAGATTTCTTAATTAATTGTCCTATTTAAGTTTTTTTGATCACCCTTGTTTGTTTATAGAGTCGTTCACAAATTCTATGTTGTCTCGAAGATGGTTTTCTTGGAATTTTCCAGCTATTGCAGACTTGCAGTAGAAAATTTTCTTCTTGTAAGTTTCAGCTGTTTACAGTACAAATGTTATTCTGCAAGCACGGCATAACCATGTGAATTCTGAGTCGTTAAATTTTCTTTGGAATTTCAAAACGGTAAACAGGAAATCTATATTAATTCTCTTATATACTAGCAAGAAGCATCTGGCAAGTTAAATATGACCTCAAATTTGGTTCACTACAGGTTGAGCAGTAGCATAAAATGTTTAAACTTTGTGGATTACCATCAGAAGAGTATTGGAGAAAAACCAGAGTTGCCCCATGCATCGATCTTCAAACCCCAACATCCTTACAATCGACGTGTTGCTGAAACCTTCAGTGATTTCCCTTCACCTGCATTTGGTCATTGAAGAGTAAGGTATGCATTCAGAAAAGATTGGTTAATTTTGATTTTCTTATTTTCCCCTTTACGCATGGTCATATACTTTCTCTCAAATTTTAGGCCTCTTTTGCTTATCACTGTTGTATTGCTCACATAATCATGAAATATCTGTTAATTTTTTTTCTCTATCTGGTCTTCTTGTAGTTCTTTACTGCAAAACTGTATCCTTGTGACCCCTTGAGCTTTCCTAAGTATCCTGCAAGCAAAGAGTTTGATGCTAAAGTATGAGAACAAGAGGGGATTATTCGATTATTAGAGTGTTCTCATATTAATTTCGTGAGTGGATCCATATATGATTGATTACAAATGTCAGTTGTTGAATGTCTTGACTTAAGTAATTAAATCTAGCAGGCAAAATGGCAGCAGGAGATGTGGAACGGACTGAAACGGTTAATTTGTTATGTGATTAGCCTTAATTAACACATACGAAATCGACAAACAACACATGACTTCAATTAATATAGGATGTGCCGGAAATTCACACTATGTGCTGGTTTTATATATATATTTATGTGTTGAGTTCAATGAAATAGTATTTCTTTATATTATATTAACAAAAACTTTGTATTGTTATATCTGTAATATCTAAAATGCTGTTAGGTACAAGCTGAATAATTTTATTCAGCACACATACAACCTCCTGTGTGTGTATATATACATATATATGTATATATTCCACTGTCATTATGCATAATTTGTTTCTTACAGTGCAAGTGAAAAATACAAAGATACAAAGCCCTATTATAAATCAATGTTTTTGTATCAATGATCATACAGGTGGAGGTGGCAAATCAAGGAGTAGCCAAAATCCTATACATTCATCAGAATCCAAGTCATTTTGAATAGCAAGAAAGTGTAAGCCCCCACACTCCTTTTTGGCTGCTTCCCAGGCTTCAGCTTCACTTGTGCTCACTGCTGTTTTCTTGTATGTCGCGTAAATGTAGCGCGAAGATATCCCTACCGACAAGATTAGGCATGCCCGGTTTGTATCTGCTTCGATCGAACTCACTTCTAACCCATTCATCCATCCTGCAGCAGCATGGGACAAAATGTCAGTATATTTCCATTTCCATCTAACCAAAAAACAAACTGTGACTCTTTTTGTTTCTCGTTTAGGTTGAAATCAATCTAAATTCGGAATTCTCTTAGCCTCGCTTTAAGTAAATAGCAGATTTTACTTCTACGCCGATGGGCATTAAGTACCCATTTGCGTCTACACGAACTTCATATTGTGACTGAAGTTGATTGATCGTAGTGACTATAGTATGCATTTGGTCGGCAATACAACCGTATATAAATATGCACACATATCGCCATGGTTACAGTGCTAACTGGTCAGCAGATATAAAATAGATAGACAATATATGTTTTTATTCAGCACAATATATATATATATATAATGTTGAACGAATGTATGTACTGTCAATGATATGCTATGTGCTACTTCGCCGACATACAAACAATCGCCCTTTTGAAACTGAACTCTTTTTACTTTAAAAAATTATATGGTGCCTCCTTATATTTTAAAAAATATTGCATGAAACTTCTCTATGGTTTCGAAATTCAACATAAATTTTCATTCTACTTTAAAAATTGCATAAAACTCTTACATTATCAAAAATATTGCATGAAATCCCTCGTCATGCAAAAGATATAGATAGAAAATCATCTTCTCATCACATAAGGAAGGTTTCACAGTGGCGTTGTTTCGTGCAATATTTTTTAAAGTACAAGAGACGCCATACCATTTTTAAAGTACGGGAAAATTTTAAACTGAATACGGGAAAATTTTAAGCTGAATTGGATAATTTTACTATATATATATATATATATAACGATTTGCAAACGGGATTCTTTTCACACAATCATATTGAAATGCCCAACTCTTTAACAAGTGGAAAAAACAAAAACAGAAAGTTTCCATCTTAATGATATAATTCACGATACGAAGGAAACACATTGCTACACATCCATATGCTTTAGGCATTAAAATGGCCAATCTGAAACGAGCTTTCAGTGAACAACGGAAAGATGCAAGATGTAGTATCCGAGACTTGTATTAATTCGAGCAAGATTCGTGTACACCTAAATCAATTAATGTAATGATGCAAAGGTAAATTTGCTCATGAGAATTTTAAATATCAAGAGTATATAGATGAGATACCTGCCAATGGTGTAGCCCGCGAAGACGAAACTGCAATCCCGGGAATCAATGTTTTCTCATCAACTTCAATCCCAAGAAGGTCCAAATCTAAACTTGCACCGAAATAAAATTCAGTCTGTACAGATGTCATCTCCCCACGAACAGCTGAGGATCGACGAAAACATATTTATGCTACAACTTTAGAGAATCAGACAATGTAATATCTGTAATAAACTCATAATGCTAAAACAATAAGTGCAACTTATATAAATCCGGACCATTCAAGAAAGTATTTCAACTGTGAACAAATCAGTATTCTTCTTCCTAAAGTGAATTACAGAGTTTTTTCATCGTATAACCTGAAAAGGGTAACTGCACAAAAGCCCATTTTTCTCCATAGAGATTCTCAGGAAGCTCCATTGGGAAGGCATTATCAAGTGCAAGAAGAGGCTTCGATCCTTCTTGGAAACCAGGATGCCGTGTATACACAGTTTCGTAGCGTTCTTCTAACCACAAAACTAGCGATAAACACTGAAACGAAAGAAGAAATTTTTACACATGAAATGAACTTGATTATTGTTGTGTACTTGCAATATATTTAAGTTGCATGGTACGTAAATTTTAAAATATTACATTAATACTTTTAGAGCTTTTGCACTATTCGTTATCAGTAATTTTTTTTTTCTCTTTAGAAAAACATCACATCGACTTCTTTTTTCTTCAAATAAAACATCATAGTAAATACCCGACTTTTTATTACTCTCAAAATTTTCCAAAATTCCAAACCTTTCGTCTAAACGGAGTAAGTCATTTGCAAGTAAATCAAGGTGAGTTTTATTTTAGTATTGCTCTCCATTCTTAGAACAAGTAAACGTGTGTTTGGTCGGGGGTTTGAATTTTGAGTTTGGGTTTTGAATAGTAAAAGAGTTGAATTTGAATAGTTGTACGATGCGATAAAAATATGGGCTGATGTAATATTTTGAATGAAAAATTCGTTACAAAAATCGATGAACCAAACACACCTAGTTATCTTTAATTTCCTTCACTCTCCAACAAAATCTCTACATTGTTTCGAATTTCTATCAATCAATTAACCAAGAGCAAAATGATATATTCATACAAACAGCTCATCCAACAGAAGCATAAAAATTTACTGCAACAGAAGAAGAAGAAGAAGATATGAACACACACCCGTTTACTAGGAATAGGTTTGATGCCGAGCTCGCCGCAAGCCCTCGTGATAATGGTCTGCATCTGCGACCTACAAATCCATCAAAAACAGCTAGGAAAATCAATCCCAAATATGTATTATACAGTACACAATCAATAAAAAAAGGAATGTATAATAGTATTATCCACAACAAACCTAAAAAATCGAATTTTCTCAGGTAAAGGCAGGCCGAGCTCATCGCAGATAGCAACAATGGCGTCCTTGAGAGTGACGCTATTAATGACATTATTGGGGAAGTATTTGGTGTACTGTAGTGAGAGCGATTGGTCGCACACCACAAGTTCCCAAATCTTCTTTCCCCTGGCATCAAGGATGGGCCTGGAGCAGAAATCGACCTCCCAGCTGGTAATGGCGTCCGGGTCGGTTTGCGGGTCGAGGTAGCTCAATTCGGCGGTAGGGTCGAGGTCGAGGTCGTCTTCTTCGGCAGGGAGTGATTGGGATTGGGAAACGGAGTTTTGGGAGGAGAGGGAGAGAGGGGGTGGGGGTGGGAGATGTCTGGTTTTGAAGAAATCGAAGGAAGGGATTTTGGCGGGGGTTTGGAGTGAATTGGGGATTGGAGAAGAGGTGAAGGTGAGGCGAAGAGCAGCGGCGGCCATGGGAAAGAAGGAAAGTTTGGTTGGCTGTTACTGATATGATATGTTATCCGTTATTATACTAACTAACAATACCAATCCAACGATTATTTTTTTATACGCATATATATTTATATTTGTCTATTGAAAAACATTAATGATAAAATATATATATATATATATTTTGTTTACATTTATATTATACCGTATTATTTTTCTTTTTATTTTTATCTTTTACTACAAACTAATACTCATATGTCTATTTACAAGATTGACATTTATTTATTTTTTTTTATGATATTTGAATATTAATTATTATATCAAAATTTAGTACAAATTAGAGGAAAAATAACAAAAATATTTTTATTAATATCATATAATACAAATATGATGACATTTGGATAAAAAGATTATACTATTATTATTTTTAATATTGTTATAAAATATATGAACGAATCTAAGTATTTTATTAATGAAGTCGAGTAAAAACACAAATATTGAACTAGTTTTGGTTACGCTCAGCCCCAACCAACTCGGAAAAACCAAAATTGACACAATACACACCTAATCTAGCGACTACACATACGAACCGGCCACGACCGTGATACACACAAAAAACAACCCCACACATGAACAGACAAGGCACCCGAAGGCCTACAACGTCGAACGAGCGCCTTTTGACTATGAACGACTACACACAAAAGGAAAAATGTGCCGCAGGAACTCCACAAGATTACAGGAGGAAGGTATCGCCGTGAAACCGTCGTGAACCGCCGTGAAAAGTCATCGGAGAAGACGAATAGAGAGGTTGAGAGAAAGAGAGGCTAGAAAGTGGGTATAGTAGAGCGAGAGAGTGATAATGAGAGACGACGAGTTCTCTCTGTATGTATATATACTCAAGGCAAATGCAACGGACAGCCAGTATTAAGATTCACAATCAACGACCCAGATCACACCTCGCCAAAAAGACGTGGATCCTAGCCGGGTCACGGGCGTGGGTCACGGGTCCGGGTCAGGTAACTGTGAGCAAGCGGTTCACGGATCAGGGCTGATGGGTGCGGGTCGTGGATCACAAGTCAGGCCCAGATTCCAATGGACTCCTTAATTATTGATGTGTAGTGTATTAAATTGGTGTGGATCCAAATGACAAAAAATTCAACAAATATTAAGTACAATGACGCATGTAAACTAAAATATTGTAAAGTAAAAAGATAAATGCAAAAAGATAAATTTAAACTAAAATATTATTAAAATACTGTTTTCAGTGTCTTATAATATTATTATAATAATATCTGTGTAAAAAAGTATACAAATATTAAAATAATTTTTATGTACAAAAGGTAAATGAGACATTAGAGCAAGATGGGAAGAATATTGTTGTTAAATACTTATATAAAATTATGCAAGAAAAAAAAAAGAAAAAAAAAAGATTGGACGAATAAATCCAATATTTCCCCAAACACCACAGGGCTTCAAATGAATTGTCAGCCCATAATTTTTATATTGGGCCGGCCCACATACGGAACTCGCCTCCTATCATTTTATTTTATTTACAATCATTCTATAAATCCAATTAAATAAACAATCCTTTATGGGCTAAAAGATACATTATCATTTTATAATAATAATTTTAAAACTTTTAACGCAAATAAATACTCCCTCCGTTTTAAGGGTGATATTTGTTTTTTGTACGTAAATTTTTTAATATTAATATTATATTGGATTATAGTAAAAAATAAAAATACTCATATTAGTATAATGTAATATAAAAGTAATGATATTTGTGTAATATATTGTACGTTGAAAGAAGATTTATTATGTTAGGTAGGCAGTACAATTACTAAATTAGAAAATGGTAACTTTATTTTAGGACGGACAAAAATAAAAAATAATAACATTTTAATGAAACAGAGGAAATATCAATGAAACTGTGCTATTCGTATTATTTTAGTTTGTCTATTAAAGTTCTGCTTACATCATATTTAGTAAAAACAATATAATTATTTTAAACTTTTTATTCATTGTTTTCTTGTTGATTTATACTTATTTGTAATTGATAGAATTACATATTTCTTATATTCAATTTACTTTCATTCAAAATTTAGATTATCAATTCTATAAAAAATTCTAATTTACATTTATGTTTTCTTTTATTAAAAAAATAAAAATAATAATAGAAATATTATTTCTCTTAATTTTTATATAAAAAATTATTAAGCATACTTCTGACAAATAGAAGAAGTATTTGACAAAGACTTAAAATTTACAATATCTTTCCTCAAAACATGGAGATTTGTTTGTTTTGTGATTTCAATTTTCAATAAAATATATTATTTTCTCTTACAAAATAAAAAAAAAAATTATTCTTTCAACACACATTGTGTATATATATATAAATATATTGTCTATATAAAAAATATCTTGGCTCCCTTAAATAAGTTGTTTAATATAATACTTCCTTCGCCATGTAAATTTGTGTTTATTTGACCTGATATGGGTTTTAATAAAAATATATAATAATTGTTAATTTTTCTTTTTAAATGACTTTTTACTTAAAAAAAATTAGAATATTTTTGGACAACAACTTAAAAAAGAAAGTGAAATAAATTTGAATGATAGGTGGAATATGTTATAAGAAAATGTGCAATAGAAGATTGAGCAAAATGGCAATACTTGTATATTTTTTATTTTAGTTTAATTTTAATATTTTATAAGAAAAAATAATACTATAATTTTTTTTTTTAAAAAAAAAACCAAACTTTAAATTTTAAAATTACCAAAAAAAAGTGTTATTTATTTACCAAATGAGTTCCAGGGGGCAAATAGAGTGATGTCTTTTTCAGTCCACCCCATTGGCAATCATCCCAAGCAAAAGAAACAATTAATTAATTAATTAATTTGAATATCACTCAGTCCAGTCCAGTCCAATGGAGTTTAGTTCAAATCAGGAATCAATAATATAATATAATATAAATATAAATTATTTAATAATTATTTAATAGTAATTACAATTTCTTGAATTTCCAATTTTCCATAGAGCTTATAGATTACTGTGTAGTGGATAAGTATATACATACATACACATATATACCCCCTTGAGTACCTTCACAGTTTTCCCTTTTCTTTATACAGACATTAGCAATCTTATAAGCCACATACATATACATACATATATATATATATGTATTGATTTCTATTTTAGATATATTTTCTAAATATGTCAATTTATTCCATACGTATTTATCTATTTATTTATTTTCTACATAGGATTTTTCTTTCATTACATATTTAATTTTCTAATTAGGGTTTCTCATTGCATGTTTTCCATATATATATTCGAGAAAAATCAGCACATGGAAAATATAAATTTAACTATACAAATCCTATGTTAAATAACCGTACATAATTGTGTTGTATAAATGCGCTAAAAAAAATTCCCTTAATAAATTTAACTATAAATTATACTGTTTTTTTTTATTATGACATGTGCTGAGTGTTTATGTGTTAATATTTGTATTATATTAATATAGAACGGTATCATATTTCATAGTTAAAGACAATACAATATATAGTTGAATTCTGCATAACTAATGTTTTCATATAACACAATTTCTTACTGTCATTTAACCCAGAATGTGTTATTTGTATTTAATTATGAATTTTGGTTACTTTCTTTATAATATATTGTCGTTACAGTGCCGATTTGTTTTCTCAAATCTCATAACTTTCAAAAGGGATTATTATTATTATTATTATTATTATTATTATTAGGTAAATAATGAAAAAACACACACACAGACACACATGTGTATTATGTGTTGTAGAATGAAAGCCCAAAAATGAAGCAATGGTGATAATGATTAGATTATGGTGTGCTTTATATGAAGTGAATCTTACTCTTTATATTGCATATATTCTCCCAATATAGAATTTGTAGCCACCCTAAAGCTTTCCCCTTTCATTTGCATAAATTTACTACAAAAAAAAATAATAATAATAAAAAAAATAGTATATTTGTAACGAAATTTTGTTACTTAAGTTCACGTAGCTAACGTAATTTCATATCTAATTATGTATCTAATATTATTAGTAACAGAAAAAATGTATTTAGGAATGAAAAAATTTCGTTACAAAAATAATATTTTCTTATAGTGAAATAAATACTTCATTCATGCCTGCTTAGATAAAACTTTTAAACTCTTTTTAAAACAATAAATATTTGAATATTTCATGTAATATTGGGAGAAGAAAAATATATATTTGATAATTTTATAAAAAATGATTGCTTATAAATAGTACTCCCTCCGTTCCATATAATTTATCTATATTTTCTATTTTCGTCCGTCCCACATAATTTGTTATTTCTATTTTTGAAAATATAATTATGCACTTTAATCGCATTTTAAATTTTAAATTTTACAATTTTTTAATTTTAATTAAACTATTTATTTATCTTAATCTTAATTTATAATTATTTTTACTAAATAATAATTATTTTTATTAATATATTTTTTAATTATTTACTAATTATATTTTACCTAAATTCTCATATGTATGGTAATAAGCCCAGAGAGTAGCAAAATGAAATTGCAGAAATATCTATGTAAACAAAGGGTTTGTTTTTTTTTATAATTTCAAATTGAAATTAACCTTATTCATTCATGATGTATAATTTTCAATAAAAATATATTATTTTCGCTCACAAAATATTAAATTAAAATATTATTTAAACAAAAATTTAAATTCAACATTCTATTTCAAATCAATTTCAAACCACATCCAATTTATTTTATTTTAGTATATTGACAAATTTGATCATTTGCAAGTACATGTGCTTTTTACTTGCACTAAAAGTTTATTTAAGTATTGTCGGTATTTTTTAAATTTATTTAAAAATTAAAATATTTTGATATTAATATAAAAATATTTTTACTTATAATATAAACTGTATGGATTGATATGATATATATATATATATAGATGAAAAACAACAAAATGTATAATTGGTGTTGTGTTAATCATTTATTATTGAATATATTATAATTAAGACTTTGTTTGATTGTAGTTTAAAATGGATTTGAAATGCAATGTTAATTTAATTTTTATTTAAATAATATTTTGATATAATATTTTGTAAAAAAAATATATATATTTTTACTGAGAACTGTACAAATTAAATAATGTTAATTTTTATTTGAAATTAAAAGAAAACATGCATAGTTTTTAATAAATGAGAAGTAAATAGTTTATTTATGAACGCTAAATTGCCAATTTTCTAAGTAATGTGTACTATGGTGTGTTTGTTTGGGGATTAGATTTCTAATCCACTATTCATCCCATTTTTTCTCCCAAAAAATATCAAATCAAACACCTATTTTTTATTTTTTATATTATACTAAAAATCAATTTTACATTCAAAACATTACATCAACACTTATTTATATCACATCATACAACTATTCAAATTCAAAATTTTTACTATTCAAATCACAACTCAAAATCCAAACCCTCAGACAAACACACCTATTATATACAAATTTATACTTTTATATATATTTTTAAATATATTTAATCCCTATGATATGCAATTATAAATGAATATATATCTTCTTATTATTTCACACTGAAATCATGAATTTGCTAATGAAACATATGTACTTTTTGGAAATAATATAAATTGTTTTATAAAGGTATATATATAGCACTTCTAATAATGAGATTTGTTTTTTGTGTTGGATAATAAATACCCCCTCCTTCCCATAACTAGTTATCAATTTGTTTTTTCCACGTAATTTTAGAAATATTAATATTATATTGGGATATAGTAGGAATAAAGTAGAAATGACTAAAATAACCTATGTAATATAAAAACAATGATATTTGTGTAATATATTGTAATTTATAAGGGTATTTGTAATGTTAGATGGATAGATAGTACAGTTACTAAAAAAAAGAAATTAATATTTTGTTATGGGACAAACTAAAATAGAAAAATAAATACTTTGTTATGGGACGGAGGGGTAACACATTTTGGGGTAACTTTTGTACCATTTCTTTGTAATTTTATTTTGATTAAATATAAATTATTATTGATATTATACTAATATGACAAATACCTAGTGTTGTATTTCTTAAGAATTTTTTGTTGATCACATTTTGTCATATCAATTTAAGATCATATTAAAAAGTATATCTATTTTTTTCTGCTTACATTAATAATAATAATAATAATAAATAAAAAAAAACGACGACGAATTCTTTCATTTTATCATTACTTGGGTTTGGTTTATCCAATCCATTTTTTTTTTTTAATATTCAATACAAAATAGTATATATATATATTTTAATATTATTCATTCCTCGTATAAAAAATAACTCAAACTAAAATACTAAACAAATACATCCCTACTTTCTTTTTACTATTTAATTCTCACAACTCTATGCTCAAATATTTATTATTATTATTATTATTATTATTATTATTATTATTTCTCGAAATATTGTATCTAAATTATTATTTATTACTACCATTTTATCTCCCCCATCCCCCCAAAATGAAAAAAAGTTGGTGTATCATAAAAAAGTTGGTCAATTTCGATGCCATTTGTTCGAGTGGTTAATTCCCAAGAAATACTATATGATCAACATTCATAAATAAATTAAAATGCATAATCAATCATGCACATAAAAATATAGCACAAAATAAATGCATGAACACGCATGCATGCACCTATATATAGAATATATCCAAAGTGGTCAGTACTATTTAATTTAATTTATATATATATATATATGTTTTTTATATATTTAATTACTTATGTAAAGGGCAATGCAAATTGCAATAATATATATATATATATATAATGACTTGTTGATGAAGGATTAATTAATTAAGTGTATATATATATATATTAGGGTTTGGTGATCATTTCAACTCTAACGGCTCAGTGGTTGGTTTTTCAACACTAACCGAAACCAAACAAACAAATTACATTATTATTATTATTATTATTATTATTATTATTAATTTGTTCGATCCCATCCACAGATAATTTGCTTGCAAATAGGGTTTTCTATTTTCCATATATATATATATGTATATGTACGTATATTACATTATACGTAGTTGTGTCGTACATCAATAAATCATCGTACTAGCTAGCTAGATGGATGTAACAATTAGCTAATAATCAATCCCCATCTTGCATTATATTTATATATTCGTCTATAACTATTTCTTCCTTGACACTTGCCATAGTTTGGATTGCAACATATTTATATATATATTATATATAGTAAAATTTATTCCATAGGTAAGCTTGATTATAACTTTTGTTGTTATGGTAAATACTAACTAGTTTCATAAATTTAATTTAATTAATCGTAATTTTGGATATATAGTTATATGTAACAAATTAAAAGTTGTGAATAATTGACATTTTTACACAATAAAATTATTAAGATGGAAAAAAATTTGATGATTGTTTGTATATATATACACGTGTATATATATATATATATAGTTAAGAGAGAGAGAGACATAATCTAAGGTAATTTTTTGTACTAAAATTACTACTACTACTACTACTATTATTATTATTATTATTATTATTATTATTATTATTATTATTATTATTTCGTGGTGGCAGTTACTTAAATTTTATGATTTAGCATCGATAATGTAGTGGTAAATAACAATTAACACACCATATAGCGATAAACATTACAAAATTTATATTAGTATAATATAAATGTAACATATGAACATACAACACATAAATCACATATTATGATAGATCCCAACATAATATATATATATATATTCATACAACACACTATATGATTATATATTCAATTTATCGAAAAAGTATTCTCGCTTTATTAACTCGCTAGTATATTTTTTAAAATATTTTTATTTTTATATTATAATTAATCAATATAATATTATATTTATTAAAATTCGTGTTAAATTTAAACAAACATAGCCGGATGGAGAAGTTTGTATACAAATATGTAGTACTCATAAATTTTTATTGCTAATGGTGAAAATATATAGTACAAGAAATTGATAAAATATATATATATATATAATGATCCATTAATTAATTACTTACGAATATACTATTCCTAAGACTGCTTGATTAACCTGTTTTAAAACGTGAAAAAAAAAAAAAAAAAAAAAAAAAAAAAAAAACTTTTTTTATAACGTAAACAACATATATATATATATATAACTTCCTATCGAATATATAATCGGATGATGTAGATCGTCTGGTTTATACTTGAATAACACGTGTGTCAAAATTCTCTGAATGGTTTATTCTAGGGGGAGAGAGAGAGAGAGAGAGAGAGAGAGAGAGGGAGGCGACAGAGAGAAAGCTTGATGGAGTGGTAATGGTGATGATGACAGCGATGGTCTGTGGGACATTCTTCCAGACTATACTTACTATTAATCAATAACTAAAATGCAAACCAAATTAGCTACTTTGAGCACAATCTAGAGAGAGAGAGAGAGAGTAGGGGTGGAGTGGAAAACGGATTGGAGAGGGACCTCGTAAGAAGGAATATTAGGTCTTCTTGTCTTTGACTCTTTCAGATCCCTCTGTCTCTCTAGATCTCTCTCTCTCTCTCTCTCTCTCTCTCTATATATATATATATATACACATATATTTGTAAATTTTCTTCACTCACAAGGTAATCATCATATCTCTACGAGAACCGCTACACATTTTGCTTCCACTTCACATTATGTCTCTCTCTCTCTCTCTCTCTCTATCTATATATATATATATATATATATACACACATCCCATTTTTCATAGTCCCCATCAAGTCCAGTTGGAGGTGGAGCCATCGAGTAAAACCTCTCATTCCCACCTATACATATACATACACATATATATATATCCTAAGGCCAATTCCTAGTTGGGATTAATCCCATTCATTCAAATTCTTGATATATATATATATACATACATACATTATAAGGATAGATTGATATCATGAGGAAACCAGACAACAACAATAATGTACTAATGATGAAGGAAAAGGGCAACAACAACAACAACAACATTAATCCAAAGGTTAAGTTGAGGAAGGGTTTGTGGTCTCCCGACGAGGACGAGAAATTGATGAATTACATGCTAAAAAATGGACAAGGTTGTTGGAGCGACATCGCGCGCAATGCCAACCTCCAACGCTGCGGCAAAAGCTGCCGTCTCCGTTGGATCAATTACCTCCGTCCCGATCTAAAGCGCGGCGCATTTTCGCCGCAAGAGGAACAACTTATCATCCATTTACATTCCATTCTTGGCAATAGGTAATTAGGTATCTCTTCATTTGATTGATCTACATTTCCAATTATCAATTAGGGTTTCTTCATTTTTATTTTTACTTTTAGTTTATGTTTTGTTTACTTAGACTTAGATTTTGTATTTTGATTTAGGCTTCGATTAGATAGTAATTGTGATATGATATTTTGTGAAATGATATATATTTATATATATATATATAGAGAGAGAGAGAGAGAGAGAGAGAGAGAGAGAATTGTAAGAATTGTATAGTAAAAACACTAAAATTAAATTCCAAGTAAATAAAGCTTAAGTTTTTTATACAAAAAAATATGCTTAATTGAAGCTTTGAATAAAAATATATGTTTTTTATATTATTAAAATATCATATATATATATATATTTTATAGAAACTTGATCGATCAAAATAATAAAATAAAATACAAATGAAGAAATCCTAAGATGGTATGGATTAAGTGATGAATTTATTAAGAGTCTGAGCAAATTTGTGAAATTTGTGTGTTTTCTCCTAAAAGACAATATATATTTTTTTGATATATTATTGTTGTAAAACTATAATATATGTAATTAACAAGTATTTATTTTATTTTTTTTATTGCTTTAAACTTTTAGATAGAGATGATAATTTAGCAATTATTTTGTTGTAAGATTGAATAAATGATGACATATAACTTTCAGTGAAAAGGTTATTTAATCACATTGCATTGCAAGTTTGGAATTTATAAACTTTTTATGATTTTATATATAATTAGTCATGAAGTAGGCACAAGTGAATGTTGAATGTATAGCAATGCTAATTCTTTATAAAATTCGTTGCTATTGAGTTTCATATTTATTTAAAAAATTAGCTCATGCTTCACATGAATAATAATCTATTTTCACCATAATTTATGTGCTCAAAGAAATCAATAACACAAAGTTTCACTAATAATCACTTCAATAAATTCTCCAAAAAAATCCTTTTTTTTTAATTTTTATTTTGTAATAACAAAAGGATACATCCCAGAAAAATGAAAGCAAAAAATTAACACAGAGCTATTAATTTGGGACCTACAAATTATTTAATTAGAAAGAAAACATGTAATAAAATACAAGTATGAAAATTAGATTATTTCTTTGTAGGTATACTTTTACTTGCTTCTCTTTGATGTAGTATCAAGATTTAATTTAATTAGACAACACAAAGTCTAATTTATAAATCCTCATCTTTGTTAATCAGGTGGTCTCAAATTGCTGCTCGACTTCCAGGCAGGACAGACAACGAAATCAAGAATTTCTGGAATTCAACGATCAAAAAGAGATTCAAGAATGACAACAACAACAACAAAGACAACGAGGGTAACCATAAAACTCCAACATCATTAGTATCCCCAAACAACGGGGATGATAGATCAGAGTTCAATAATGGTCCTAACAGCTTTGGTTGTCCGAATATGGGAGGGACACTATTCATGCAAGAATACGAGATGCCACCTCTTTCGATGGATTCCTCTTCTTCTTCGACCTCATCAAATTTGCAACCACCCTACATGGCTTTGCACTCCCTCATAAACCCTAGCCCTAACCCTAACCCTAACCCTATCACCAACGATCATCGTTATAATCATCACTATCGAAACATGTTTGAAGTGCCTTCTTCGGGTGGATATTTCGGGCAATTAGGGTTTGGTGGAATCGAAGGTGTTTTGGGAATTGGGGAGCCATTTGTTATGGGGTCGGACAATGAGAATTTGGTCCCCGGATTTGAGGCAAGAGGACTAGAGTTTGAACGCATGAACAACGATAGAGGCGAGTGTGAAATTATGAATAAGAAATTTGGCAAGATTAATCAAAACTTGTTGAGTAAGAATGATGGTGAAATTAACAATGATTTCATTGCAGAAGAAATGGTTGGAGTTGGGAATCATAATTGGGACTTAGAAGAAAGCTTGAAAATGGGAGAATTGGATTGGGAGGGTTTGTTGGCTAACATATCCTCTTTACCTTATCTTGCTTCTCAAGGTGAATATTAATCTCTCTCTCTCTCATGTTCATCTTGAATTCTTGAAAATATATCCACAATCTCATCAATCTCACTAGGTATCTTCAAGATAATGATCGAAGTTAGCTATCGTATACTTTTTTTCTTTTGCGATTTCAAACTGTATTAATATTTTCAAAATAAAACATCAAGGCGTAGGTAGCAATAGATGGAGATGTTATTTGGCGCGGAGATGTACATTGTTGTGCTTTCATATATGATCGATACAAAAATGTGAATAGTACGAACCCATGAGGGAATAAGTTCAATAAGGATGGATCCATACATATTTAGTTAAACTTTTTTGTGTATGTAATTAATCAATTTTATTAGTATGTTAATACTTAAGATCAATATATATATATCGATTTTGATAATATACAAGATTAGTACATAAATTGATTGATGGAAACAAGTGATGGAACAATCAATATATAAAAATATATTGAGAAGAAATAAACCATGCAAATCATTAGACTACGGCCAAATTTTAGGTTATAAACACAATTATCTAACCTTGATTTATAATGTTCTAATTGGTTTTATTTTTATTCATCTCTACTACTAGTAATTCATTTGTTCCATGGGTTTGTTTTTTTACAAATTAAAATTAAAATTAATATTATTCATCCTATACAATTTTCAATAAAAATATATTACTTTTTTTATAAAATATTATATCAAAATACTATTTAAAAAATAATAATTAAATTAACATTTTATTTTTAATCAATTTTAAACTTCAATCAAACAAATATATATGGTGGGGCCATATTAAGATGGCAATCAACATTTAAGGCCGTTGGGTTTAAAATTTTATGTTCTTTTAGGTTAGTAGATTTTGCTTGAAGATCATTACATTATATCTTTAAGTTCCATTTCCCTTTAAAAAATAAAAAATAAAAAATAAAAATAAAAATAAAAAGAAAATTATAATACTAAATAATTATTAAAAATAAATAAAAATAAAAAATAGAGCCGTAACCTATATAACTTTCGTCGTTATTATTATTATTATTATTATTATTATTATTATTATTAATCGTAATCCATCCATTGATCCATACATGACAAATATAATATATAATCCTCATCATGAAATGTCCTTGCATGCATTACATTTACAGTCATGTAGTAAAAGTTTATCACAATGGAATATTATATATATTACCATTAATTTCTGAGTTTGAAGCTGTACCATATATGTGTTAATGTGATAATTTTATTGATCCATCGCCATACATATATATATATATATATCTATTTATGTCTGAGGATGAGGTTAATCGTCAAGTTCTCTAGGGTTACGTGGCGGGGTTCGGCCTATTGGCGGCGGCGGAGGTGGAGGGGGGTAACGGCACGGCGGGGGGCGTGGAGGGCATCGGCATGGAGGAGGTTGGTGTACCGGCTTGCATGGTGGTGGCGGCGGCGGCGGCGGCGGCGGCGGCGGTGGTGGTGGTGACCGGCGACATAAATATTCATACTTTGTGTTAAGATAGGCGCACGGTGGAGGAGGAGGCGGTGGTCGGCAAAATAGGTATTGGTACTTGGGAGAATAACATGGTGGAAATGGCGGTGGAGGTGGCGGCGGCGGCGGCGCTCTTGGCGGCGGTTTTGGAGGGGGTGGAGTGAATGCAATTGTAGTTGAAGCTAAAATGGATATGAAAAGTATGACAACACTTAATTTAGGGTTCATTTTGATTACATGCCCTAAATGGCTAATGCAAAAATAAATTGCATGTGTGACAATACAAATAAGTTGATTCTCTCTCTGTATATATAGGCAAAATGAAGGATGGATAGACATTATATATATATATATAGCAATTGTATTGAATAATAAAAATTTGAATTTGAACAATTATCTGATGTGATGATTTAATTTTATGTTTATATAATATCTTAAATATAAAATTAAAATTTATCTTCAAATGAAAAAAATAAAATATAAAAAGTTTTAAATGATAATTACAGTGTTAATTAAATATAATTATCACTGTACCGACAACACAATAATATATATCATCGAACATTATATATAAATTTGCTGCACATGTATAAAATAGAATCAACCACATATACAATCTTGTGTTATTTTTATATGTTATCGATAGTATTTTTTTTATTTACTAATTTGGACAATCAATATAATATTGATAAATCTTCAATAAGTACTAATCAAAGCATAAATTTCTAATTATATGGAATTTGGTAAAAATACCATGCACTCTATACATGCATTCAGTAGGTTAGTTCAAATTCATTAATTAATCTTTGGTCAATGTATCTATTTTCCAATTACAACATATATAGTGTGGTTGTACAAAAAAAAAAAAAAAAAAAAAAGATAAATAAAAAATAAATTTTAAGTATACTATTTTGAATGCTAAATAAAATTTTGGGATAATTAATATTCTAAGAAAATTTAAATTTAAAGAAAATAATTCTAAAATAATAATAAATACTCACTCTGCCCGCCAAATTATTCTCACTTTTTTTTTTTAAAATTATTCTCATTTTCAGTCTATTAAAATTATCTCATTATTATAGTTGAAAAAATAAAAAAAATAATATTTAATTAATACTCTTCGTTTAACACTTATTTATAATAAATACTACTTATTTATTTCTAATTAAATTTTTTTTATTTTTCCAATAAAATATTTATCTTTTTAATCCACATGCCGAGCCCAAAAATATCAAATCAAATACCTATTTTGGGATTGAGTTTACACTATTCATCCAATTTTTCCCCCAAAAAATATCAAATCAAACACCTATTTTTTATTTTTATATTTAAACTAAAAATCAATTTTATCGATCAAAACATCACATCAATACTTATTTATATAACATCGTACAACTATTCAAATTCAAAATTTTTACTATTCAAATCACAACTCAAAATCCAAACCTCCAAACAAACACACCGTCACCGGGGAGTAATATAGAAAAATATATTTAAAATGTTTACAACTTTTGTCAAATGCATGTACCTTTGCATCGACTGTACAGTTGAAAATAAGAATTTATATAGTACATGTAATTAATCAATTTTAAATGCAGTTAAATACACTGGTAATTTCAAAAATCTTCTACTCACCATATTTGCTAGCATTTTCTTTTATATATATATAGATAGATATTTATTGATTGAATTAAATTACTATTGTCTTAAAATTCGATTTATGTTATTATATATAATTATATATTGTGCTATTGATATTTAATAAAAATAATAATAATAATAAATATTCAATGCACATTTCAAGCATCAACACAAAAAATGAACACAATTAACCCAACGGGTTCTTTATACATATATACATACAATTTTTTAAAATTTTTTAAATTTTATTTTGTATCAACAAAACAATGGTTAGCATTTTCTTCAACTTTCATGGAGGTTCATTGATCTGGCAATACACTTAACAAGCTACTTCCCAAGCTCGGGCAATGTCGTCGAAGTAGAATGAGTACCTTTCTAAAGTCCGGATGATCGAAACTTGCATTAGCCGGGAAACCTGTAATATCTGAGACAATTGAAGGGTAGATCATAAAAAGTTTTGAGTTTGAACAATCCATGAAAATGCGAAATCATGGTAGCACGAATCAAAAGGACTAGGTAAATAATTCATTCCGAGGATATGATTCGAGCACCTGAACCAAGAGATGATCAATGTAAAAAATAAAATAAAAAAATGATCTGATTGTAACATGAGAAAATGGTGTATGACTCTCCAAGAATTTGAAATTGTCGAAGACAAGAGAAATACAACAATAGATCGCGAGGCGAGGACTTCTACACTAAGGTTGTGTTCTTTTGTGGGTTTTACTACATGTTTTTACTATTCAAATTCTTTTTTTTCTCCAAAAATGTCACATTTGTAAAATATGTGTTCTGTATTAGGTAATTCACTTGTCATGGATGCGTTATCTTTACACGTTTGAATTTTATAAAGAATTTTCGATATTATGTATCTAAGTAAGAAAAAATCGTAAATTTTCTACTCCTGATTATGCACTCAAATTCATCATCCTCATAAAAGACTTCCGACTCAGAGCATAGAATGATGACTATAACGATCAAGGAGTGAGATTCAAACCTTAAAAAGTCCCATTAAAATCTTTAAACCTTTATTCATCGTATCTGCAAATTCCTAAGAAAATTGTAGAACCTGAAAATATCACAGTTAGAAGAGGTGAATTGATAATAGAACACGATCGTTTCAAAATGGTAAATGGATATTCAAATGGTAGAGAAAATGTAGAGACCTAATATTCTTAGCAATCACTGTACTTCCATCTTCAGCCGCAAGATGGAGAATCACTCCCTCATAGTGACCATCCTGATATGCATGCTGTTAAAACGGTGGGTAAAGTAAATATTACTGCAGCTGAAAGAGAAGTTACGAAAAGAATTGGTCGTGGTTAATCATTTTTATTTTTAACGATTCTTTTCAAGAATTTTGGACAGGAAAACAGCATTTAAATTTTGCAAAAACAAAAGAAAGGCCAATGTTGAGCATTTATAGTGTCCCGGCAATTATCTGTGTTAAATTTTTTAGTGAAGGGGAGCCATAGTGACATATTTTACTGCTAGACATAAAAACAAACTCATCAGATTTCTTGTTAAGTAATCATCAACACAGAGGAATTGCAATTTATCAATGATACACGAATTTTGCAACCAATCATTATGATTTGGAACAGCATTGACATACCTTGTAAAAACAACTGGTTCCAAATGGACAAGTTCCATTCCCGAAGTCAAAGTATTTGCAATCAATGGAGCTGAAAGAGAAATAGCCGGTAAGAGCAAGTAAACAGCAACTCAAAAAACAATGAAAGGAAATAAAAAATTTACCTCAATTTTGCCTTGTAGCGATTAATGATGTCCTGTTTTTCTTCCTTCGATGAATACCAGATGACACTAGGAACAACAAAGTAAGAAAGCTTTCGACATATTGGGCAAGCTCTTAGCGTAGAATTAACATCCAGGCCAGATGCTAAGGAACTACTTCGCCAATTCCTGATGCACGATATGCAGAAAGGATGATCACACTCAGAAAGGATTCCGAATTTCTTTTCTCCCAACGTAGGCTTTGAGAGAACATACTCAAGACAAACACTACACTCTATTTCTTGACTTCTTTGCAGCGTCTCAAAACGCTTTTTCCTTTTCTCACACATTTTCATATGTTGCTCTCTTTCCAAAGGCCTGAAAGGATGCAAGCATCGTTTCCCACAGATTGGGCAAGATTCACCATGAATATGGGGACATTTTTCACCACGTGGACAATCACCAACTGCCGCGAATGAACAAATCGGTTGGTTCATTGGATCAACATTACAACTAAGATACCCAACATCACAATCCTTATCTAGGATATCTTCATGCCCAGTCTTTTCTTTCCATCCATATCTTATAGGAGAGGAAAGAGGTCCTAAAGAAGGTGAATGTCCAAAGTTTATTCTAGCTTCACCTACTGCAGTACCAGAAAGAGGTTCGACATGGCGAAAAGCATCTTCTGATGACGGTTGTGACCGTGAAAGATTGATATGTTCATATCGGCATTGGCTACCATAAGCACAATTTTCCTTTTGATAGAAGGGACATATCTGTGATAAAATGCCTTAATGTAAATAAAGCGTAATAGCAATACAATTTTCAAGACATGAAGCTGGTTGAAAAGGAAGTTACGTTATTTTTTAGGGCCTTCCAGTCATGCGAGAACTCACAAAGCTCCCCTTTTAGACACGCCCCGTGGGCGAAGAATTTGCAAAGAACCCTGATGCACTCACAATGAATCAGCATGCCCATGATAATACTAGCCTCATTTAATGATGCAAATTTTAAATATAATTCTTTCTAGACAATAAAAATTCGCCCAATCATATTATATTTCCCTTTGTGTTTATTTCCTTAAGTGCAGTTTAAACAGATTGCAATAGTTTAAGAAACAGATATTATCTGTTGTAAACCATTTGATTTGAACTGCAAATAGTTACCAATTTGATCCATTTTAAAAAAAAATAACTCCTTCCACAAATTGTTCACCAGATTATGAAGGGGCTTAACTCATTAGATTTCCTATCATCTTTTCGGCCTCGCCAACTTACCTTGGGGCCTTTCTTACTGGAATGATTTGTAGACATGTTTCGGGCGAAAACCATTTACGATGCCCCAAAAAGGCTAATGCTCTTGCATGACTAAAAGGTAGCATATCAATTATTCTAAAATCTCTATATCAGTTCCATGAGAGTGACCCTAATGTACATCAAATCTACAAAATATTAATCCTGCTTTAAAGCCAATGACAAGCCAAATCATTTGTAGAAGATGTGTGTTGTCACAACTAAGAGATTGTAACATCATGAACAGGAATGATATTATCAGCTAACAGATCTCAGTTTCCTTTTCTTTACTTGGATTTGAGATATTTCAAAAAAAAAACTATTTGTATTGAAATATAATTGTCTCCAAACACTTGCAGGAAAACAACAAAACTAGAATAACAAGCTATAAATTGGCACTATTCCAGCTTTTCCTGTCCAGTCCAATTCACATTACCCAGAAATAAGCTTTACAATAAACACGAAGCTCTAAATTCATTGGGAAAATCAAGATATGGTCATTTCAAATCCCTATTAATCTTAAACTTCAACAGTCATGGTTTCAACCATACAGTTATAGTTACAGAAACGGCATTTCCTTAACCTATAAAAATCAAATGACAACATAACTTGACCGAAAATATGAAATTCCAAAAATAAATTTAACACGAAACTACTAACGACACGCGAAAAGCATAAATTCGTAATTCCAACACCAAATCAAACAACGCACAAGCAAAGTCATATAACATAACACGAATATTGCAAAAAATCGAAGGAAGATTATATATACCGCTTAGGCATGGCAGGCGTGAGGGAGAATCCGAAACAAAATCCATGAAACATCTGACAATGAAGATAGCGAGCTTTTTAGTGGATGAATGAATTAACCGCACAATAGGGAGCGTATTTAGGGCTTCCAAAGATGGATTGCATGATTGTGAGGTGGAGTTTGAAGGAATGTTAATGGTAATGGATCCGAAACTTTGCAAATATTCACAACACTGCACCACTACCAACATTGCCGCGCCTAATTGTCTTTCTTTTTTGGGTAAATGAACCCACGGAAGATTTCCCCCATTTTTCTGGTTGATACTTTGATTTGTAGGAAGAAATTTGGTTGAATGAAATTTATCAGGGGTGTGTTTGTTTGGTATTTTAGGTTGTAGTATTTTCTGGTTTGTTTGTTTATTTTTTTGGTTTGATGCGAGGTACTATCTTTGTGCCATGCAATATGGATATTAATTTATACACAAGAATTTAGGTAAAGTATAATTAATAAGTAATTAAAAAATATATTAATAAAAATAATTATTATTTAATAAAAATAATTATATATTAAAATTAAAATAAATAAATAGTTTAATTAAAATTAAAAAAATTATAAAATTTAAAATTTAAAGATTATAGTTTGGGTTGTATTTGGTGGGTAAAAAGCACGGGGTAAAAATTATTTTGTTCTTGTGAGTGTACGAGTGTAAAAAGGTAGTGGTAATTATCTAATAATAATGAAAAGCAATGGTAATTTTATAGTTATATGGTTATTTATGTAAATGATACTATTGTTTTGAAACAGACAAAAATGATAAAGATACTATTGTACTGGGATAAAAGAGTATTAGATACTATCTCTTTCATAGCAAATTTATCATTTTATTTTTTAATTAATTTTTAAATATGAATTATTATATTAATATATAGTAAAAATGATAAAAATATTGACATTTGTATAATAAAAATTATACATATAAAAATATTTTTAATATTAAAAATATTGATAGAAAAGTGAAAATGGATGAATTGACCGTTGAACGAGGTACTATTAAAATGGATAAAATATATTTTGTATTTTGGAATATTGTAGACAAACAAACTTTTTATTTTATTTTATTTTATTTTATTGTGAAGTAGGAGAAATTTGTAGTATAAAAAATAATGCTTTGTTTTTTAATATTAATTTTTTTATTAAGGAATAAAATAAATCAAATCGGTAAAATTTGATTTAGCTAATATTTATTTGTAATTTATATGCATATATAGCAAATTAATGTGATTTTTTTGTATTTTTTTTTTTTTTTTGTATTTCTTATTAAACTATTTTGTATTAATTATATACTAGTATTGTATATTTGTATAAGTTTTTTAAATATATACTCAGTAATATTAAAAGTGTTTATGTTACTTTAAATATATTTCAGATTAAGTAAGTAATTAAAAATTATATTAGTAAAAATAATTATATATTAAAATAATTAAATAATTTAATTATAATTAAAAAATATTATAAATTTAAAATTTAAAATAAAATTAAAATGTATAATCATATTTTTTTAAAAAATATATAAATTATATAAAAAATAGAAAAAATGAACACTTTATATAGAACATGTGAAGTATACTTTAAATAATTTATGACAATAAAAAATATTTCATATAAAGATACAAATATTTTTCGACTAATTAATAATTAATATAAAATTTATTATATGACAAATTTTTTTAATCGTGACATAAATATATAAGTAACCTGTATGAATTATTGAATGTACTCAGGTTCTAAACTTATCATTTTTTATTATTATTTTTTTATGCCGTGGGAACAGCAATCGCTATCCGAAAATGCGCACCGGGTAATATTATATTTAAATGTCTCAGGTCACCTGTTACACATATTTTCCTTATTATAACTTGCCTGTCGGACCTAATTTGCATCGGCCGAAAGTTTACTCACTCAGCACGTATTTTCGGGTAGCGGTTGCTGACATGCAATATGAATATATAAATAAATAAATAAATATTTATTTATAATTAATATAAATTAATTTTATAAAAATATATATAAATAAAAAATATTTTATATATTAGAAAGAGATAAAAATATAAGGATTTTTAGTTGATACTAGTATTATAAATGAGTAAACTGGTATTTTAGTTTCGTAATTTAACTTTTTTAATCATTTTAGTAAATATTATCTTAAAATAATTTTGTAAATGAAATTTTTTTGTATATTTAGTCCTCAATGTCTATGTGGCACCTACGTGGCATACCAGCGAACAGATATCAACTAGTTTAGAACCACGTGATGAAGATGAACACATAGATAATTTTTTATCTTTTAAATTTTATTTTTCTTAAATATATATATATATATAAAAAAAACTAAATTCCTACATGAGTGTTAATGTTTATAGTTTTATATATTTTTGTTATAAGATATAGTGAATTGGAAAAGTAGTATGAGAAAAAATATTTTTTATATTTTTATCGATTTTTATATGTGTTTATATATATATTGTATATTTTAAATAATATTAATAAAGAATTATGTAAAAATAAACCAATAAGCGAGCACAATTAAGGTATAGGCGAGTGCCTCACAATACTCTTATTAACTCCTCACATGATACAAAATAACATATATACGACCCAAATCATCTCTCCCCTCATAAGACAATATAACAATATATATCTATATGTAAGAACAATATAATAAATAAATAAATAAACAATAATAATAATAATAATAATAATATTGCCAAATCTACATGTAGTTCTTCATGAGGGCCAGGAGAGTGATGACCAAAGAAGAAACGACGACGGCTGCGGAGATCGGCAGAGAGCCGGCGGCGCCCGGCGCCGGCGCCGGCGCCGGCGACAGGCCGGGAGGGAGGACGAATTCGACTTGAGCAAAGGCCCCATAGAGAAATGCCATCACGGTTGCTAACATCACCAAATTGGATTTGAAGCAGAAGATCACTGCCATTTTGTATTATTTTTTATTAATATATATAATTATGAGTTATGTGTAATAAGAACTATGAATTGTTGTGTCCGAAAGCCAACACAAAAATTGTATGTATATATAGAGAGAGAGTGAAGAGAGAGAATGTTGGACAGCTGGCAAAAAGGGAAATGGCGGAGGTTGTTGAGCAGCGGTCGGAAAACAAACACTAGTGTTTACTACGGGTTGGTTGTTTTGGAATTTAGTTTTCCTTTCTATTTTTTTTACTTTTAAATACTCTCACCAATTTACTTAATTATTTTTTTTTAGTCGCCTCACATAATTTTTTATTTTTTAAAAAATATATATAATTATATACTTTAATTATATTTTTAAAAATTTAATTTTTAATTTTTTTATTTTAATTAAATTATTTAGTTATTAATTATTTTTAAGCTAAATTATACCAAATCTACCTATAGTTTCATAAAAATAGCTTCAAATCTCTTATACTTCTAAAACTACGTTAAACTCCCTCGTCGTTTTATAAACTATGTCGTCTAACCCCTTCGGCGGTCCTTATTTAACGATATTTGGTCTAAATGTATCAAAACTGTGAATAAATTTTAGAATTTCAATTTGTAAACCCCTAAACTTACAAGTATATTTATTTTTTATATGCAGTCTAAAAAAAATAGTGAATATGCTAAAAAAATAGTTATTTTTCTTAATTTTTAAGAGTTTATTTTTATTTTTTTAGGCTAAATATAAGAAAATAAATATATTTGTAATTTTAGGGGTTTAGAAATTAAAATTTTAAAATTTATTCACGGTTTTGGCGCATTTATGTCAAATTCCGTTAAATAAGGACCGCTGAAGGGTTTAGAACAGAGTTTATGAAACCACGAGTAAGTTTGACGCAATTTTAGAAGTATGGGGATTTGGCGCAATTTTGTGAAACCACCGATGAATTTTGTGCAATTTAATCTTATTTTTATTAAATTATAATTATTTTTACTAATACACTTTTTAATTACTTACTGATTACAAAATACCTAAAATTCTGTGCCTAAACAATAGTGGACAATTTAAATGAGACGGAGATAGTAGTAAATTAGGATTTGTTTGTTTATAGTTTGAAATTGATTTGAAATGAAGTGTTATTTGAATTTTTATTTAAATAATATTTTAATATGATATTTTGTAACAATAAATAGTTATATTTTGATTGTTGTGAAGCCAAGTTTAGAGCTAGACTTATTAGTCAAATATTTTGATTTGATTGATAGAACAAAAATATTAAATCATATTCATTTCGTCTCAATTCAAAATATTATTTTTACTATTTTTTGTTTGTGTTACTCAATATTTCTTCTTTATTCAAATCTGTTCTCATTTTACATTTCTTTTTTTAAAAAAATTGTCATCCAAATTTATTTTCGTTTCTTTTTTATTTTTTCTTTATTCAAAAAAGTAAAAAATTTTATTTTTACCTATTTTTCTTAAAACTTGTATCCTATCAAATAAGTACACCATTGGATGACGGAGGAAATAATATTTTTTTCCTATTAAAAAAATTATTATATATTAATATCAAAATATTTTATAACTTATAATTAAAATAGTAACATACCATTACATATATAATTACTTTATAAAAAAATCAAATAAAAACAAAATCAAACTTCGTTTATATTTTTACTAATTAATAAAATATTATTATTTTTTAATCTATCGCAATACCCGATAGAATATTGTGTGCCTAGAATAGAAAGGCGTTGTTGTAATAATGCCCTAATTAAGTAAGACGGACACATGAGTTTGAAGTTTAAGTGAGCCACGTGTCGCATTCGTGTAGGGTTAAGGTTTTTTGGTTGACCTAATTACTTTCCTTACAGCTTAAGGGAAGCCAAAAAGCAATGGCAATGGCATCGTATTGTTTATGCAGTCATTTGAGTCCACATTTGCTCTCTCTCAGCAGTTGATTATCATAAATATAATATAATATATATATATATTCAATAATCAAATTAATCACTTGTCAAAAACTTCAACATAAAAACGTTACGGGGCATTAAATTTATGAAACTCACAATAATCCTAACCTTAAGTTATGTGTGTTTCTTCAAGTTTTTGTATTGCCACAAAATTGTGGGATCTCAACGTCACAGAAGAATACTCCGTCCGTCCCACTTACTTCAAAGTGGTTTTTTTGGAGTTTTATATTTCTTCAATCTCAAATATCATGCAATATTTCTTTTTTGGTATGTCTCAAACACTCTGCAATATTTCTAAAATAGAAAATAATTAATTATACTTAATCTCTACCCCACACTTTATCCACTCACATCATCCAAATAAAAAAATAAAATATATATTTCTCTCTCT